ACATCTAGTGTAGAGCCTTCCCAGAAGAGTAGAGGCTGTTACTGCAGCACAGACTCACTATAAACACCTTCATTTCAGAAGAAACTCATAACTCTATAATTATACAGCCAGAAGTAAAGTCACTACCTCCTCAGTGTGGAGCTCTGTTAGGATCACCTCAGCTGGCTAAATTCACAAGTTAATGTTGTTAATGTTGTAATGTTGTTAATGTTGTTAGATCGATCAATTTAATCATAACTTAAAGCTGCACTGTCATATTCTTTGTTACCTCTCTGAGCTCTGAGGTGATTCTCTCTCAATGTGTTCATCTCTTCTTAATCTCTCCTCTAAAGGCTCTTCATAAATCATGATCCTCATGTGTTTCATATCTAAATGCTCCGTTATCTTCATCACTACTTTCCAAAACCCGCTGCAGCAGCTTCAGCAGCTGTAAACTCTCTGCACGCCGTTTCACATGAGTCTCCGATGTGGACTGAATGAAGAATGAAGGGTTTCCGGCGTGATGGTCAGTGCTTAGTGATTTCCTGAGTGTCCATTGGTCAGTTTCACACAGAATGTAGACGACACACAGATCCACCAGCTCCACACGGTGAGAGGCAGATGACGTGTATCTCAGCCCCTCTTCATAGGCTCATAACTCCGGATGTGAGTCTCGTATGATCTCGTGATAAGATGGAATGGAAAGGGCGACTCACTCACATCCTCAGAGATGCTCCTTCACCAAGTTTAGTCTGAGTTCTCTTTGAATACTCAGACTTTTCCGCTTGTGGGGGTTCGAAGCTCAACCAACGTTAAAAAATATTCTTCCACACGTTGTGTACAATTACATATTTCCACCAGAGAGGGCTCCACATCCCCACATCTTACATAGTGCTGCTTTAATGTCTTTATTAATGTAAACTGGTAGCCTTTAATAACCCGTAAGTTCCAGGACAATAACTCTGAAAATAAGAACTAGATACTGATTAAACACCGATTGACTCTCATTAACCAGCATTAGAATAAAACTCAGCATTAACTCACATTTAAGGGGAACTGCAGGTTTTCAAAAGAGGCCTGATGATTTCTATGAAATAGACAAAGCCCTGCTGGTGACATCCCATATACATTACAATAATCAGATAATTAAGTCATGGCCATGACTTAGTAAGGCATGATCTCATTCCCACACCTTACTAAGTTGCAGCCAGGACTGAATTATCTGATTCCCACACCTTACTAAGCTGTGGCCACACATTATTTTAATATATACAGGATGTCACCAGTGGGGCTCCGTAGAAATAAAAATTATATGTCTGTAATTTCTAATTAATTTTTTATGCTCATTGTATTTAAACTCTGTAAATACTGTAGAAATACTGTTTATTTATTATTTATAAGTTTGGGTTGTAAACAATCACCCACTCAGGACTCTTCATTGTTAGCTTAATGCTAACATGTAATTAGAAACCCCACAGGATTAGAATTAAACTCAGCAAAACAACTTGCAAAATATTGTTGATATACTCAGAAATTGTAAGTTGCCTCACTTTGTGTTTTGTTTGTCTGTAAGTTTCTCTGTCTGTTTAACGTCTGGACAGCAAAGCTTTTTGCTTTTTTCCGTGGACCTAAATAAAGACTCGGTGTGTGACGGGGATCCTGAGGACACAGAGCAGAAAAGATAAAATAACGCCCCCTGTGGGAAAAACTGCCTTGGTTTGTAAACTAAGCTGGTGTGAAACTGCATAAACAGTGACCCAGTGAGGATGTTGGGTCATCGCTGTGGACCCCGAGTGACGGACCCCTGAGCGACTGTGTGTGTGAGCTGTGGAGTCGTTTACCTTTGAGATTTCTCTCACCAGCTCGCCCTCACGAGACTTCATCATCTGTAAGAGCGAATAAACAAACACAACAACAAAACATTTACAAACACACCTCAGCTCGTCAGCTTAATCAGCTCATTACCATCACAGAGAGGCTGAAACAAGAGAAACAGACTGTTTAACAAACCTCAGGACAGACATGAGGAACACACTCTCACACACACACACACACACACACACACACACACTCACACACACACACACACACACACACACTCACACACACACACACACCGTCCCCATCATGCTCACCGCTCACTGACCTGCAGACTGAAGAGTTAAAACCTCTCAAAGATGAAGGATCATAGCAGACCTGCAGGATGGAGTGATCACTGCTGCACTAACGCCAACACACACACACAGGGAGAGAGAGAGAGAGATGTGTGTGTGTGTGTGTGTGTTGCCCTGCCAGCAGATCCCCCCGGGGCAGGAAGTCATACTCGCCAAACAGCCCCACCCTGCAGCCTTACTGTCCACAGAGAGAGAGAGAGAGAGAGAGAGAGAGAGAGAGAGAGAGAGAGAGACTTAGAGAGAACCAAAAAGAGAGAGAATAAATGAGAGAGAATAAATGAGAAAAGAGAGAGAGAGAGAGAGAGAGAGAGAGAGAGAGAGAGAGAGACTTAGATAGAGAACAAATGGAGAAAAGAGTGAGAGAGACACTCCGAGAAAGAACGAAAAAGAGAGAGAGAGAATAAATGGAGAAAAAAGAGAGAGAGAGAGAGCGAGAGAGAGAGAGAGAGAGAGAGATCTTTCTTAAGATCGTCTCAGAGAATTAAAGCAGATCTCAGTATTATATTGCTGAAGAATCACTGATATCTGAGCTGTTTCTCCTGAACCTCCTCAGGAGAAAAGAGGAGATTAACACAGCGTCTCACTGTGAGACTTTCTATTGATGAAGGAGAAAAGCGGACTGCTGAGAGGGTTCTGTGATCCAGAACAGAGCTGAATACGAGAACGATGAGATCTCACACTGTTCTTATGGAGATGTCACTCAGCTGCCGGCTCATTGTGGTCAGGCCTGTTAGGTTTGCTGTGTGAGGCAGACAGTATTACACTTGTGTTGAAATCCTTTTTTCCATGAGCAGAATAAATTTTATTGTTGTGCATGGAAATAAATTAATACTTCAGTGAATTAATGGAACAAGACTGATGTGTTTAGCTTGACAACTCCATCCATAATTAGCCAAGCAATGATAAAGGGACAAAAAACTGACAGGTGGCCTGTTTTCCCGTCAGCTTGGAGGATTATTTTCCTGTGAGTCGTCTTTATTTCGCCACTGTGTGGACAGAGTTGACTTTGACTTCTATTTCTCAAAGACTGGCACTGAATTCATCCTCATAGCAAACTGGTTCAAAAGTCCACCAAAACAGAGCTTTTTTAGCTTTAAACATTTAATCAGAGTTGCATGAATGGAACTTCAGCTCTGTGATCATCAATGCAAATTATTTCTAAATACATTTTTATAGTAGTTTTGTTGTTATTGTTGTTGTTTTTTACCTCAAATTGTTAACACCTTCATCTAAAAAACACAGTTTTAACTGTTAAACTGTCCTAATAAAAGGACACAAACAGCTCTATTTTGGTGGACTGGTCCTTCCACACAGGCTGTGGTGTGATGGAGCGTTTCACCGCTAAAACTGTCCAGCAGAGGCCGCTGTTGAGCCCACGGCTGCTTTATTGTCATTGAGTGGGCGTGGCGTGTTGCCATGGGCTGGGCGTGTCGCTGTCCATTCTCCACGCTGATTGGCTGCCCGCTCTGAGGCTGAGCGTTTGAAAAATAATAAACAGCGGAAGCGCCGCGCGGAGCTCCGGTAAGGAAAACAGCACAGAATCTCACAGATTTACAGCAATAAACACATAAATTACGGTAGAAACGAAGCGCAGCTGCTTCCAGATACATTAATGACCTTAATAAACCGATTTTACCCTGGAAAACAGCGGTGAAGGAGAGTTTTAGAGCCGCTGAACTGCAGAGGGAGAAGCGCGTCTGTAACTGATGAACTGCTTCAGATCAGTTGGGAGACTAAAATCCTCCAGTTTTCACTTTAGAGCAGTTAAAGACCGAAATCCGCTTTGTTCTCTGTCTCAGGCCAAAATCACGAACTTATAAGGTACCTTTACTGCCTGAATTAGGAAACGCATGAAGTGCACACTGTCTCACTGAAAAACGGCACAATTAATGGAAGTGTATAAAAAGTAAAACATATTTTGGGGGATAATGATATAATAATAGCGATAATAATGTCTATTTATGGAGCACCTTTCATAGCAGTGGCTGTGCTTTACAGACAGGCGATGAAGTTTAACAGAAGAAACCGAGTATTAATTTAAAATCATAAGACAATAACAGATCACATTAAAGAGATAAACACAAAAAAAGACTGAAATGTGGATAAAATGGGAGTGAACCAGCTGCACTTGACCACATTCACCACACAGGCAGGAAAAAATCCATGTGCACAACAGCCAACAATGCAAAAATGTTTTAAGAAAACAGAAAGAAATATGAAAAAATAACTATATTGATGAAATCATCAACTTGGGTGTACAATTATATAAAATAAGTGTCCAGTGTGTTAATTGGAAGTGTATGAATTTGCTGTGCACGCTGTAGCCATAATGGCAACAATGATATTTTATTGTTTTGATATAAAACCCAAAAAACGTAATTATTTTTATTTTATATTCATTCATTCTCCTCTTTTAGCAGTGATGAAGATAAGTGAGTTTGACTCGTCTGATGAAGAGGAGGCAGGAGATGAAGAACACACTCCTCTACAGATCTCCTGGTGAGCATCTTAAACACAAGAGCTCCTGGCAGAATCTTTAGTGGTCAAAGTGCTGAGTTCTTAAAGTTTCAGTGTGTGAGATGTGAACAGAGTGATTCAGAGTGGTTTGGTGTGAAATGGTTCAGATTTGTTTAACTTTCTGTGAGGGAGCTTTTAGAGGTGGACGTCTGGTTCCTATCACCACCACTGTGAACAGTTCTGACTCGGTAAGTTTCTCTAGAACGGAGCGTTTCACACCAAACCACTCTGAACCGCTCTGAACTGCTCTGAACCTCTCTGAACTGCTCTGTTTACATCTTAACCACTTAATTAAGCAGAAATTTTGAAAAATCAACTTTAGTACTCTGTGTGTTTCTCAGGTTGTCCCTGTCGGTGGTCGAGTGCTCTCAGTTTTTGGGTATTTGCTCTTTGCCAGGTAACACACGAACACATGAACACACACAGGATTTAAATGTGCGCTGTTTGAGAATGAGAACTCGTTTCACGCTCAGCCTCCAACTCAGCACTGAAAAATGCTGCGCTGTATATTAGTGCTGTGATTGCTGTCACAATCATTGATAAGCCATCGACAGCTTTGACACTGAGGAAGAGCAGAGTTGCTTTAGTCCTTAAAGTGCTCTCTTACTCTCACAGGGTGCAGATATAAAGACGTCAGAAGAAACCTGGAGAAAGATGTTGGTAAGTGATTCGCAAACCGGGTTGAGTGTCAGGAGTTTGCTGAAACTGAAGCAGACGCAAAGTTTGTGGTGGTCTAAAGTCTCAGAAACTAAAATCTAAAAATATTAGTATGATACTAAGCTTGAGTTTATATTAAACATCCAGCAAAGCTTGAATGAAAAATATAAGATATAAATTTGATAAAACATGGTTTAAAATCCGCTGATCAGCTCCATCTGAGGACTGTGTGGGCGTGACTAATGAGCAACTTGATTGACGGCTCTCTGTCCAACACTCCTAGCCTGCTCCGCCCTCACACAGAACTGAAATTGTCGTCCAGCTTTGATGTGGCGCTAACTGGATAAAAACGTCACGGACGGACGAAGCAGCACGTAAATGAAGGAACAGACGAGTGAACGATGATGGTCTTGATAAGCAAATGAACAGGTTATGCTGGGTTAGCTTTGGCTCGCTAAGCTTCCCTGACTCTGAAACTGTTCTGTGTGGGCGGGGCCAGAGACGCAGCCTTGTGATTGGTCAAGGGAATGATTACAGAAGCGTTACCCAAGATTAGGATCCGATCTAAGACATTGGAGTGTGCTGTTCACAGAACCACTTAAATAATGATCAGAATATTAAGTGCGTGTAAAAACACTCAATAAGAACGGAATAATGGCGAGAAACAGTGCTGCTGTTGGCAGCTGTGTACTTTTCTCCATTTTTATAGATAATTGTTGTATTTTCTGTGTGCAGGTGATCTGTGTGCGGAGGGGGTGGAGGATGTCTTCGTGTTCTGTACACGTGCAGAGCTGGTGCGGTACCGAGTGCCATGTCTGTTGGAGCGCTACACAGAGCGCGGCCTCTGTGTGCACCACCTGCCCTTTCCTGATGGCGGCGCTCCAGAGCTGCCTCAGTGCTGCCGCATCCTGGAGGAGCTCCAGCTCAGCTTGCAGAACCAGCGCAGAACCGTCATACAGTGAGTCGTGTGCACACGTGTGATTATACAAAATTATACAACAGTTAGCTCCGCCCACACACAATCTGATTGGCTGATAAGGCTTCTAATGTACAGTACTGCGCACAACATAGGCACCTAAGCACGTTGTTTCAGATCATTTCTCTGGGCTGTGAGTGGTTCAGCTGGTAAAAACACTATAAATCATTAGAATAAATGTATGTAAATACAAATATAATAAAAAGTAACACACATTTATATTTATTTTAAAAACTAGTTTGAGGAACGTTGGACGCCCCCAGCCAAATTAAAATAACTTTGTGGACTTTGTGTTTGACACATGGGGCCTTTATTATGGTTTATACTAGGGATGCATTGATGCTGATACTGGTATCAGGTATTGGTCCGATACTGTGATACTCACACTTATAAAAATTTGCTGATCCCGACAGATATCGTGTGACATAAGCCGAGTAAGCTGTCGTGCTAATTAATTGGCCCTTACTAGTCCCAGTGTTAGGGGTTAGGTGCTCAAGGGCACTTCAGTCATGTACTGTTGGCTCAGGGGATCGAACCGGCGACCTTCCGGTCACAAGGCTCCCTAACCTCCAGCCCATGACTGGCCCTGGATCTGCTCACAGAGAAGAGATATTGACGCAGTGACAGTCAGACGTAAAAGTTGTCCAACATTTGAAACATTCCGCCTTGGCAGATTCCCACCAGGATACGCTGTGGGGTTTTATCCCATTTTTAAACACACCAGACAGAATCACAACCGCTTCCCCAATACAGGTGGGGGTCAGGTAGGCTAACAAAACAGAGGTGAAAAAAGTTATTTACTACCAAAGTCCGTATATGCGACTTTACTCTGTTTGACAGAACAGAATATCGAGGTATAAATGTTGATATGTTGTTTTTTTTAGTAACTCAGGCTGTAGAGAGACCGAACTGTCCTCCTGTGAACATCAGCGCCTGCTTTATCTTCAGCGCTCAGTGTTAGCAGCGCTGCTCAGCGTCTCAGCGTGCTGCTCAGTACTCGGTTATTCTGAGTGAATCAGCTTTATTGATAACGGTCTGTAGACAGAGCGTCTGTAGAGGCTGCGTTTCCTGTAGCAGGTCAGTCAGACGGAGCGTTTCGTACAGTGTGAGTTTATAAATCGTAGCTTTGTCTGAACACGATGGTCTAATCAAACGGACAGTGAGAGTCACCAAAGAACAAGATCTCTAACATCACACAGTGTCTGTCTGGCTTTAGAGGACATTCAGCTACAGCTCAGCCAGCCAATCAAACGACTCCAACAAGACAGAAAACTGGAAGCGTGAGCTCCTCAGATGTGATTCCTGCTGTCGCTGTGCTGCTGCTGAAAGATTCTGATGAGGATCAAAACTATGAAACCTACTTTACTTACAGCTGTACAGAAGAGCTTTTCTGACAGGGAAACTAAACCTCCACCGCAGCGCTGCTCGATCAGAGATCACTGATGTAGCAGAGCTAACAACCTTCGTTAACATCAGATAGATTTAATGATTTAACTGTTAAGGTGCATTACACTCATTTACACTAACAGACACTTCATTCTGAGTAGGGACAGTGTTGAACTCAGTATTGGAGAAAAATATGTATTCGTACTCGGTCTGAAAAAATGGTATCGACACACCCCCAGTTTCTGCCACATCACACCATTTTTCATTGTTTCAAAACATGGGAGTTTAAAAACTCCTCAGTCCATACAGGGACAATAAGCTACAAAAGCCAGTTTTGAATGTATTGTTTTTGTGATGCCACAACAACTAACATATTTATAAATAAATGTACAGAAGTTTTGCTCCGTTCATTGACTCTGAAGTTATAAGGAGCATTTTAGCCCAGACTGCTTATTGATTGAAATGTAATACAGGGCAGCCAATCAGGACAGAGTTAATTTACATATATCATTCTGAAAGGTAACAAAAACAGCCTGTCTAATTTTAAGGGATGAAGTGTGATTGACAAATGGGCCTTTAATGTTAACGCCAGGTGTGGATGAGGCCTTTTATTGATGGTGGTCCTGTTTTTCCTGCAGTTGTTATGGGGGTCTCGGCCGTTCTGGACTCAGTGAGTATCACAGCGCTGAACTGTCTGGGAATATTTATAATAATAAGTCTTATATTTGTAGCAGCTCATGCTAACTGTACTGTACTATACTGCATTGTACTGTATAGAACTGTACTGTATGGCACTGTACTGCACTGCACTTTGCTGTATGGCACTGTACTATACTGCACTGCACTGTACTGTATGACACTGTACTGCGCTGTACTGTATGGCACTGTACTAGACTGTACTGCACTGTCTGTGTGTCGCAGTCGCTGCATGTTTGCTGCTGCACCTCTCCGTCTCCATGACGCCCAGTAAAGCCATAGACATCCTGAGGGAGCTCAGAGGAAGCGGCGCCATCCAGACCGTCAAGGTGAACCACACCTCTGTTTATTCTGAAACATCTCGCACACTTAAAACAGATGGTTCTTTAGTAAAGGCAGTAAATCTGTTTAGAACCATGAGTTCAATATAGAACCATCTGCATGCTTAAATGGTTCTTTGCATGGTGAAATGGTTCTTCACATTGCTGATGTCAAGCTTGTAACAACAGAAGAACCCTTTTGGCACTGTATAGAACCATTTTCAAAAAAGGTTCTCTTTAGAACTCATGGTTCTAAACAGAACCATTCCGTTTAAGTGAAGCACCATCCTTTTTTTTTTTTTTAAGTGTGCACTTTACACATCGGGGCTATTTCACCAATCACGATTTCTCAGTAAGCTGGATAACGTGAGCCAAAGTGATGCTGGGTTACTGCAGAACATCAGCATTTTACTCATTGTACTGCGTTTTTAACTCAACACAAAAAATACTATATTTATCTGTAATGTCAATGCAATTAGATTTAATCACGACTTCAGCATTTTATAAATGTTTGTGTTGGCTTTGGCATATACGTACATATTAAATATGAGATATTGGCATCAGCACAGTTTCCATATCAGAGCATCCCTAGTTTTAGCTATGCTAACGTACTTTAGTCCATGTTTATAGAGAGTATATATGAGTCAGAAACCACAGAATCAGGTCTATTAGGTAAATTTATTGCTTTAATATTTCTTTCCAAACTGAAAATCCCCTGATTTCTGCTCTCAAAGATAAATTGAATGATACCTGATTAGCTTGTGTTGTGTACGCTATCATCTATGCTAAACTGGAATGCTAATCCATAAACACTGCCGTTTAGACAGCCAGGCTTTGTTTTAGATTTTATTCAGATTTTTAATTCCTCTTTTTTCTCTCCTCACAGCAATACAACTTCCTTCACGAGTTCCGGGAGAAGTTTGCAGCCTATCAGGAAACCAAAGGGACAGTTTCGGAGAGATCCGTCTCCAGATAGAGACGCTGAGTCTGCACTGATCATCGCTTTTAAACCCACAGAATCTGATCAGGAGCTCCTCTCTCCGCTTTAGCGCTGGGATTATGGAAACGGAGGAAATTAGCAGGAGAGTTTTTTTCCTAATGGCACTTTAAATGTTGTTTGTTTATATCTTGTACTTGATTTAATGTCCAGCTTAATCCAGCATCTCTATATCAGCCTGTGAACACACTGAGCACTATGCCTTTATTTTCAACACTTTGCCTTTGAGAGATTAAATGTGCTTAAATAACGTTTCACAGAAAACAACTGTCTTATCAATTAACAAGGTCTTATTAGATGTGATTGTTATTTAAGCTTTGAGTGAAAGATCTTCAACATCTCAGAATAATAAATTAAAATGAAACTCCAGTCTTCTGTAAACAGCCTTATTCCACGTATTCTGAGCCAGTGAGTAGATTTACGAAGCTATTGGTGAAACATTTCATGAATATTTATGAAACAGTGTGGTATTAATCTTAATCTTGGACTTAATCTTGTTTTTTAATGGGAAATCCTGCACGTGATGAAAGCTAATTGCTGAAATAATGTGATGAACTCAAGCTTATTACCGGCCCAAGAGAACTCGTCTGGAGTGTTGTGACCGTGGTGGTCCCTGCGCTGGACCACCCTGAAGTTATCGAGCCCTTGTGATGTCAATAGGTACACACTTAAAAATGATAGTTCTTCAGGTGTTCTTTAGTTAAGACAATGGCTTTGTATAGAACCTTTTTGAAAAGGGTTCTGCTATTGTTACAATGTCAGGCTTGTTACTATAGAAGAACCCTTTTCCAAAAGGTTCTCAATGGAATCATCTACAGCACATTCTCCATCAATCTGAACAGCTGTTTCACAATGGTAGGATCCCTTTAATCATGCAAAGGGTTCTTTAAATGTTTATGGTTCTATTTAGAACTATGTCCTTTACTAAAGAACCCTTGAAGAACTGGTGATAGTATCAAACTACCAACACAGCTATTTAGCTTTTTGTGTTTGCTGTGCTTTTGACGCTGCATCTTATATAATAAATTATTGCTAAATAAACCAGCGTATTTTGTTGCTGTTGCACAAAACCTTTGTTTCTTTTTGTTTGGGGTTTTTTGCCTAATTTGAAAAGTCCAGTTACCCTTTTCCAGTGTTAAACTTTAATGATGAATGGACCAATAGTCGAACTTTTGGTGGAGTTCCCCTTTAAGTAATGAAGTAAAGCAATACACTTATCTTTTTAGGTACTTAAAGTAATATTTATCATGATTTAATATTTGTAATGTAATATTTATCTGCTAATTCAAGAACAAAGAAAAACTCAAACGTCCCAAATGCATGTTAAAGACGGTGGAATCACTTTATTGTCATTTTCGTCTTGTGGTGGATTGAGGGGTGAACAGCTCATTTCTAGCTCAAGAGGCACAGACACACACCCTTCATACACTCTCAAACACACACACACACACACACTCCACCAGCTCAGTCACACACAAACCTCTTCACACATCAGAAACTACGCAGCCGAGCTTTACTCATCTCATTTCTACAGTATGAGACTGATTCGCACTTTGTGAGAAGATTAAATTAAATCAATTCAGGCAGAACATCACATCTCAGTCACACCTCAGTCTTGTTGAATATGTATTTTAAATGGTTTTTTGCCTGGAGTGTCACCAGCTTGAGGAACTGAGTAGAAGAGACAATCTGAACTTCAAAAAGCGAAATTAAAGCCTCGATCAGGAACATAAAGCATAAACGCACAAACCGCTGATTATAGATGACCTGTTCGTGTTGGGTGGAGCTGAAATGCCAAAGAAACTGGCCTGAAAATTCCTGACTGGGACTTTAAAGTGATAGTTTGGCAAAAAAATTACAACTATATTTACCCTCACACAAAAATATGGTTCTTCAAAGGTTCTTTAGTAAAGACAATGGTTCTATATAGAACCCTGAACACTCAAAGAACCATTTTCATGCTTATGCATGGTGAATTGGTTCTTCAGATTGATGGAAATTGGTTCTATATAGCAAAATGGGTTCTTCTATTGTTACAAGCTTCACATCATAATAGCAGAACCCTTTTTGGTGCTACATTAATCTGAAGAACTGTTTAATGCAGAAAGAATTTAAGCGTATAAGTCATGGTTCTGAACAGAGCCACATTTTTAAGTGAGCAGTTTTCTCCCCCAGGTGTAGCTGAGCAGTCGAGACCTGCTTGGCGCTTCTTTAGCTTTGGCACTAGTGATGAAGCTAAAGAGGCTAATGCAGCTAACAAGTCATAGAAGCTCAAAACCCACCAGTTAGCATCACGCACTCGTTTAAAAGCGTGTGGAGTTCAGTGTCTCTAATAGAATCGATTCTGTGGTTTCTGACTCTGTGTGACTCGCTGGTATCTATAAACATGGACTGAATATGTCACTAAACTAAGGAGTCCAGCTAGCACGATGGTAACTGATGCCTTTAAGCATTGTTTTGTATTAGCTACATTAGCTTTGTAGCCTGAGTGGAAAAACTGAAGAAGCAAACTTCAGATCCTGAACCTGTCTGAGCTGACAGACTACGTTTTGGATAAAGGGGTGAAACTGTTGTCATTTATCTGCTAAACTACCACTTTAAACGAGAACATTATAAACCCTGCTGGACGTTAAACACAACACCACCATCAGGATGGCAGAGCTTCATCAGAGCGTCCACACATTCGGCTTTCGTGTGAAAGACAACAAAAACAAAAAAATAATGAGAAATAAAATCACAGCAATAACTCATTTAAATCCAGAACACATTTAAAAGCACAGATCTTTGCAACCTGAAAAGCTTTGAGAGCCGTCAAATCATCATTAGCGCTAATTAACTCATGCATTCTGCTGCGAACAGTGAAAACAGCCCAGCGCTAAACAGCAACGCCAGGGGACCAAGCACTCTACCGACCGACAGGTGAAATGAGCGCATCAGGAGGAACTTAACTTGGCACACAACAAACCAGAACAGCTACTGTCTGACAAAACAACTTATTGAAAGGCTAACACAGCATTTTTAGTAAACAATGTCAAAAATAAAGGAGGGAAAAAAAACAAATGCCTTTATTTCAGTTAGAAGTATCAAAGAGCACTCGATAGAAATAAAAACAAACAGCAATAAGAAGTGGGGAGTTGGTCTGAGCTAGTGTTGTAATAGTTCATGTCGTACTGTATGCGTAATGTGTGTACGTGTGGGGGCAGTGGTGGCCGCTTGTGTCCAGGTTTGCCCCCCCCCCCGGGTGATGAAGGTGTCCGTTTGGAACAGAACCGCACTGCACTGGGAGAGGTGGCCAAATTCAGTCCAAACTCAGCTCTGCTAGTGCGACTCATGTTCCAGCCTGTGCGTCTCTCCAAACCAGCAGTGTCCAGATTAAGAGCTAACCAAGACGTAGATCATCCTAAACAAACAAACAAACAAACAAACAAACAAACATCAGAAAAGTGCAGCAAATTCACAACAAATTCAAAGAGCTTTTTTATAAACACTAGCAGGAATTGGGGGTTCCCACTGATTTCAGGGGCCGTATTACAGAAACTTCTAAAGTCTGAACTCTGAGTAACGTTAGCGTGCTCAGCTAAACGTTTGGGAAATGGAGACTGAAACTGGGGAGCGGCGACGCTTTGATAAACAGCAGGGGGCGCTCTCACAGTATTCACTACTTACAGTTTATCACACTTTAGTTCTGTTTGACCTTTTTTGGACATCAGTAATGGCAGCTGCCTGGATAACTAGCTTGATTGATTACGTTGTTGCGTTTCAGCTGTGTGTGTACGGCCGGGGGCAGCTGATTGACGATTTTGATCGAGCAGGTTAAGATTTCCTAACTGGAGACAAGATGCTGTAAGATTAGATAAAATTCCTAAATCAAGGTAAGATTTGTTCTGTAATACAAAGTAGTGAAGAATCTGATCTTTACTTGTCAGATCTGAACTTAAGACAAAAAGATAGGAGGTTTCTGTGATACGGCTCCAGGACTGCAAAATTAAAAATAATACTAACCATAAAACATTCTGAACGTTTTAATGATGTGCAGTAAAGACTCGTGTTATTGTTTCAGAGCAGAGATTATATTTTTATCCTTTCAAAATCTGAAGCAGCTGCAATTTAACTGAACACTGTATTTTCAGCACAGCGGGTTGAAAACAGCTGGCTGCTTTGGTGGCACGTCGGTAAAACACTTCTGAGGTTCAAAGAAGGTGCAGAATTACAGGCGCGTTCTGAAACCCAAAGCAGCTTAATATTGTTTTAACTTAAACAAATAACCAAACGTAATAACGTTTTATCAGCCACTCGATGGCGTTCCGGTGTTAAATCCACCGTGTGACTTGTGGGGGTGACAATCAGTTACCGCACCACAAATCAACAATCTGACTGAAAGCCGCTCAGCTCATTCGCATAAAATTGTCTTTTTTTTTATAATGGATGTGCAAATGTAATTTCTGCCCCAATATTTAACACATACTAATAATCCTTAAATGTAATTATTTTAATTATTTTATACTTTAATTGTAATATTTTACATTATTCTATGTAGACTTGACATTATTTCGCTGATACCAGGAGCAGAACAACGCATTCACAAAAATATATTAAAAACACAGTGGGTGTCGTCCCCAAGGACTCTTATTGTGGCGTTCTTTTTTTGGTACAGCAGTGTGGTGAGCTTTGCCAATACCATACGTACCCATAGAGATAGTAGAAGAAGGAGAGAAGGTAGAAGGCGAGTTTACACCAGCCTTCTTTCTGACAGTAAGCCAAAATATCAGCATTCATTATGGTGGTGGGATCATACAGGCCCGGACCACTCATCACGGGACGACTCATGTACCTGTACACACACACACACACACACACACACACACACACACACACACACAAAGTTACTCATGCGGAAGTAAATAAGCTGTTTACTGAGAAACACCACCTACCTTAAGTTTACGCTTCCCTTACAGAAAGAAGCTAATCTATCAGTTTACCTTGAACAGCAGCTCATTTAAGCTGAATTAGCTAACTAACAGGTGCTCACTGTGGAATGTAAGGAATTTTTTTTAATGAAAAGTTTGGCAAAAAATATTTGTTTTACAAAATGTACACAATTTTCCACTTATTCCATATTGTGTTGAGCAGCAAAGACGTGTGCCCCAAGGTTGCTTCTACAGCGATGGAGCTATGAAGCTAACGCTGCTAATAAACACTAATAAGTCAGCAGTCACCCAAATCTACACCTGCTCCAACTGCATCCAGGTCTTCATTAAGATGGCACAGACTTGTAGACGTGGTTTAGGTCTTTACTGTGATACTGGGAGCTATAAAAATCAACAAAACGTCACTGTGTAGCTGAAAACTGAAGGCAGACACTTTAGACAACAGGCGTCATAAATAATTTACAGATCACTGTTTACATTTTTTTAATTTAACAAACTGTCCCAACTTTCTCTGATTTGGTTTGAGATTCTGCACCGAACCGTTCCTGTAAATGAGGAGTAAAACGATAAAGCAAAAATACCTCCAGACGTGATAGGCCAGCAGGGGCATGTTGAGTCCGAGCGTGAGCCACTCAGCGGCGCAAAGGAACATCACACAGAAGAACACGTGGATCAGATACTCCGGCAACACCAGCTGCAACATCCACACAGCACACTTTCAATACCGACGATCGGCTCTGGGATCAATACTGTCACTTTACCTATTTATTACACATATAAAGCTTATAACGAGTCACCTTTCGGTAGATAGGGTTACAGTACAGGAACAGGAATTACCCCCCCTCACCTTACCCCCACTCCTAAAACCCTATCTGATCTGATTTTGTACCTGGATTGGATTAAAGCTCTGAAACAGGCAACGATTTCACAATATAATCCAATCCAGATTAACAAAAATCCAATTACATTTTTTCTGTGCTGGGCTGAACAGACTGAGGAATGATGTACAAACTCTGCTGAGACAATATCATTAAGGCAAAAGTACATATCTTTATTATTTCACCTTTATTTATTTATTTATCTACTTTTTTCATTGTAATTCTTTATAAATCTCTGTCTCTCTTTCTTACTGTTGTATTAAATGTATGACTTATTACTGTGTTAAAATAACTGGCCATTCAAAATGTTTTCAACACAACCAGCAGATGGCGCAGGTTTGCACTTTCCCCTCCTTATAGTGTAGCTAGCTAGGCTAACTATGCTAGCTGTTAGCTAGTACCAAAAACAGTGAAAAAACATCTCTCTGTTTAAATGTTATGTGAACAAACTAACATGTTTCCACTAGGGGGCACACAGACTAGACAATTAGTCGACTTTACTGCTCGGCGATGACGCTTTAGTCTTCATGTCGACGAGTCGCTGATCGCGTGATTCTGACACCGCAGGTGAGGAGGCTGGTGATTTCGGGGTCTGTATCTCTGGTTCTCTGAAGGCCAGTAATGCGATCCAGAGCACATCACGCTCTACTGACCTGTGGAGTTTGTCTTCGTTCTAACGTTTCTCTGCTGATCTACAGAGCTTCAAAGATCAGATACTGAACGTCGTTATCAGACTACAGTAAAAGTCCTGAGTGGTTGTAGAGGAGCTCAACGCCCTGTAATCCTGTTCAGTTTGACGTCAGTTACTCTTGTTCTCGCTGAGTTACGGTGCTCTAAATCTCTCTGGCTCTCCGTCGACTAGTGTGCGCCTAAGTCGGATACAAATTCGCACGATTCCAGGGTCCGTATCTCCGGTTCCCTGAAGGCCAGCAGTGTGACCCAGGGCTCGTTCGAAAGGGCGCATCACACTCTACAGACCTGAGTTTGGCTTCGTCACAGATTCTAAAGCATTTTCTTCTCCTGTGGTTTTATTCAGCATGTCATCGGCGGTTATTCGACGCCGCCTCTACTTTCATCCCGTAACTGTCCACTTTAAAAATTCCGATGTTGTGTAACCCCTAGGCGCCACATCATGCACAGAGGAGAATTAACTTGTGTAGAGTCTCAGCACTGACCGCTGCACTGGTTACTTCTAGCGTTAGTGTTAGCTCATTAGCTCAGCCGCCATTAGCCTCTTCTGATGAAAAACAATTTTAACCAACAGTGACTAGATTTCCCTTTATTTGGCTGCTTCACAGCTACAGCTTTATGTATGACAGAACGCTTCAGTAAAAGTAAACTACTTCAGAATAAACATCACGTCTCACTCTGACACCAACGATTAAGAAACTAACAACAGTTAAAAATAAATAAATAATTAAACCAATTTCACCTCCTCAGTTTCCCCAAACTAGGTCAATCGGCCTTGTTTGGTGTTTGAAGTTTGCTTGTTTAGTTTTAGCACTGTAGCCCCGTAGCTCACGTAGCTAACAGGTAGAGGAAGCTGTTTGTGTGGAGCTGTTCAGCATCTTTAGTAGAGTTTAAAGATTATGAGGTTTCTGAAATCTATAAACATGGACTGAAGTACATTAGCATAGCTGAAACAGTAGCAGCAGAAATCCTGACGGTTGAATTCGGTCTGTATGTTTTTGTAGAGAACACAATCGCGTGCTGTTAGCGCCAGGCTAACTGGTGGGGCACACGCTTCCATCACTCGTTAGCTGCATTAGCCTCGTAGCTCCAGTGCTAATCTAAAAGCACATCATCTCGGCTGACTGTAGTTTAGCAAAAACCTACATTCCCGCAGTGTCCTCCCCCGACCCCAGATCTCAATCAGAAAGGCTTTAGGTAACCTGTGTACATTAACAACCACCCGCATCCCAACACACACAGAGCGGAAGCAGAAGGCATGCTGGGAGGGGGTGCGCGAGGGGTCAAAGCAAATCCCTGCAGAGTGAAACGGCCAGATGGGAAAACCACAAGAAGGCCATGCAGGGTGAGCATGAGGTAACAAAGGAAAGGGGGGTTTATAAGGTAATGCGTATGAATATACGAATATTAGGGGTGTAAAACTGCGTGTGATGCATCTGATGTTGGTGATTTAACTCAGAACTGTTTTTAAGCAGTACAGCAGTTTGGTCAATCTACCGCTTTTATACAACATAAATAAAAACATTTATTATAAAATAAAAACATTATATTTTTCTTCTAGTTCTTCTGCCAAAATCGTAGCTCCAGCAGCCAAGAGTAAAGAGCACACTGCTGGTATCCAAAACAACACCGGTAGAACACTTTTCAACCAATCAGACTGTGGGGGCGGAGTTAACTGGTTCATAAGAGATTCCAATAAATTATGATATTCAACACAGTGCCCACTAATTTACTGACTAAAAAAATTTTTGAGCTTTATTCAAAAATAAATCAGAAATCTGGGCTGTTTTTATTATATATACAGTCGTGTGCAAAGGTTTGAGCACCCCAGTCAAATGACGTAGTTGTGTCTACAGAGAACAACTAAACCTGGATTTTTTCCTGCAAATCTTGATGCATGATTTCTATTCAAATTTAATGGTGGTGAACTTTGAATAATTTTCAAAAAAACTGTGTTACTGTGAGGTCGGAGATTTACACCCCTACTGTAAACACAGGTTTAACTGTGTGTGTGTGTTTTTTGTAAGTGCCATCGCCCAACACTAACACACACCACGCAAAACAAAGAGAAATAAAATAAACACTTTTATAAAGAAGTAAAAGGTGCATGAAAGGGTTTCAGTGCAGATTAATACATTAAACCAACGTAATTAATTAAAGTTTGTGATACAGATACAGATAAAATAAAGTAAAACTGAACTAAATAATCAATAATCAATAACATCACAGTCTTACAGGACAATAATATCTCTCTTATTTCCTCGTGTCACTCTCTCCTCCCTCTCTCTCTCTCTCTCTCTCCCCCAGTTTTTCTTTTTCTCTCCCTTTATTTCTCTCTCCTCTCTCAAACTCTCCCATTTTCATTTTCCTGACTTACTCTTTCCTTCTTTTTCTTTCTCTCTCTTGGTTTTTCCCTTTTTACCCTCCTTTCTCTTATTTCTCCTTTTCTATCCCTCCATCCCCCATCTTTCTCTTTTAGTCTTTAATTTCTTCCCCCACCTCTCTTTTTGTCTCATTCTCCCTTTCTCTTTATCTCTCTCTTTCTTTCCCTCTTTCCTTCCCCACCCCCCTCTCTCTATATAAAGTGCTGAGGTGTGTAGCTTAAAGTCCATCTGGTCCTCCTGGGTCAGTCAGTCACTCTCTCTCTCTCTCTCTCTCTCTCTCTCTCTCTCTCTCTCACACACACAGCCTCACACAGGTTATATGTCTTCATAAATACATAAACACATTATTACGCTATATTAATCTTAATATGTATTTCTACACGTATTATTAAATGTGAAAAGTCAAAGTCAGTGATTAAAGCGGCAGCGTGTGATCCTGAGCACCTGGATGAGGTTCTGATCTGAGCCTGTAGGATTATAATCCATCATAATTCAGCTGTGGATTAAACTGGCGTAATCTGCAGATCCTGCTGTAATCCCCCACTGAAGCCTAATCCTGAACCAGCTACACCAGACAGACTACAGGTCCCACAAGCCCCAGTGACTTTCCTGTTTCATTCACAGTTGAAGTGGCCTGAGGCAAGTGACGATCTAGTCATGCAGTTAGCCCTACGCTAATGGGTGGAGTGTAAGTATCCAGTACCTCCTGTGCTGCGTTCACGTTTGTGTTGGGAATAAACATCATTCTGCACCTCATAGTAGTGCACAGCCAACGGCGGCATGAAGCCATGCAAACGTTGCCATGGTGACTGCGTTACCAGCGAACATGGCTGATTATCAGTCTGTCGACAGCAAGAGTTGGGAAAACTGAATTCCTGACGCATCATTCCGCTCACCGCTGCGGTCTGCGGACCGCTGCTGCTCACAGTGGCAGAACGTTTCCGACGCAGTTCACTGAGAGTAACTGAATCTGGTTTGACCTCGTCCGTCTACCGCAAACATCTGAACGCAGCATTAGCTACATTAGCCTCGTAGCACCGGTGCTAAAACTAAAGAAGCACCAGACACTCTCTGCTGACCGAATACATTTGGATTAAGGTGGGGGGAGGAGGGGAGAACTTGATTTTTGCCAAATTATCGCTTTAAATAGGTTCTGGTAAAGATCACGGTGATCTGGTGGTAATCAGTCCTGTCAGAGCTGGAGAGCAAACGTGGGCTGCAGACGCTGTTAGTCCCTCAAGCTGAATGCAAAAACAAAGGGAAGGCTGGAAGAGATCATGCATGCTGCGAGCATTTGCAAATCTTTTCAGTTAACACCTGTTTGAATGTGTAAAAACCACAAAATAAACTAATCTACACTCACTTACACACACACACACACACACACACACACACACACACACACACACACACCACCTGCTATAACCACGATACACACTCTCCTAACTCAGGAAACACAGAGGATGGGTCTGTCTTTAAATACTGCACTGCTGCTGCTACAGTAGCTTTACTTTAAGAATAATCACTCCAATATGACCCAGTCAAACCTGTCTGTTAGCATCAATGCCGTCTGTAGCTCAGGCTGGAGGAGGATGTGGGGATGAGCTGATGTTCAGAGAACAGAACACAAGCTGAAGCGTAATTTAAACGTCATTTGACATTCGTTAATGACGCCTTTAGAGGGCGGCGCTGAGCGACGTTCGTTTGTTTGACGTTCGTTAATGACGCCTTTAGAGGGCGGCGCTGAGCGACGTTCGTTTGTTTGACGTTCGTTAATGACGCCTTTAGAGGGCGGCGCTGAGCGACGTTCGTTTGTTTGACGTTCGTTAATGACGCCTTTAGAGGGCGGCGCTGAGCGACGTTCGTTTGTTTGACGTTCGTTAATGACGCCTTTAGAGGGCGGCGCTGAGCGACGTTCGTTTGTTTGACGTTCGTTAATGACGCCTTTAGAGGGCGGCGCTGAGCGACGTTCGTTTGTTTGACGTTCGTTAATGACGCCTTTAGAGGGCGGCGCTGAGCGACGTTCGTTTGTTTGACGTTCGTTAATGACGCCTTTAGAGGGCGGCGCTGAGGACGTTCGTTTGTTTGACGTTCGTTAATGACGCCTTTAGAGGGCGGCGCTGAGCGACGTTCGTTTGTTTGACGTTCGTTAATGACGCCTTTAGAGGGCGGCGCTGAGCGGCGTTCGTTTGTTTGATGTTGGTTAATGGCGCCTTTAGAGGGCGGCGCTGAGCGACGTTTGCTTGTTTGATGTTTGTTAATGACGCCTTAGAGGGCGCCACTGTGCGACGTTCGTTTGTTTGACGTTCATTAATGACGCCTTTAGAGGGCGATGGTGAGTGATTTTTGTTTATTTGAGCTTTAGCTGTTTCTGTCGTCAGTTGGAAGCTACTAAGTATCGACAGCTAGGAAGTGAGAAAGTTAATCAGCTAATTTGGCCACTTCAGGCTTGTACTTTTAATTGTTGCATACAGCAAACAAAAGAAAGACAATTACATTGTTAATATTGCAATTATTTATATAAAATTGTAACAGGCCTCCTACAGAGCATTACTGACAGCACTTTTCACATGAAACAGTAGAAGCCATATCGCCCCCTACACTTCCTGTAGTGTATTACAGTCTGTCAGAGTGACTGTGTGGATCATATGAACATTACAGAGCTTTTTAAATGAAACAGTAGAAGCCATATCGCCCCCTACACTTCCTGTAGTGTATTACAGTCTGTCAGAGTGACTGTGTGGATCATATGAACATTATAGAGCTTTTTAAATGAAACAGTTGAAGCCATATCGCCCCCTACACTTCCTGTAGTGTATTACAGTCTGTCAGAGTGACTGTGTGGATCATATGAACATTATAGAGGCTTTTTAATGTTATTTTACTCGATTAGCTAATTATAAAGCTCAAGTTTTATCAAGTTGAAAACTTTGTAGGCTTTTTTTAGTTTGAAGGAAACTGAGTAGGCAGTTGGTCATGAAAGTTGCTTTATCAGGATGCAGGGCATGTGGCCACAGCAATTCGCACTTCTAGGTTGTGACAGGAAGTTGAAGAGGAAATGTAATGAAAGAAATGAACAACGGCCACAGAACGGATTTGTAAGTTGTCTCTAATGGTGCAATTTAGTGTAAAATCAAATGAATGTGCAGGAAATCACTGACAGTGTGAGTGAAAAGCTCCCGAGCAGGCACTGAGCTACAGAGCGCTGCGGAAAGATGACAGCGCTAAAGATGGTAGCACAGGCTCTGAGCGTTACTGGGTGGGTTCTAGATAACTCTGCTCCTTTGTTTAGAGGTATTTAGGGTTAGTTAACTGAAAAGACGTTTGCAAACACTCTCTCCTCGTGCACACACACACTGAGCTGGACTGGTACCAACCTTCAGAGCAAGCCTGACTCTCTTTATCTTTTTCACCCTCTCAACTGTCTTTGTGCCGATTGGACAAAAGGAAAGGCAGTAAATAAGAAAACAAAACGCAAATAAGGAAAGGAAACAAAAAAACAAAACAAAGGGTGTTAGTGCTGGAAAGCCGACAGTGGCTGAAGATTAGCGATATTCAGATCAGCATTACAGTGCGCAGGCTGACCGGTGTGAATCAGGAGAGGAGAAACCCACAGTCAGAGAGAGAGAGAGCCGAACGGCATGCACTCCACTCACTCGCTCGTTCACTTACTCACCGGGTTTAACGTGTTGCACTGGTCTATAGGATTCTTGTAGTCGGTCTTCAGCTCATCGAACGCGATTATCTGCACAGAAAACATTACAACATTACAAAAGCAGCAAAACACATTCACAGCACAGTTAGCAGCAGCTTCAGTACTCAAGTACCAACACTTTACTCTAGGGATGCTATGGGACTTGATGCTGGTACCCAGTTTCCATGTACAAGTCTGTCGTGGCCGATATGTAAACATTTATAAACTGGTACTAAATTAAATATTAATTATTACAACTGATTAATTAATTTATTGCAAATTATTAATTAAATATATATTAACTACATTGTATTTAATATATTTGACTACACACACCGATCAGGCATAACATTCTGACCACCTCCTTGTTTCTACGCTCACTGTCCATTTTATCAGCTCCACTTACTATATAGGTGCACTTTGTAGTTCTACAGTTACAGACTGTAGTCCATCTGTTTCTCTGATACTTTGTTAGCCCCCCTTTTACCCTGTTCTTCAGTGGTCAGGACCCCCATGGACCCTCACAGAGCAGGTACTATTTGGGTGGTGGATCATTCTCAGCACTGCAGTAACACTGACGTGGTGGTGGTATGTTAGTGTGTGTTGTGCTGGTCTGAGTGGATCAGACACAGCAGAGAAACAGATGGACTACAGTCTGTAACTGTAGAACTACAAAGTGCACCTATACAGTAAGTGGAGCTGATAAAATGGACAATGAGCGTAGAAACAAGGATGCCTGATCGGTGTGTATTAATTAGATATAAAGTATTAATTAAATACTGCTTCTTTTGTTCAGAACTGGAGTTGTGAGGCTAATGTTGCTAACACTAGAACTCAATAGTCACCCAAATTGTTTAAATACATCACTCGACACACTCAAAAAACCATCCAGATATTGACTAACGTCGCTCAGACTAGTCCAAGTGTTTTAAAGATGCAGTATGACTTACTGAGAGCTATAAAAGTGAACAAATGCCGGAATTCACAAAGCAGACTGATCTTGGATCAGATTCCTCCATTTGTGCTGGTTACTGTCACAAATACAGAGTCTAGATCCGTATCGACTCCTGAGCTGGTTGAATACAGACCCTGTGGTCTAAAGTGTCTGCAGCGTTCAGCATCACTGAAACTCTGTGTTTAGCTCACATTAAGTTGTACTGCGTCCTAAACCACATCTCAAGTCTGCGCCACCTTAATGAGGACCTGGGACATGGATTAAGGAGATCAGGAGATGTTTTGGGGCTGTATTTACAAAAAAGATTTGGGTTCTAGTGAGTTCTGAGGTTTGTCAGCCTTGTAGCTCCAGTTCTTCTAAAGAAGCAAAATTTGGACTCCAAACATTTGACAAACTGCATCTAGGGGTATATGGAAAACTGTAAATCTGATTTTATCACCAAACTATTCCTTTAAGCTTAATCTGGGTCTGGGAAGCCGGCCCACTGAGCATCAGGGACATCATTTAGGCCACGTAGTCCTTTTCATGAAGAGCAAAATGTCACTATTTTAAGCTTAAACCAAACCCAGCTGACAAGGAGTGCGTTATTCCGTCCAGCACTAACTCACTTCTCTAATTCACTTATACAGCGTGTGACTTCAGTCTCAGGCTGATATGGTGAGACTAAAAACATAAACGGGGCAGAATGTGTTTTAGGATTTGTGTAAGAGAGGAAAAAGATCATTATTAGGTCCTGATGAAGCCAGAGAGCTTATAAACTATGGAATAGAAAGATTTGGGAGGTGGAGCATTATAAAGAGCATAATAAACTGCCTTATTAATAAAGAGTATTAAAAAGAGCCTCATGGAGAGCATTATAAAGAGTGTTATAAATAGCATTATGTTAGAGTAACAGCACAGCTTTCTGATCTGGCTGCGTAAACAAACAAAGCTACCACTCCAGGATTTAATCCATCAGAATTCATCTCCAGATTAAGCTGGCCAGAGATAAAGAGCATTACAAAGAGTATTACAACACATATTACACAGTACTTTATACTGGAGTACCATCAAGCATAATCAGGAACATTATTAAAGGGGAACTCCACCGGTTTTTCAAAATCTATGCATAATTTAACAGTTAAGATGTAAACAGAGCGGTTCAGAGTGGTTTGGTGTGAAACGCTCTGTTCTAGAGAAACTTACCGAGTCAGAACTGTTCACAGTGGTGGTGATAGGAACCAGACGTCCACCTCTAAAAGCTCCCTCACAGAAAGTTACTACATGAAATGGTTATGAATTCACTGCCTGATGACTGAGACACTGTTTTATGATCGTTTTGATAAGATTTAGCCGTAAAATCCATTAATGGTGGAGGGATTTTCTACTATTTTACCATCAGCGTTCCATATAAAAAGACTCCTGTAGGTTCACTGGTGGTTCTGGATAGTAAATAAAATGTCTATATTTGTGTTGTAGTCGTGGCGACCCCTGGTTCCTATCACCACCACTGTAAAGACATCTGAACCATTTCACACCAAAACATTCTGAATGACTTTACATCTGAAAAGCAGAATTTGAATCATTATGGGAATTCCTTTTTAAATAATAGAATATGTCATACTGAGCTCAGGAATATGTAATTTGTCAGTTATTTTGGTTTGAAATAGCATCTTATCTCCTATAAACACCCACATTAAGTGTCTGTCCGAACAAAATCTCAGAAATGGTAACTTAACAGAAAAAAGGTGTTCTTAACTTTTAATGAAGGTTAATGTAACAAGATTTTATCCCAAGTAAAGTCATCATGAAGTGTTCACAGAATATAAACAGCCACTGGTGTTTTCAAATGGCTTAAAAAATAAATAATAAGTATCCAAGCCAAACCGGTCCTATTATTCAACAATTATTAATTATATACTAGAGGTAAAAATATTTTGGGTTGTTTAAATTTCTCATGCTCAGTCTCAACTATTTCACACCAAACCACTCTGAATCACTCTGTTTACATTTCACACATTGAATTAGGGGGAAATTCCGTGAAATTCGGTGAAATTCCCCTTTAAGAGTACTGTGGATGAAGTGTGAAGTATTCAGGCAACGTTATTTGTATTGTCTGTGTTTACGTCAGCACTCATTTCACTCAGGCGATTCATTCGAGTGTGCTCAAACAATGAAATGATTCTGAAGATCACTCGAGAGCACAATGGGAATCATTAAAATAGACATTAACCGCAGTGTATAATTATAAATAGCACTGCGTGAGGAATATCATAAAAAACAGCCGATCCCCCAGAGATGGCCACGGGGCTGAGCCCAACACTCCCGGGCATTCATCACCGTTTCCCGCTGAGGGAAGAAGGGTGCGGCCCGGCGGCTTTGTCGGGGCTGGAGCTCCCCTTTACAGGCGTGAACAAGGGTGAAAACAGAAATATGTGTGAAAAATACATATTAGGAATAGGATGTGGACACTGCGGTCAGTCCGAGGCGCCAACAACCGCTCTATCTGTGGCTAAGCTAATGCTAAGCTAACTGCTAAGCTAATGCTAAAGCGGCGCCGCCACTCAATTCAGTCCGCCTCGGCGTCGGTCAAAAACGGGGCTGATCAGTAATAAACACCGGCCTAATGACGAGGCTGAAGTTGGCATCCTATTATTATTCGCCAGCATTTTGTGTTTTGATTTTCCAGTTCCATCTTAAATGGTGCAGCAGATACACTCCGGTGCCTGAGTCAGCTTCTTATTCGAAATTTCCCGTTCCACCTTAAACGGTGCGGCAATTACGTTGCACCATTTAAGGTGGAACGGGGAAATTGTAACAAGAAGCTGGCGAATAAGAAACTGACTTCAGCTTCGTCGTCTCGGTAAGCCCGTCAGAGGTAAAAGTGCCGACTGCCCGCTTATCTCAGGTCGTGAAAAGCGCTCCAAATCTCAGCCAGATCGCTCCACAGAGCCGGAGCGAAGACCGGGCCGGGCAGCAGACCACTCCAGCCCGGCCCGCTCGTCCTCTCTCTCCCGTTCTCGTCGCGTACCAAAGTGACCAGGCAAACCGGGGGTTCTCTACTTACGTGCCATATCGCGAAAAATATGAGAGCCGCCGTGAGAAGCAAGGCCAGCATGTAGCAGAAGGCTGCGAATGTGAACGCCATGATGAGCTAATGAACACACACCCGAGCTCACTCACTCTTTACACACACTCACACTAACGCGCGCACACACACACACACGAGAGTGTTTCAGGCAGAAAACAAAAATCACACGTACACACATGGCTTAGCTCATTTTATTAATACTACCTACACATACAATACAGCCTCGACTTCACTGATATTATATTTATTTAGTTTATTTAACCCATTCATTCGAGCAACCGTGTTTGGGGGACTTTTAATTTGTAGCTCCGGCAGCTAATAATGCTAACGAGGCCTCCAATCTGCTTTTTTGGGCTCGGTGGTTAAACTAGACCGATTTGATTCTGCAGTACAGATCGGTTAAAGAGTTTAAACTTAAAACCATTACAGAAATCTTATATACAGCCTTGTATCATAAAGAGTGAGGCATCATTTTAAAATATACGTACAAATAATGCATATGTTTGATACATGGTTGAATCACAGCAGTTATAATTGTTGCTATCTGTTTTTAAATTAACTTTTAAATTATTTAAATGCGTCAAGGAGCAATATTTTCATTTATTTCATGTTTGAATTATTTTATTTGCATAGCATACACTGTGCACGTTTTTAGAGTTTAGCTATATAGCAACAAAGATGCATAACATCAAGTTAGCATATATGAGTAATATATGCCATCCATAAATTCTATCATATATTGTGAAATATATGTTACACGTATGTTTGCATATGTTGATATATGGCTGAAATATGTGTCCCATACTCCAAAATGGCAAATTTCAAACACGTCGCCATGTGTTGTATGTGACGTGTATGTCCATATGTGACAAATATAAGCTGGATATAAAAGGGAAATCTATATGTAATAATATATATTTGAAATCTATGTATTGCCATATGTCAGATTTTCATATGGGTAGTTTGGATAAGCACAGCTTTTAGTCTGCCTACTTTTACCTCTGTTTTTCTGTATGATGTAGTGATGTGATCTGTTTCGTCATTCTGACAGCAACCTTACATAGCAGATTCAGACTGAATGAAGTAACTCAACCCTGCTAGAAAAACAGCACAGACCAGCATGGCTGGTCACCAGCAAAACCAGCATATGTTGTGTTTTGGATGCCGGTATGCTGGTCAACCAGTATGACCATGCTGGGTGACCAGCTAAGCCAGCACCAAACCATCATAAACCAGCTTAGCCCTGAATGGAATTCATGCTGGTCTGTGCCGTTTTGTTCAACTGGTGAAGCAGTGTGCACGAAGCTTTAAGAGCTATTTTGATTGTCTTTTAAAAAGTCTAGATTAAAACTAGTCTTTTACATCTAAAATGTAGATCTATATCCAGTAAAGCAGCCCATTTACTGCTGTCTCAGTCTTGAATTGCGTGATTACCCTCATCAGTCCATGAGCTTTGATCACTCTACACGTTGCACCATTAAGTGAAGGGATTTTATGACCATTATCAAATGTGATATGGAGATTTATTTATTACTTAAAGGAGAATTCAACTAATTTTTCAAAAATTCTGACTAAACACAAATATAGCCATTTTATTTACTATCCAAAACCACCAGTGAACTTGTGGTGCATGTATAATGTATAAAATGTATATTGTCTCTATATTTTGTGTATATTTAATATATTTCAGTTTGTTTTTCTTATATTTTAAATTATTTACTTTCTGTAGAGTGATTATCTGAGCCTCACCACAAGCATTTCAATGCATAAATGTCCTGACATGTTGTGCAAATGACAAATAAACTTGAAACGTGATGTTTTAAAAATAGGCCAAATAGTCTAAAACCTTCTCAAAACAGTGTCTCAGTCATCAGGCAGTGAATTCATAACCATTTCATGTAGTAACTTTCTGTGAGGGAGCTTTTAGAGGTGGACATCTGGTTCCTATCACCACCACTGTGAACAGTTCTGACTCGGTAAGTTTATCTAGAACAGAGCGTTTCACACCAAACCACTCTGAACCACTCTGAACCACTCTGATTACATCTTAACCATTTAATTATGCAGAAATTTTGAAAACCACTGGAATTCCCCTTTAATACAATGGCAGTAAGTCTATTCTCAAGCAGAAGTACAGAGAGTTTTTTGTGTGATCACTCAAGTTTTATTGGGAACAGCGGATAAAGACATTGTATAAACCATGGAAAAAGTACAAATGTTCAACACTCTCACAGGGCAGGATGAAATTGTACATATCACAAACATTTAATCTGAAAAACCCTTTCTAAGCACTTATTTGTAAAGTAAGAAAAATACATTTGTTTTAATCAAATACACAAGAGGACACAACACTGATTAGCACAAAAACAGCGACTCAGAACGCAGGGACATCACTGACACCACAAAGAGCTCTGTACACGCACAGGCCCAAAACACAGACGGGTCAAAGGTCATCGTCTCTCTTTCTCGACCAGCCGAGTCCGGCTAGACAGCACTGCTCATCTCACCACCATAAAATAAAGGCAATAATTCAGCAAAAAATCAGTTTCCGCCTTAACCAAATGTGTCCAATCAGCCCAGACACGTTTGGTGTCTGAAGCTCGGTTCTTCAGTTTAGCGCTGGAGCTAACAAAACGGACAGAAGTATGTTAGCGTAGCTAAAAACAGCATTGCTGACCATCTTGATGGTTGAATTTAGTCCGAGCTTCAGTCCATGTCTGTAGATAAGAGTTCATCAGTGTCAGAAACGCATAATCGAGTCTATTACAGACACTGAACACCTCCTCACGCTCTGAGGAGCACATTTAGACATGTAGTTAGTGAGATGCTCGGTTTGCATTACTTGTTAGCTACATTAGCCTCGTAGCTCCAGTGTTCAAACTTGAAAAACATGCTGTGGCTGATCGAATATATTTGGTGTCAGAGGGCCAAATTAGATTTCTCACCAAACTGTTGGTTTACATCAATAAATGAACCATGGCCGACGACCCTGTGACCTTTAAAAGGCAAATTTCACTCAAAAACACCAACATTTCAAATGACGAGTGAAGGTTAGTGTTAGCCAGTTAGTATTAGCATTATTTGAAGCCATGCTAACTGGTCTCCATTAGTTTTCATTCAGTCATTAGCTTATTTTGAGAGGCTAACATTTTAAGAAGAGTGGAAGATGAAGCGTTAAGGAGTCACGACAAAACCTTACAGCTCTTTTAGTATAATTTAACGTAACAAGATTTTATTCAATGTCATTTTGGACCGTTACTGTTGGTCCAGTCCTCAAGAAAATGTTCACAACTGGCATTGTATGGAAAAAAAGAAAGAAATAAAGAAAGGAAAGAAGGAGTGAGGTTTCAATGATGGCGACAACATTCTCCCAGAAAGAAATAAATGTCTGTAATGTGAAGGTACAGACAGGCTATATTAGACTGCAGTTTATATTGTAGTGTCTAGTTTGGTCCAGTATTGGAGCACTGTAGTAATGAATGGTACAGAGATTTAATCTGGAATGTTCTGAGGAAAACGGCTCTGTTATGGAAACACATTTACAGTTATTTCTCCACTGTTTCATTCACAAACAGATTTAGAGTTACTGCGTCTCTCCTGTCCAGTTTAATACACTCTCGTTCAAATGTTTGGAATTTTTTATTTTATATACATCATGTAGACAGTCTGGATTTAAATCTCACAAACGATTCACCAAAAGGCATTTTTAGATTAGTTTTTTTCAATGTTCTGTAATTCTGTGAATACAGAAGATATTAAATGATAAATAATATACTATCATCTGTTTAAATTACAATTATGATGTAATTTCTGATTATCCAAAACCTGTGAAGATGTCGAAGGGCGAGCAAATTACAATCATTGATGCATTTATCTGACACCAAACACTGAAATCTCTGAATCCAAACATTTGAATGGTAGTGTATATACACACACACACACACACACACACACACACCCACACCAAGACACACTCATTGTCTGTTTCCACAAATGAAACTGTTCATAGTAACTGTTCATAAAACTGTCTGAAAATTCATATTCTCCTTCAGTCTGTTCAACATCTCTTCACAGTGTTCTATTAAAGAGGTTAATCCAGTTTACTGATGTAGTGCTGACCTACTGTTCTTTACTGTTTCTGATAAAATAATGTGCTAAAATGTACATACTAGGGATGGGACGACATGAAAATGTCCTATCGCAATATCAGTGACCAAGATTACCATGGTTTTTCAGTATTATCGTGATAGGAGTGTGTGTGTGTGTGTGTGTGTGTGTGTGTGTATATAACACTAATACACACTGAAATTATTTCAAGTATTACACTGATAGACTTTAATTTATCTCTTTTAAATATGACATTATCCCCACACTGCTACTGTTTACTGTGCAGATTATACCCATGTAAATATGTTTACTTTTCATATTATAACTGTGTAAACACACTTGTTTACTGTTCAGATTATAACACTGTAAACATGTGTTTATCATTCAGAACAGAATTGTTTACTGCTCAGACTGTAGCAGTAGAGCTGTTTACTCCTACAGCTCATCTTAAATGGTTATCAGACTTTTTAAAATTAAAATGGTATGATTTTTATGTCACGTGAGATCATTAATAGTGGTAACTGTCCCTTCCCTAGTATGTATTTTAAACCAAGTGTCCAATAACCCATGAACTGAATATTAAATCTGTGTTTACGTTAATCTACAACACTTAGCTCTGCCCCCACAATCTGACTGGCTGAAAAATGTTCTGCTCGTGTTGTTATATCTGAAAACAGCACAGCATACCTGTATCATTACACTAACCACCAGCTGCAACAACAACGGGCACAACGGCACCCAACTCTAAACCGCTGGAACTACTTTTTCTGGCCGACATTAAAAACGTACATTTGAAACAACGTTCAGGACTTATTTGCTTTACTTTCTTCTTTTCTCTGTAAAACTGTTTGCACGACAGCAGTAAAACACCAGAGGTGGTGTTTAAAAATCACAGGCAGGATGATGTACTGCGACCGAATCACAGCTGTGATTACAAACATGTAATATGTAAATATTATAATATTGTAATATATTGTAATATGCAAATATGTTGGTTTCTGCAACACAACAGAAACAATGAATTCAAAACAAGCCGTTTTCTCAGCCTAGTGTCCCTTTATGGACTGCATGGACTGGTTTAACAATGTTTGTATGATTTTTACATCACATGATGTCATTAATAGTGGTAACTGTCTCTTCCCTAGTATTTATTTATTTTAATTCGGTTTTAAGTAATATGGGCTCTTTAACCTCACGTTTTAGCACCTACGTCACGCTCGTGTTTATGCTGTAGTGGGAAAATGGCCTACAGCAGTACCTTAAGTCAAATTTAGTGAATGAGTTTGAAATGCAATGCTAGCGCTAATAAACAATAACCTGCTATTACCTGTCTAATCTTTGAGGGGCAGTGTTTATTCTACAAAACTTTACTCAAAGTGGAACGACTGTAAAATGCCTTTTAACAAAAGTGAAAAAAACCCTAGTTAACATTTTTGCTCCCACGTTAACAGATTCCTGTCATCCGTGTGAATCCGGAGCTGGTTATCGTAGTGTTTGGGTCAGATCTATCACAAATAAAAGCAAAAACAAAAAATAAAAACATACACACACACCCTCACACCTGCGCACGCGCGCACACACACACACACACACACACACACACACACACACACACATATACACTAGTGTTAAATGAATGGTTTTGTCTCTCGGAGGGGACGTACGACGTCTTGGTCATCCTGTTGTCTTTTTCGGCTATTTTTAACGGAAGAAGCCTAGTTTCTCTCTCAGCCACTCCTCAGTGAGATCCTCAGTGTTCCTGATTTCAAACACCTGCAACACACACACACACACACACACACACACACACACACACACACACACAGGGAGGAAGCAGAGTCTCAGGATGGGCTGCACCAACAAGGAATAAATTAAAGTGTAAAGCAGGGTGTAAAGAAATCAAAGCCAAGTGTTTTACATAAAACCACACAAACATTATTAAAGGACCTCAGAGGAAAAAAAATACAAGTACAAGTAAAATGTAGGATATAAGCTCTTTAAACACAACCAGCACAGTATCCACTCTCTACATACAAGATGTGCTTTCCTTCTTCATATTACTGAATTACGTCATTAAGAACTTCCTGCAGATTCAGCCCTGCAGGTGGACCAAGCAAAACAGACCAGAGTGACCACAAAAAAAAGATCTAAATATACATGGACGCTTTAGATGCGTCTCCAGAAAACACTACGAGGAGATTAGCCTGATTGCTGGATCTGTATACCCTGCAGATCTGGTCATTCAGAAAATTCTAATGAGACACAAAAACTAATAAACACGGCCATCAAAACTGCCAAAGCTCTTAAATAATAAACACAGTTAAGCTAAAGTTAGATTCTTATTCAAACTTTCCGTTCCACCTTAAATGAAGCTGCATATTTTATACATAGAACAAATTTCCAGAAGAGAGATACGTGCCTTTTCCTGTATAACCTTAAACACGCACTGCTCCGCAGGGAAAACTACCACATCCACCAAACTTCAGCCCCTGAGAGATGTTTAATGAGCTCCAGCTCGAGAGCTTCACTGCGCCCTCCCTCCCTGAATTCACATTATAAGCCGAGTCTTAAGCTGAGCTTTTCCTCAAAAAAGAAGCTGCAAATAAGAAGCCAGCATCGGTTTACAACAATAAATGATGCTTAAATCAGGAAACACCCTAAACCTTGTGCTGGAGATGTTTAACGAGCAGCTCAGCAGAGCTCTAATCAGCCTCTGGAGCTGCTGGACTGTTGAATGAGTCTCACTGGCTGATCTAACGCCGCGTCCCAAACCACACATTTCTGTACTTCACTACTGCACAAATGAGTGCACTTCTGAGTGTGTGTGTTATTGCGCCCTTCTCTGCCCATTACTGATAAAAAAGGTTTTAGACAGGGATGCATCGATCTGTTATTTCAGACTAAGTATGATTACATATTTTTACTCACAGATAGAGTCTGATACCATACTGAGCAACCTACTTATAATAAAGTAGTTGTAAGCAAGTGTAATGTGCCTTTTAGTGTAAACAAGTGTGATGTACCCGTAACAGTTAAATCATTAAATCTATCTGATGTTAATGAAGTTCGTTAGCTCGCTCTGCTAAATCAGTGATCTCTGATCGAGCAGCGCTGCAGTGGAGAACAGTGGGTTTAGTTTCCCCGTCAGAAAAGCTCTTCTGTACAGCTGTAAGTAAAGTAGGTTTCATAGTTTTGATCCTCATCTGTCTCTTTCAGCAGCAGCGCAGCGACAGTGGGAATCACATCTGAGGCTGACGCATCTAAGGAGCTCATGCTTCTGGTTTTCTGTCTTGTTGGAGTCGTTTGATTGGCCGGCTGAGCCGTAGCTGAATGTCCTCTAAAGCCAGACAGACACTGTGTGATGTTAGAGATCTTGTTCTTTGGTGACTCTCACTGTCTGTTTGAATAGACCATCGTGTTCAGACAAAGCTACGATTTATAAACTCGCACTGTACGAAACGCTCCGTCTGACTGACCTGCTACGGGAAACGCAGCCTCTACAGACGCTCTGACTACAGACCGTTATCAATAAAGCTGATTCACTCAGAATAACCGAGTACTGAGCAGCGCTGCTAACACTGAGCACTGAAGCTAAGAGCAGGCGCTGATGTTCATGGTAGGACAGTTCGGTCTCTCTACAGACTTATTTTATAAAACAGTATTAATGTTTATATCTTGCTATTCTATTCAGTCAAATAGAGTAAAGTCGCATATATAGACTTTGGTAGTAAATGTCAATTTTTTCTCCTCCGTTTTGTTGGCCTACATGTCTCCACCCGTGTTGGTGAAGCGGTTGTGATTGTGTGTTTATAAACAGTCTATAATCTCTCAGTGTATCCTGGTGGGAATCTGCCAAGGAGGAATGTTTAAAGTGAGCGAGGGCTTTGTGTCCGACTGTGACGGAGTCAGTAACTCTTCTTTGTGTGAGCAGATCCTCCTTCACTGCGTCTGTTCATTAACACGGCAGCGACACTCTGCTTACGGCACAGCGGTACAGCGGTTTGTGAGTACAAGTAAATGAGCACTGTATCAGACCAATACCCAATACCAGTATCAGTATCGATGCACCTCTAGTTTTAGATTTAGGACACTCTTCACTCTTCTGAGTGTGTGTGTATACTAACCTTAGTCAGTTCCACCGTCTGCACCAGTTTGTTTTTGCTCCCAGCGTACATCATCTGCTGCTCCGGTTTACACCCTGACAAACAGATTGATCTGATCAGAAACACAGCAGCTGTCTTTCATTCTGTGTCTGTGTACTAGACCCGGGCGATAGGGTGATGTAATCAGATATTGCAGATGATTGACAAGTAACCCGATGATAATGCTTAAAAGACAATAATCAGCATGATGGGAAACTGACACAGAAATAGAGAGAACTAACTTCCTGTTAAACAGCTAAATATATCTGGAAATTGGAGTTTTTAAACCAATAATCACACCTTTTTTAGAAAATATTCTGCTTATTATTTTGGGTATCGTCCAGGCCTAATACGCATGTATATATGTGTATTTATATGTGTGCGTGAGTTTTTACCGACTGGACTGGAGAAGATGAAGCAGAGCGGGTACGACACTCTCCCATCGTCGTGCTGGTATTTATAACTGTACACTATAAACGTGTTTCAGGTTAAAGAACAAATCAGAGAAAAGCAGGTTTTAACTTCTCTGCTCTGAATCGATGCAAATGTAAACGTCTCACTCAGCTACCTTCACATTATAAGCCTCGTTGTTGCTCAATTCAGATTTTTTTGCTCAGATCTGATCTTTCTAGCTTTATGGTTCACATTTGTGTAGGTAAGTGTCTCAAACTGCTCCTTAATGTCAACCTGCGTCCTGAAACGACCCGCATGCTAACATCCTAATAAATAACGTCATGTGAACGAACCACAAGAGTCACAAACAGCAAACTAACCAGCAGAACGAGCTTCGTCACAAATACAGCCTGATCTGAAAAGCTCTCAGCTTCATTATCAGGCACTGACTTCGGATTCAGAGCCGCTGCCACAGTAACGCTGCACGGTGCGCGTGGAAAAAAATCACTTACATTTTAATCTGACCATTCTCAATGAGGTCACACAGCAGAGGCGTAGCTAAGTTGACCACCCAGTTATGGAAATTAAGACAGTCAGCCATGATCAATAAAGCATCGGTTATGCTTTACGATGATCTGCCATCAGGGTGCCAATCAGTTATGAGAGTCTGATGATGCTGCATTTAATAATTAGCATATTTAGCTGTGATTGGCTGATTTGCTCAGTAAACAGGTGAGTGAGTGCGCTGGGTCAGCAGTGCTGCTCCGTGAGCTCCATTATGAAACAGATACTCAACGGTAACTATTAGTAAGTTATGATCGTTTATCATGATGGCTAATTACTGTTTTATAGTTGAATATGTGCGTGTTGTAGGTTCCTTATACAACATTGAGCTTTTAAATCATTAGACTGTATAACCTGCAAGCCTAAATTAATAACTTGTGACTTTTTTAATGTGGTAAACTGAAAAAAGTGATGCAGTGTGTAAGATTTAGTGGCATCTAGTGGTAAGGTTGCAGATTGCAACCAGCTGAATCCCCCTCCCTCACCCCTCCCTTTCCAAACGTGTAGTAGAACCGATGGTGGCATCGGGTTTTTCTGTCGTCGTCTGTCCTGATTTCGTTTTCTTCTTCATGTGTTCTCTTCTTTGACGGTGAGGATTCACCCTCTCTCACTTTTCTTGTGCTAAATAATAAGTCTGATCCTCCATTTGTCAAAATTTGGGTTCTCAAACTTTTCACAACACAAAACAGTCAGCAGCACCGGCAGCGACCACAGATTCTTCTTCTTTCTACATCTTCCAACCGGAGCTACAGTGCCACCTAATTCAAGCTGCCACTTCAGCGTAAAAGTGTGAAAAGTGCCCTCTAGAGGCAGAGTTTGGTTTGTCCGCTCTGGGCTACTGTAGAAACATGGCGGCCTCTGTTGAAGAGTCACTCCCTATGTAGATGAAGGGCTCATTCTAAGATAACGACAACAGAACGATTCGTAATTACAGGTGATTAAACACTAATAAACACATGGTTTTGTTTACTATATTACATTTCTGCTAATAGAGCCCTCTGAATGTTACACACTGCACCTTTAAATACATTATTTCCTTATGAATGACTGAAAATCATCACATCAACACAGTTTTGAATTTACTGAACAAAGAAAAAAAACACCTCAATTCGGTAACACTGTTCTAATTTATATTTTTTCCTTTGAAGTGTGCCACCCAATTAAAATCTCTGAGCCTCACCTGGCCACCCTGTTCTAAAAGTTCTAGCTATGGCCCTGTCGCACAGCAAATCAGCTATGTATCTGATCTACAACCTCAGACGAGCAGCTCAGATCTGTATTAAAAAATTTGATTTGTGTGTCCACGACTCTGAAAACACATCTGTGTCACATTAGGGCAAAAAAATCTGATTTGCCTGCTAATGTGAACACAGCATTAGAGGTTTTAAACTGGATTCTTTCTACACACTTCAAAAGATGGTCCTTCAAGCGTTCTTTAGTAAAGAAAATGGTTCTATATGAAACCATGAACACTCAAAGAACCCTCTGCATGACTAAAGGATTCTTCAGATTGATGGAGAATGTGTTGCAGATGGTTCTATATAGAACCTTTTTGAAAAGGGTTCTGTATAGCACCAAAAAGGGTTCTTCTATTGTTATGATGTCAAGCCTGTAACAATAGAAGAACTCCTTTTGGTGCTATATAGAACATTTTCAAAAAGGTTCCATATATAGAACCATCTACAACACATTCTCCATCAATCTGAAGAATACTTTAGTCATTCTTTGAGTGTAGTCATTCTTTGGTTCTTTGAGTGTTCTTGGTTTCATATAGAACCATTTTCTTTACTAAAGAACCCTTAAAGAACCATCTTTTTTTAGGTGTGTATCTTTACTGTTACTTGCCAATTTCAGTGCATCTCTAACAGTAACAGCCACATTAACACAGCCAGCGGTTTTGTGGTTTAGGTAAACGAAGCGTCAGCAGGTCGACGTCTTTCTGTGATCGTTAATGAAGCTGTTGACTGACTGATTCAGCACTAAAGTCATGTTTTCTGCCCTTTTCTAACTTCCTGCAGTGTCTGGAGTCTCAGAGTCTCAGAGTTTGACCTGTTTGATCTGATATTAAATATTTTGTGTAGCTTATTGGACCAGAAGCTCCAACACAGGCAGCAGGTTTAGTAGAGTGAAGGATATCTGGGCTGTCTCTCCGGCAGCTCATCTTTGAGATCATCAGGAGAGATGTCCTACGACAGAAACACAGAAAGCTCCCATTAAAGCGAAGATCTGACAGACATAATCTCATTACTCCCGCGTTAGCGTTTATGAGTCTGGAGTACAAACACACTGAACACCCTCGACACTGAAAATCAGGCTGTGATTTCACATGAATTATTTCTGACTCGCAGTTCACTAAAACAAGAGGAGAAATTGGAAAGTGCAGATTGTAAACTTTCAATCTAAACCTCATCAGTGTCTGTAAGAAGAAGAGGAGATATTTCATCATGCTGAGTGTGTACGTTCTTGTTTTTGCTGTATTTGTCCTTTTTATACATCAAAACAAACAGAAAATGTCAGATGCGCTGACTGAAGCCTGTCCATGTAGAATATGAGCTGAATGGAAATGTAACTACTGTGTATTTACATTTGAACCATCACATAATTATTTTTGTACTAATGAATATATTAGTAATAATAAATCTAGATTTTTAAGGGTCAAAGCCAAACTCACCTCGTGCTCTTCGTCCAAGATGACCAGCTGTCTGTCCTTATCGATCTTCACTGGAATAGAAAAAGAAAGACGGCTGCTGTGGGAATGTGCAATCAGAGGTGGGCAATATGACAAAAACATAATTTAGTGCCAAATACTGAATAAAAATCATTGTGTTCACAGCTGGCGATAGTATTTTAAAGTGTAGCACTACTGGCTCTTTAAAAATAAATACTGTGACATAACGTGTATTGTAAAATATTCTCAAAGTTTTGCAATATTATATTTTTGCCATATCAGCCACCTGTAATGTAACATACTGTGACGTAAAGTATCACAATAATGATAAATATTGTCATATTTCCCAGCCCGACGTGCAACATGACTAATTTTATGCATTACAGTTAAGAAACAACTACATGTAGCTGAACGTGCACAACAGAAAACATGTCAGATGAAAATACAGCTGAGAGGAATATTTTAATCACTCTGAAAAAAAATATAGAAATATTTGACTAATAACTCCCCGACGGGTAGTAGTGGACATCAGGCGTGTGCCTTGGATCAAGACACAATGTGATAATTATAACTATTTCTTTATAAACAGTCTCAGACCTAAACGTAAGTAATAGCGCCCTCTGGTGGAGTACAGTATCAGACACATCATGGTACATGAACGTGAGAACGAGTAACGTTAGAAAAGCTAATTTACATATAATCAAAGACTGTAATTTACTACTCGAATATTCTGACTCATCCGCCAGTAAATCCAGTAGTTTGTTGTGTCTGATAAAGCTGAGTAACGGAGACTGAGCTAATTAGCAAATGGTAACACTAGAGCTAACCGGTGCAGCAGTAGATGGTGAGACTCGTGATATTTTAAATGGTGTTTTTTCTCCACAGTGTATGACGTTCACCACGTTAGCATGTCGAGGTTACACTGAGAACAGAGCAATATCTTTTCATTGTGTTTTGTTCTAGTTAGCGCCAGCCGTGCTAGTCTTGGGGGCCACATGTGATCTCATAACTAGAATATACATCAGGGGACACTTTCAGGTGTGGGATAACAAGAATACTTACAGAAAGGAGAAAACGACCCCAAACTGCTCTAGTCCGGCTCTTTTAATGTTTGGAGTAAAATCAATAACACCAGCAGAAGCCATGCTAACGCTACATCCATGTGTTAACGACAGGCTTGTTGGCCGCCAAGTGATGCTGACGAGCACATCAGCGCCCCCTACTGTGAGCTCCACCTTCACGAGGTGTTAAACTGCTTTAGAAATGTTGCTCAGTTTGTTTCCACCCTAATAATTCTACATTCCTCATGTTTAGCTCAAAATCTCTCACGGAGTTTCCCAGATGTTCTCGCTATGAGACCACCGCCCTGCGAGACTGCAGCGCTACTGCTGTCCTCTCACTGACGTCCTTATCAACAAGCAAGGCACAGAGAACCATTACTCACTGATGATGGCAGCATTGTTGGTTTCCTTCCTGAAGCGGAAATCCCTCAGCTTCTTCACCAGATCTCCATCCACCTCGCACACAACTAGAGACTCGCTCTGAAAGACAGGCACAGATAAAACGTGAGAAAACGCATCTGCAAAACAGAAACTTTATAGGACAAAGGAAAAAACCAACCAGCTAAGATGTAAACAGAGTGATTCAGAGCGGTTTGGTTTCTAGAGAAACTTACCGAGTCAGAACTGTTCACAGTGGTGGTGATAGGAACCAGACGTCCACCTCTAAAAGCTCCCTCACAGAAAGTTCCTACATGAAATGGTTATGAATTCACTGCCTGATGACTGAGACACTGTTTTATGATAGTTTAGAGAACTTAAACTCCATCCATGGTGGAGGGATACATGCAGGGCGCTGTGAGGCAAAATAGTCCCCAAAGAAAACTTATTATTTCAGATTTTCCACTATTTTCATCATCAACATTCCATATAAACTCAGAAGACTCGTGTAGGTTCACTGGTGGTTCTGGATAGTAAATAAAATGTCTATATTTGTGTTGTAGTCATGGCGACCCCTGGTTCCTATCAGCACCACTGTAAAGACATCTGAACCGTTTCACACCAAACCACTCTGAATCTCTCTGTTTACATCTCACACACTGGATTATGGAGGAATATAGAAAGACTGGTGGGATTCCCCTTTAAGGCCTTTCAAAAGGTAGTTTAGTTTCACTTTAAGTTTGAAAGACGACGTGTGGGTCATTATTGTTTAGTTAAGTCCATTTTCATTGTTCAACATTTAAGAAATCTGATTGCTGAGTTAATAATCACAATAATCCACAGATTGTTAAATTACTAAAATTAATTTCACAGCCACAACGTGTGTAAACAAACATTCATTACTGTATTTCAGGTCTCTTTACATCCTCAGCAGGTGTTTGTGGTGTGTGTGACATTCAGAAAGGCAGAAATATCTATAAAAACAGACAGAAGTGTTTTGCACAGCTGAAAACAGTATTAGAAATCTTGAAGCTTCACTTTTATCCATTTTTATACAGATTATTTCACAACTCCACGCGGTGAGTGTGATGATCACGGTCTGCAATCAGCACTACGATTTTTGGTGAGACATAATCTTCCATTACTTGTTAGCTACATTAGCCTCGTAGCTCCAGAGCTAAAACTAAAGAAGCAAAACTTCAGACACCGAACACGACTCGGCTGATCAACCTATTTTAGAGTTGGAGGGGCCGACTGGGGGATTTTTCACTGAGCTATTGACTTAAAGGGACTTGCTCTGCCTTCTGTCCTATTTTTATAGATTTTTACAACCACAACAACAACAACAACAACACAAACAACATCAACAACAACAATAATAATAGCTTTAAACAGCACTTTTCACAAACCCAGGGATTTTTTCTACATCAAAGAAAAATTAAACAAAAATAGGGTTTGAAAAAAGGAGAATAGCAACCGCAAAGACACCAATTTTAACAGGAGCTTTGAAGGAAGCAGTAAGAAGTCAATGCTTCTCTTACTGTCACTGTGAATCTGCATTCCAAAACGCAGCATTATAACCACAGCATGATGTCAAAATAAAAACTGACTGATAAAACTGACTGACACTGCGCAAAAGTCAGACGCCACGTTCCATTTATCCATTCTTCTGAGTTTATATGGAATGTTGATGATGGAAAATAGTGGAAAATCTGAAATAATAAGTTTTCTTTGGGGACTATTTTGCCTCACAGCGCCCTGCATGTATCCCTCCACCATGAATGGAGTTTAAGTTCTCTAAACTATCATAAAACAGTGTCTCAGTCATCAGGCAGTGAATTCATAACCATTTCATGTAGGAACTTTCTGTGAGGGAGCTTTTAGAGGTGGACGTCTGGTTCCTATCACCACCACTGTGAACAGTTCTGACTCGGTAAGTTTATCTAGAACGGAGTGTTTCACACCAAACCATTCTGAACCGCTCTGTTTACATCTTAACCAGTTAATTATTAGGGCTGGACAATATGACAATGTTTATTGTTATCGTGATACATCACAATACGTCACAGTTCGTTTCTTTGAGTATATCATGGACATTGTCAGTTTTCAAAAAACACTGACCAGCTGCATATTTCAGTACAAGTACTGACGATATAAAGATGTATTTTATTGTAATGTGACATTTTGTTGTCATGATAAACTGTCATATTGCTAAGTCCTTTGTCACAACATGCTTCTTTGAGTTCATTGTGCACATCTGACACTGACCAGCTGCATATTTCATTATAAAGAGAGCATAATTAGTGCTGTTTGATTGGAATTATTGCAGTGTAGGATGTGAAATGTTAAATACAAATTATTGTCTTCACTGTTTTTGATAGTATTTTTTAAACTGTGGCCTTTCTGGTTCTTTTCTGCTGCTTCAGCTTATCAGACATCAGGAAAAAAATTATGTTGTGGCATACTGTGCAATGTGAAAAGTTCTTGAAGTATCAGGACATATTTTTTGCCAGATCTATTAATTATGCAGAAATTTTGAAAAATCGTCAGAACACCACATTAAGTACAAGTTATTAGTTTATATCTCAAAGAAATCTGCAGTCCCAAAGTTCAGTCTCAGTAGTTGGTTTTACATTTTCTGTGTCTTACAACCCCAAACACATTCAGTGGTGTTGAGGTCTGGACTCTGGGGTGGTCAGTCCATTGTTCAGCTTCTTTGTTTGATGTGTCCGTCTCCTTTTCTCAGTGAGGTTCTTCTTGATCAGCTACACATCCTTTCAGACCCACAGCGCTGAGTCGTCTTCTCACAGTGGAAGGATGGATAGAAACACCTGTGGATGTTTTCAGATCTGAAGCAGCTTGATTTTCTCCTCTCTCTCACAGATGAAAGCTTTAAGTGCTGTTTATCTGATGGGGGCAGTTTTGGGGTCGACCAGGTCTTCCAGGTGGTTGTTAGGAGTCACATTTTCTCTGGAGCTTTCAATCACCTAAAAAAGCACACTAACTACTTGCACTGCAATCTGCTCTAGCCGGGTACGCTTAGTTTGGAGACAGGCATTGAAACATGATGCCGGTTTGCAAACGCACAGATTTTCTTCTCATTCTTTTGTCACTGAAACAAACTCGACCTGCCTGGATGTCAAAGGAATGGGCCTCTGCGCGTGTGTGTGTGTGTGTGTGTGTGTGTGTGTGTGTGTGTGTGTGTGTGTGTGTACATGCTCTGACATGTCAGCAGCTCCTGGCTCTGGAATAAAAAGTGCAGGGATTTTTTGTTCACAGTCCAAACAAAGACATTGTACAAACTGCAGAAAGCTCCAGGCCTGAATTCCTGCTGCTCTGCATTGAGGGAGGAAGTTGTAAGTGTATTGCAGCACATTACAACGCACTGGGTGTAACTGCAGCCCGCAGGAGGAGGGGTGCCAACACTTTCTCACAAACAGCCCAAAACCTCCACAAGCCCCCACACCGACATCTGCAGTCGCATTTCAGACACATAAACACAACGAGGATGAAGTTGGCTTCTCTGTTCAGCAGCTACATATTCGAATTTTCCGTTCCACCTTAAATGGTGCAGCAGTTACATTCTGGCGCCTCAGGCGTTCTTATAGTAACTGCTGCACCATTTAAGGTGGAACGGAAAATTCTAATGAGAAGCTGATTCCAGCTTCACGCATTACATAAAATTCCTCCAGATCTACTCACCATTTTCCCGGAGCTGATCAGCAGCACTGGCTGGCCGTGTATGCGTGAGTGTTTTCCTCTCCAGTCCCGTGACTTCCAGCTCGACCAATCAGCTCGCTCAATCTGCTCCCCGACACTAAACCGACCAATCAGGCCGCGCCTTTATTCTCCGGGCCAATCACAGTGCTCCTTCTTTTCCTCTGACCCTGTCCGGACCAATCACAGCGCTCGATTTTCGTCTCAAATTCTGCCTCGACCAACCACAGCGCAAAATCCGTTCCAGGATTCCGCGTCGGCCAATCACAGCGCTCCCTCCGTCCTGGAATTCTCGAACAAACTGGAGCGATCGTGCTGCTCTCATCGCGACCAATCAGAACGCGCGCTCTGCGCACCGACCAATCAGACCCGCGGTGCAGTTTTTGAACTCTGCGCTGATCAATCACAGCGCTCGCGCTGCACTCCGATCTCAGATCAGCGTCTTGCGCCGCTCGTGCGCGCAGCGCGGCGCTGTGTCTGATCCTGGATCGGCGGCTGTGGAGCGGAGCTGCGCCTCAGACTGACCGACGTGGCGAGAAGGACAATAAAAGGATTCCGGGTCGAGTTTGGGACAAAAAGAATATCAAACGCGGACTTTAAAAAATAGAATTTAGTCTTTTATCAAACTAAAATCTTTTTAACACAGTAAAATATTCAAAGGCAGTTATAAAATATAAATATAATTATACAAATAAATACACTGTAAGCAGATACGGTGTATTTATTTTATTTTATTTATTTAAATTTCATCTTGTTGTTTATTCGTCTGTTTGTTTATTTACATTTTTTTCTTTTATTAATTAATGTACTGATTTTTTTTATTTCATTTTTCTCTTTTTTAAATTATTTTTCCACTATTTTTTCACATGTGTATGCATGTATACACATGTCCGAAGCCTTTTGATGCATATAATCTCTATAAACAAATAACAACCTGCTTGTTATGATCAGAATTTAATGATTAGAAAATTAGAAAAAAAAATGCTGATGATGATGAATGCTGTTGATAAAACTGCTACTTTCCCCTTTATTTTCTGTTGTTTTTCTGTTGATAAACCTGGCGCTACAGTTTGATATCAACTATAATGTGTGTTTGCTGTTTATTTATTGTAATAAGGTTGTAGGACTTTTATTCTGAAGGCTGCAGTGTCGCCCATGATCCCTGAGACCTTTTGCCAAGTAAGGAATCTGAGTTCTCTCCACACTGTAAACTGATGCTGTTTGGTACTGGAATCATTTTCTGGAAGACATTCAGTGGAAGAAGATCTGGCGAATTCCTAACCCCAACCTAATCACTGATAAAGTTCAGGAAGTGTCACATAAACTTATACATACTTAAACAATCTACCCAGCTAAAAATACGGAACAACATTTAAACCTAATATTAAAACAGCTTTTTCATTCTGTAGCAGCTGCTCAGACACAGGTAATCACTGATTCAGTGTAATATATGACAAAATGCTGACTGAAAGCCTCAGAGCCTTTATTGTTTATATTATTGATGAGAAGTGTTGTTTACTGTGGAAATGTGTTTTATTTGGTCTTTTGGAAAGTCACAGAGCTGAATGCACACACGTATGTATAATAAATCCCATACTTTTCATGGCTGAGTTTTATCATCATAGCTGTAAATTCTCAAGCAAAAGGTGCATTTTTGTTTCTGTTTAAAAAAAGAACATTATACTGAACTAATCGAGGCCTCTTTAGAACCAAAACCTGATTTTTGTGTAGTTGTGTTTCTGTAGCAGATTTATTACTGTATGTGTACACATAATACCAGTTAGATGTATATTGTTACATGCATCTGATGTTGTGTAAAAAAACTTTTTAAAACATGTTATTAAATGCCTTTATTTACATTTAACATAATTTTGTAGTTCTTTTTGTTTTAAATTTAAAAAAAATTCTTTTTAAATGCAAGCATACAAATATGATAAGAAAGCATCAATCGAAGGACACCAACAACAGAAAAAAAGCAAATCAGAAAAAAAACACCTACGACCAACAGCCAAGGGACTCAAAAACAAACAGGCATCAATATATACAAACATATTCAAAGATCTACATAATTTCAGTGTTTTCTTATTATTATTATCATATTATATTTATTGTAATGATTTCTTATTAGAAGTAGTAATTGTTTTCATTGACAAACACATTTAAAAGGATTATTTGAATATTTACATTCATGAATATGAAAATTATATTATATGCACTCTTAAAAAATATCTTCAAGTGTTCTATATAGAACCATTAACACTCAAAGAACCCTTTGCATGATTAAAAGGTTATTTGCAATGTGAAATGATTCTTCAGATTGACAGAGAATGTGCTGTAGATGGTTCTATATAGAATCTTTTTGAAAAGGGTTCTATATTTCATCAAAAAGGGTTTTGCCATTGTGTACAATGTCAAGCCTGTAACAGTAGAGGAACCCTTTTTGGTGCTACATAGAACCCATTTCAAAAAGGTTGTATATAAAACCATCTACAGCACATTTTCCATCAATCTTCACGAGGCAAAGAACAAATTATGCATGCAAATGGTTCTTTGAGTGTTCATGGTTCTATATAGAACCATTTGCTTTATTAAAGAACCCTTGAAGAACCATTTTTAAGAGTGTAGGTTCTATTACATACTTGTAAAGGGAGGGGTGGAGGGGTATTCCGTTGATGTCACCGCTAGATGTCACTAAATCTTACACACTGCACTGTTAATTCAACAGACTGAATCAGCAGTGCTGCGGTGGAGGTTAGCATGTCGGTGTGGTTGCTGGGAGCGTTGAGGAGAAATCTGGAACCTTCTAAATAGCTCAAAAGATAAATACTTACAAATTAAATATATTAAAAAATAATAACTTATTTTTAACTTCATGGCGTTTTTACATGCAAAACCACAGAATCGAATCTCTAAAAAAGCTTGTTTTTCCGTGTCGCCTGTCCCTTTAAGGACACGCCCACTTTCACACACTTTTGCGTAATCACGTTTGACCAGTTTGAGCTGTGACGCTGCAGTTTTTCCTCCCCACACCCCTGCTCGGTCAGGCTCCGCCCACCAGTGCAAGGATTGGCTCGTAGTTCATTGGTGCACTGCTTCTGAGGGTGAACAACGAGCCAATCCCAGCGCTGAAGGGCGTGGCTCTGGTGGCCAATCCAAGGGCGGGTTTGGTCGGAATACGAGAGGGAAAACAAAATGTCGATTTGTTAACCATGCGAGCCGCTGAGTTTCCCTGCACGTATGACTTATAGATCAACCTGTTTCTCAAACATGGTGTCCCTATTTCCAGCCCCAACCTCACTTCCTCTGTAGAGTTCAGTCATTTGTAGTTTGTGTGTGTGTGAGTGGTGTGTGTGTTTTCCTGACGGGTTTACTGTAAGTAACAGAGGCTGATCCTCACCGACAGGCCTTCATTCAAAACGAGGTAAAAACACACAGCAGCATATCGCGGATTGATTCCTTTGGTTTCGCATGCTTGTCAGTATTGATTGATCTGATTAGCCGATGATAAACACTAATTTTGTGGCTTCTTTAGAGTTTAAACACGAGGCTGAAGTTGACTTACTATTCGCCAGCTTCTTCGAAATTTCCCGTTCCACCTTAAATCGTGCACCAGTTAAGGTGGAACGGGGAAATTCGAGTAAGAAAAGCAGAGCTAGCTGAATAAATACAGTCGTTTTCCTGCTGTGTGAAATCAGTGAGTTTTATTGGTTTCTCTTTTCCTCCACAGGCCATGGCTGATTTTTCGGTGAGTGCATAATCATACATTGGATTGTTAGACAGACACATCTTATATTTGCCTTATTGTTTAACCAGTTACAGCCTGTTTTATCAAAGCTACACAGACCTTTACACCTTCCAGTTTTGTTTATGATGTGGGCTCTATAAAAATATACAAGTTGGGTGTGTTCCGTTTAGCATTAGCTCACGGTTTGTTTGTTTGTTTGTTTGTTTGTTTGTTTTCATTTGAACTGGTTATTATATAATATAACCAGGTTTGGATAACTCATTGGGTGTCGTAGTATAAAAGTTATGAGCAAGCTAGAATACCTAAACCCAATAAAAATGTCCACTCCTCCTGTAGAACAGTCCTCATCTTAAAGGGGAATGCCACCAATTTTTTAAAATTCTGTTTAATTCAGTGTTTGAGATGTAAACAGAGTGATTCAGAGTGGTTTGGTGCGTTCAGATGTCTTTACAGTGGTTGTGATAGGAACCAGGGGTCACCATGACTACAACACAAATATAGACATTTTATTTACTATCCAGAACCACCAGTGAACCTACACGAGTCTTCTGAGTTTATATGGAATGTTGATGATGGAAAATAGTGGAAAATCTGAAATAATAAGTTTTCTTTGGGGACTATTTTGCCTCACAGCGCCCTGCATGTATCCCTCCACCATGAATGGAGTTTAAGTTCTCCAAACTATCATAAAACAGTGTCTCAGTCATCAGGCAGTGAATTCATAACCATTTCATGTAGTAACTTTCTGTGAGGGAGCTTTTAGAGGTGGACGTCTGGTTCCTATCACCACCATTGTGAACAGTTCTGACTTGGAATTTTTCTTGAAAGTCAGCTGTGCCGCTCCATGACATTCCATATCTGGCTAAGTTCATGTTTTGTGGAATACACCTCAGCTGAACTGAGCATGTTGTTGTGTAAACAGATTTTCCTTCATCAGTAGTATAATTCCCTTTTAATATTTGTTTACTCCAGTTTTTCAGCCTAATCTCTGTCTGTCTGCCCCCTCTGAAGCATATGATTAGTCTCCATGTACAGTGATTTCCCTGAAACAGAAAACCTGTTGACTCAAAACACATTTATAATAGAGGACGATGGGCTGGTGCTTCAGTGTGAGTCAGGAAGTCAAGAGGTTTTTCTGTTCTTTTCTAAGTACATGGAATTATTGTCAGTGGAAACTGACCATGTGCTACAAATAGAGATTAGACTGAACAAACGTGCCTTTAATCCAAATTTAAAGGATGTTATGCTAATGCTGTTCCATCATCACTGAAACTGTCTCTCTGTTTTTTGTGTAGCTTGCTGATGCAATCGCGGATGACGCCCCCAGTCAAGCACCCAGAACCGCTAATGTTAATCCATCTGCCCCAATAAACGGGGCTCCACCTGCCACTAATCCTGGCTGGCCTGGTGCAGCTCCGGGTGGTCCCAGCTTCCCCCCGTCCGGTGGTCCAGCCCAGCCTTCTGCCCCCGGAGGGTTCCCCCAGTCTGGCCCCGGTGCCCCGGGCTCCTTCCCCCCTGGTCCAGGGGCTCCTCCAGGGCAGTATCCTAGCGCCCCTTCTGCCCCTGCCGGATACCCCCCTGGCCCCGGAATGCCTGGACAGTTCCCCCCTGGACCGGGGCAGTTTCCTCCAGGAGGAGCGCCAATGCCCTACGCTGGGGGGCAGTTCCCCTCCACCCCCGGGGCTCCACAGGGACCCTACCCCAATGTGCCTTACCCAGCCGGACCCCCAGCCCCAGGCATGTACGGCCCTGGGGGCCCTGCAGCCTTTCCCCCAGCCGGAGGGCCCGGGCCGGGCTTCGCCGGAGGTGCTTTTCCCCCTGTACCCCCTGGATCCTGGGGCGTGCCTGGAGGGGGCTTCCCTCCCCAGCCTGGACCTCCTGCAGGATATGGACCCGGACCCATGGGACCATACGGGGGCCCGGGGGCCCCTGGAGGCATGTTGGTGAGTAAGGCTGAGGGTGTGGGAATGTTTAATGGCTGGGCGATATGGCTAAAAACCTTAGCATGACATTTTTTCCATATCAAACTGATAATTACTAATTAAACAAAAGACATTTGTGTATAATAATTATAAACTGCTGACATTCCTGCTGTAGCAAGTGAACGGCTAGACAAGTTCTACCGTCTAGTGAGCAGTAAGTGCGCAGCGCCATTTAGTGTATCAAAGTAGCTGTTCAGAGTTAAAGCTTTTGCTGCTAATGTAAGATTGAGGAACAAAATGGCATTCACACTTTATCGATATGGAAAATGTTTGATTTTTGTAATGTGTGGTTTTATCGCCCAGGCCTGCAGTATGAGTCTGTCCATGTGCTGTGGGGGGTGTTATGTGGGTGTGCATGTGTTGGTTGGTGGGTCTCCTGACTGCTGGTCAAGGTTTAGCGTTGTTCCTCAGGCTGCTCCAGTGGTGTATTTGGTGACTGAGGGCAGATGTGGATTTGGCTTGGAGGGACTTTGGACTGAGAATTGAAGTGTAGATGTGAAAAAACTCCTGTTTTTGTCTTTCAGCCGGGATATAGGCCTCCATATCATTGATCGCAGTGAACACCGCAGATATTCTCAGGGGGAGCAACACTGCAGCCTTCAGAGAGAGAGAGAGAGAGAGAGAGAGAGAGAGAGAGCAGTACAATCAAAACTGCTGACTCTGCTGACTATAAAACATGCCAACATTTACGCTGTTACAGGCTCGTCTGTGCCTTACTCTAATAATGCAGTGAGCGCAGATGGCCTATAGACAAAGTTCAATAAGCCAGCTTTTTAAATAATATATTTTATTAATACACTTTATTTTCTTAATCCTGCTACCTAAGGACTGTTATGTGTTGCACTTTTAATGAACAAATCTTTGTACTGCACTTGTTGTTTATTCCACCAAAATGAAGTAAATGTAAATGCTGACTTGTTGCAGGTCTGATTTAATGTCTTATTCTAGTGGGGATTTTTCACTGAATATTTGTACTGTTAAGTGTTCAATGTTGCTTCATCACTGATTGCTGAATAGATGTCTGGTGGGTTTAATGATGTCTAACTTTTAAATTCGACAAAAAATCCAAAATAGTTTCCCCCCTTTCACTGATCAGCTGAGATTTTGCTGTTTGCTTCTTTATTTTCAGTGCTGGAGCTACGAGGCTAATATAGCTAACAGTCCAAGTAAGCTAATATCTCACCAGTTAGACATGCAGTTAGCACCAAGCTAAACCGCCACTCTCGCCCGGTTCCTGACACTGTATGACAAAATCCTCCATAATAATCTATACAAAATGGACAAAGTTTAGGCTTCTAAATGGCAGCTAGTAGTGATTTAGCACTTAATTCCAGTCTCTGTGAGCGACTTGTGTAAGACGTGAAGAAGAAGTGTTCCAATTTGCACAGCTAGCTAGCCTTAGGTTAGCTCTGTTAGCCTCAAAGATATAGATCTACTGTTTTCTAATGATTTGTATGATAGTAGTAGTACGCCAACATCATTAAATAACATCAACATGTATAAAATACAGCCTTAAAACCTGCACTCAAACTGGCTAACAGGAGAATAAAAGGTCATCGTGTCTGAACAGTGAACTAAGACAGCCAGCTAACCGCTAAGCTAATTTGCATATATCTAAATCAGTATTATGGTCTAATTAATGTAAAATGAGCTGCTGTTTTTTTTAAAAATTAATTTTAAAAAAGTGTCTATGACTCTCGACTCAGTTTCGCCTCTATTGGTCTCGACTGCAACGCTAACGTTAGCTTGTGCTGCTGTTTTTAGCTATGCTAACATACTTTAGCCCATTTTTACAGGTAACAGTGAGTTATATTGTGTGAGAAGCCACAGAATCACGTTTAGTGGAGGTCACTGAAAATCTCCACACACTTTTAGACACGGGTCATTATTTAGACATGCAGTTAGCACCATGCTGCGTTAGCCTCATTGCTAAAGTGCAGACAAACATTGCTTGACTACAGGTTGAGTAACTGAGGGAAAGCTAAGTGCCAAGTGCTGCTGTTCCTCATGTGTTGGGCTCATCTGAAGAGTTTTTCTGGTTATCTGTTGTAACTTAAGTGAGTTTTTTTTAAATCTGCTAATGGAGAATGTTTTTAGGTCCTTGACACCACAGATTTATCCAAATGCTTCAGTAACATTAATAAACGTGTACTGAACAGGCTAGTCTGTGCTCTGTCATTAGCCTGTTAGCACAGCTTTATCCATATAAATGTAACGTGTGTCTGATAGTGTTGAATGATAAAGCAAAATGTAATATCACAATACTTAAGGAAGTTTTTTGTGATATGTCACAATATTTTTCATGTCTGATAAATTAGACCAAAGTAAGCCCACATTTTAAAAATACCATCAAAACCATGAATCCAGTTACTTGCATTACACATTTCACACACTGTGCTGCACTAAATCCAATTAAACAGGACTAATTCTGCTCTCTTTGTAATCAAACAAGTTAGTTAGTGATTTTAAGTACTGACGATGTCCATGATATGCCCAGAAAAGGAAGTTGTGACATACTGTTATGTGATTTATCACAATAATGATAAATATAGTCATACTGCTCAGCTCCAGTCTCAGCTTATTCAGAGGTTTATTTGAACTGGAGAAGCCCAGAGGAATGTGATTAGCCTAGTTTCAGTGTTGGGACAGTGTTTGCTGGAGTTAGTGAGTCACTGGGCGGGGTTTGGAATCAGGTTGTGTGTCATGCAGCCCTGATTTTGCACACTGTTGTCATGGTGACGTTGTTTTTAAACCGGGTGTTGTCACATCAATCTGACGTTCATTTCCACCCATTAATTCTAGGAAGGATCCCTTTTTTCTCTGAGAGTGGATCTCAGTGTGCAGTCAGTCGGGAAACGCTGAGTGTCTCTGTGCACAGCTGTGGTCTTTTACTGTTTCAGAGACTTTAATTCCCATTTCTAGCAAAATATATAAACATTGTTTTTGTGTTAGGATGATTGTCATAGAAACACAGCAAACTCATGCTTGGGTTTTAGTAAATTATATAAACTAATAGAATATTAAAAGGGTTCAGGATTTAACGTAAGTGCTACAAATAAAGTGTTATGAAATAACTATATATTTATTCATATTTAAGTTACCAACTTACTTATTCATGTATTTTAACACTAGTTCTGCCATAAAGTGATGACATAGACAGATACTTTGATATAGCTTAGCTCTTAACAACATATAACACATCATAATGAAAGGTTTGTGAATAATGATTATAGTAACTGTAAGAACACAGAAATCAGAATATTAATAAAACACAAGCTGGTCACTAATGTTACTTGGATAACCATGTTTTTTATAGTTTATCATATTTCTGATCATGCATGGGGCAAAGGTTTATGGCTTTTCAGATATTAGCTAAAAGAACTAATAAAAATAAGCAAATAGTCTAATAAGACGAACACTTTTATTTCTACTCGTGCACTAGTGAGTAAAGTACTCTACTTTTTCCTCAGTTCTATTTTAGTCATTAACATTTAGTTCCTAATTCCTAATTTAGTTTTATTTATTTATGTATTTGTTCATTTATTTAGTTACCTAGTTATTTAGTTAGCTAGTAAGTTATTGGAGGGAGGGTTGATTCTGTTGTGTTGAGTCACTTCCTGGACAGAAAAAAAACATAATTTTAGCACTTTTTAAGAACTCTAAGACACTTACAGTGACTGAGAACACAAACTGGAAATTCATAGAAAGTCTGAAGATAATTTAGAGGCGGGGCTGAAGTCTTTACATTTTGATGGACGATTAGACAAACAGGAATTTAGCCTTTTAAATGACATGAATCTTGTTTAATGAGACTGTGAGCATGAACTAACGATGAAGAAAGAAAAAAATTACAAAGAAAAAAGGTGCAAAAAAAAGAAGAAAAAAAAAAGAAAAGCGGTGCCCAAACCTGCCATAGTTCACTGTTTATGGTGGGCTGAAAGCCGAAAAGACTAAGCAATCTACAAATAATGAAGGTAGGCAGATTTTAAAAATGTGTTTTGTTACTAAAATACTTCAAAAAATGCAATTTAAAAAGAAAATGTGAAATTAAGTCGTATATGGTTACATTTACTGATTTGGTTTGAAGTCAGAGTTTCAGACTTGTACCTGACTTGAACTTTATGCTTATACCCTATACCTTAATTAGGTTAATTAAATAAATAAACATTCTGTCTCTACCGAAACAATCATAACAACCCAAACTTTCCCAAATGTTTCAGTAGTGTCTGTTTCAGTAGTGACTGTTTCAGTAGTGACTGTTTCAGTAGTGACTGTTTCAGCAGTGACTGTTTCAGTAGTGACTGTTTCAGTGACAATTTTAGCTCATTTTGAGCTCAGAAACTCAGCAGTTCATGACCAGCAAACACAGCTCTGAACAGCTGTTCATACAGAAAATCATCATATTTTACATTAAAACACTAAAAAGTGCTGAACTGCAGAAAATATGACGGTTCTTAATGTTCCACACTGATTTTCAGACTTTGGGACACATTTACTTCAAAACAATGGGATCTAACTGCTCAGCATGTGGCCATGAGGGACAGGGATGCAGCCTCACTTCCTGCTCTGAAATGCAGGGGCGGGGATAAAATAAGCCCCGCCCACACACTAAAACATGTCAACAAACAAAACGTGACATGAAAATGTAGGATGGAATTTTTAAATATTAAACTCATGATAAAACAATCTTAAAAAAAGACTGAAAGAAATTAAAAGTACGTATTACTTTCAAGTGTAAATTTAGAGGTTAGGATTTGGGACAGACTCCGCCCACTAGAACGTACCCTATAAGTGATGATGCAGTATATATTTAGCTTATTGCTATCTCCTTGAAAATATCTAAGATCTGAATAATTCTTTTTTTTTTTTTTACTGTAGGACTGCAGTTTGATCTAATTCAGTGAAACAGCCCAGATATCATAGAAACATGTTTGGTCTCTCATTGTGTGTGAGGGGTTGGGGGTACAGTAATTTTCTGGCAAGCAAATTAGCTGAAATTCTCTATGTACACTATATTAATTTAGCTGGATTGGTTGTTCTAGTATGTGGCTGCCTGAAGTGGCAGTTTTAGGGCAGCTGTGTACCAGAATAAGAAGCCCAGGTAGTTTCATAGAGTGTACATAGAGAATTCCAGCTAATTTGCCTGCATGCTGTTTAAACACTGGAGAATTTGGAGAACTTTGAACAATCACTCCATACAAGTCTGTGATAACAACAGAGGTGAGTTAGTTGGTCAGTTAGTTTTGCTAACTGAATGTACTGAGCCTGTGGGCAGGGCTCTGAAGTGTGATGTGGAGAGTTTTATGATTTAACGTATTTATCACAGTGTTTAAGGAGTGTTTAGGGAGTGTTTATGATTGTTTGAACTGATCTTTTCCCCTTTCCTGTGTTTGAGTTAATGTTTATACGGAGTGTTTGAGCTCTGCTGTGAGTGACTGTGTGTCTGTGTGTTTCAGCCGGTGCCGTATGACCTGCCGCTCCACGCTGGGATAATGCCCCGCCTGCTCATCACTATAGTAGGAGAACCAGTTCCAGGAGCAGATCGGTAACATATTTACATACACACACACCTCACCTACAGTAGCCCAACAACAGGGTTCTGTGACATAAACTCACTGGCCACTTTAATAGAAACACCAAACCTGTGCTTCCACTAACTGGCTACTTTATTAGAAACACCCACCTTGTGCGTCCACTAAATGGCCACTTTATTGGAAACACTGTCCTTGTGCTTCCACTCACTGGCCTCTTTATTAGAAACACCCACATTGTGCTTTTGCTAACGGCCACTTTATTAGAAACACCTACCTGTGCTTCCACTAACTGGCCACTTTATTAGAAACACCTACCTTGTGCTTCCACTAACTGGCCACTTTATTAGAAATACCTACCTTGTGCTTCCACTAACTGGCCACTTTATTAGAAACACCTACCTTGTGCTTCTACTGTCAGTACAGTTGAGGCAAGTGTGTGATGATTAGCCATGCAGTTAGCACTATGCTAATCAGTGAAGTGTAGGCTTCCATTACTTGTTAGCTATATTAGCCTCATAGCTCCAGTGTGAAAGCTACAGAACCAAACCTCAGGCGCTAAGCACGTCCCGGCTGATCGATTACTTGTAAACTGTAAACAGTGTAAATTAGATATTTGCCTAAACTATCGCTTTAATACATTCTCTCCTCTCCTTCTAGGTTCCATGTAGACTTTGTAAAAGGTCCTGACATCGTGTTCCACTTTAACCCTCGCTTCCCCGAGCAGACCATCGTCAGGAACTCAAATCTGGGGGGCTACTGGGGTCCGGAGGAGAGAGAAGGGGGCTTTCCTTTTGTGCCGGGCAGACAGTTTGAGGTACAAAAGCTTTTAATCTAACAGGCACCCATAGAGTGACTGGGGTGACGCTTCACTCTCCAATAGCGCCCCCTAGTGTGTTTTTATTTGTTTGTTTTCCTGCCCAAGATTATTTCGACAGTCTAGCTGAAGTATGGAAAAATGTACTACCTTTCTGTCTGAACAAATTTTTGAAAAACTAAAGGTTTTTAATTCTCAAGGTTAAGATTAGAACTGTAAGTTATTACATGTAATCATTCAAGACCTAATGAGACATATTTTATATATGTTTATTGATTTTCTTCTCTACAGAGAACCCACTTACATAATTATATTTTTGCTCATTTTAGTGCAGAAATTCTATTAATTTGCTGAGTTTAATATATTAAAAAAAAACATAACCACAACATTTGCACAGGCTATATTTTATGTTTTATTGTTTTTTTCAATATGTCCAGTTTCAGCCAGTAAACAGTAGCTGTGCATTAAAATGAGCAGCAGTGTGTCTCAGTAGAGGATGTGCAACTTATTTACACTCAGAAAATCAACAACAACATGGAATTTGACCAGGAGCGCATAAATACGTATGAGTCATTATTATTATTATTACTTATAATTACTTACATATACACTGTGTTTCTGTCTCAGTTGAAGATCCTGGTGGAGGCGGACGTGTTTAAGGTTGCTGTGGACGGAGTGCACCTGCTGGAGTATGAACACAGAGTGGGGGGGCTGGAGGAGGTCACGCTGGTGCGGGTGGTGGGGGATGTCACACTATACAGCATCGCACCCAGCATGATCTAACAAACACAAACAACAACAACAACCCCATTTCCTCATGAACACACACAGTGAAAATTGCGAAAAGTTCACAAAAAGTCCAAGTGTCCCCAAACATTTCACGGTCAGAGTAAAAGCTCTTTGCTGGACCATCTTCACTGATATTGCTGTTTTTTTATCACGTTGTGAGCCAATTACACATCTGTAAATATAAAAAATACTTCAATAATTTGTGGGAAATCCTCAATGTCTCATATAGAAACTCAGATGCTCTTGTATGCAGAGTTCTAGGACAAATCTTTAATGTGTGTAGAACCTTTACACCTTCACACTTGCAAATCTCATTTCTTTATTGTACCATCCAGTGAAAGGTTGTTCTACCAGAAGTGGTTCCTCAAAGGCATCGCTTTCTGGTTCCGTTACTTTTTTTAGGAGTGCACTTGTTTTTGTCCAAGTTTCTCATCAAAGCTGGATATTTTGAAGTTCTAGAGCAGAGGTTCTGCACGTTTTTTAAAGCCATAACCCTTTGAAGTGTAAACTGGGGGTTGCGACCCCTCACTATCTCAAAATGAGTGATTAACAGCGAGCTACTTTGGCTTTAATTAAAGTTTTGAACTGTCTGACGGCCCTTTGACAGCTCTTTTTGTTCTAATTCAGATGGATGACTTCCTCTGGCAGGCTAACACTACGTATGTGGATTATTTGTAGCGTAGTTAGCAAAAAAAAAATCACGTAATGTATATACATATAGGTTCACATTAGCTGCTAGGTTTGCTGTTGGCTAAGCAATGCTGCACACTGCTGACAGTTAGAGACTTTTTCTTTCACAACACTGTTTTAGCTTATATTGATAAGATGACATTGGCAATTTTATGGATATTTTCTTATTGTCAAAAATATATGGTCAAAAATACATCATTTTTTTGGCATGCACTCTGTGGCCCCAGTTTTGAGAACCGCTGCTGTACTGTTTGCGCTCTGTTCCACAAACCTGTAATCTTAATCTCTGTTGACCGAACCACTAAACTGACAGTGATGAATCACCTGAGCTGGAACCACAGATATACATAGTAAAGACCTAGTTAGCCTCCCGAGGGCGCTCTGCTCTAACCCTAACCCTAACCCTAGCCTGTACTCCCTGGAAGTAAGCAAGTAAGTAGACTTTTACAGTTATTTTTCTTTAAGACACACAAGTGAATCTGAGGCAATTTTTATTTTCTTTAGAGAACAGCATCTGAATTTTCTAAATTTCTCCATAATTAGTTGGTTCAGATGTAATCAGACGGGTGCAGAGTGGTTTGGTGTGAATCGTTCTGTTCTAGAGAAACTTACAGAGTCAGAACTGTTCACAGTGGTGGTGATAGGAACCAGACGTCCACCTCTAAAAGCTCCCTCACAGAAAGTTCCTACATGAAATGGTTATGAATTCACTGCCTGATGACTGAGACACTGTTTTATGATAGTTTAGAGAACTTAAACTCCATTCGTGGTGGAGGGATACATGCAGGGCGCTGTGAGGCAAAAGAGTCAAAGCGCTTTTTACAACAGGTGTTGTCACAAAGCAGCTTTACATAAAGATCCAAGCCCCCAATGAGCGCATTGGCAACAGTGGCAAGGAAGAACCCCCTACGAGCAAGAGGAAGAAACCCTGAGAGGAACCAGCACTCAAAAGGGGAACCCATCCTCCTCTGGTCCCCAAAGAAAACTTATTATTTCAGATTTTCCACTATTTCCCATCATCAACATTCCATATAAACTCAGAAGACTCGTGTAGGTTCACTGGTGGTTCTGGATAGTAAATAAAATGTCTATATCTGTGTTGTAGTCATGGCGACCCCTGGTTCCCATCACCACCACTGTAAAGACATCTGAACCATTTCACACCAGACCACTCTGAATCTCTCTGATTACATCTCACACACTGAGTTATGGGGGGAATTTTAAAAAATGTGGAATTCTCCTTTCATATAGTGGGTTTTTTTAAAGCCTTTTTAAGCGTTTATTTGATTACCACCACTATGATAATTCTGGGATTTGCAGTGTTCACTTTCCCACTCTGAGTTTAATGTTATTTATGGCAGCTTTGACTTAAAAAAAAATCATATTTAAAGCTCACAAAACTTTCATGTAAGATATTGTTAACTTTGTATGTTGTAGTTTTTCAACAAATCCTTCAGCAAATGCTTCAGCACAAAGCAACAGCCTGTTAGCTGGTTAGCTGGTTAGCTAGCCTGATTCTTACATACAGCATGTCTCAACTTACACATATATCCTAATTTAAACTCCAGATTGTGATGTAGTGCACAGATACTAACGTTAGTGCAGATATTTGCTATATCTGAATAACTACACTCACGCTTATGGCCAAGGAGTATATAGCTAGCTGCTAGGCTATAAAAGGCTGTGTTAAGTCGGCACTTACTGTCTCAACTTTTAAAGGAATTAAATTAAACTTTTACTTTGAAATTGTCAAAGTAAATCCCATGAAATATCTTACTGTAACCCTTAAATTGCAGGAACTTGAACCAGAACTGTTTTCAGTTAAATCTGCAGTTTTTGGGAGATGTTTGTGTTACAGTGTGGAGAGGGGGGCTAATACGGGGGCCTAATACGGGGGGCTAAGTGGTCTCTAATATGTATATCTGTGGCTATAACAGTTCTTTATTCACAAACGCAAGACTGATCCACTAAAAGGACGGACCCTGCTGTAGTTCTCAGTCCTGTGATTTCACCGTGGCGGATATGCTGGACTTTCCTCTCTGTAACTCTTTTTCCTCAACATTTAAAGCCTGTTAGCCATTAGCTATTTAAGCTAAGCCTGTTAGCTATTTAGCATGCATACTAAAATATGACTGTTTATCTTTCAAAACACATTTAAATGCTAGAAATGTGCTCTTTCACAGGTATCGCCGATACGGTACAGTGAGAGCAGTGATGCGTCGAATCTGCTTCACATGTGTGCATCACTTCCACATGAACAGCATTTATTACATCAGCACCATTTGGTCTCGCAGTCTACCTGCATGTGTCCGTACCTGTGTTGATGTAGTATCATGTGGATGTAATTACACATCTGAAGTCCTTTCGGTACATGACTCTTTCAGGACCGAGGCTGGATGAAGTATGTTTATATATTTTTATTCCAGCAGTGCAGTGAAAATCTGATGGAAACGTCCTGTCTTTGCCTCGCCGTGTGAAATTGTGCACTAGTGAGTGTGATTTCCGGGTTTCGAAGAGATTAGAAAGTGTCTTAGTGGACTTTTTTAATAGTATAATCATATATTCCTGTGTAATAATATTTCACTCAGTTGAAATCAGTGTTAAAGAATGAAACTAATTGCCAAAGACACTGCAGTGGATTTACTGAAGGTTTGGAATAAAATATTAAAATCTTTTTGGAAGATTTATTTGTTATTTTATTTGTTATTTGGTATTTTTATTTATTTATTTGATGGCAAACAGGTTTATTTATTTATTGATTGATTGATTGTATATACATTTGTTTACACCTGGGTAATTTCTGTGTGGAGTATTTTCTCCCCATGTCTGTGTCAGGTGAATTGGAGATGCTAAGTGGTCCCTAGGTGTGAGGGAGTGTGTGTGTGTGTTCTGCCCTGTGATGGACTGGCGACCTGTCCAGGGTGTTTCCTGCCTTCCGCCCAGTGACCGCTGGGATAGGCTCCAGCACCAACCCAGATATTTTAAAACTACAGATAAAAACCTTCCTTTTGTTTATTAGGAGAGGTAAAAGCTGGACGCCTCCAGCTGTGTCCAAAGAGACCTCTGGACTATAGACTGTATTTATATACAGCACAGACATACAGTCTGTGATTCAGACCTGAAATGATTCGGAGCAACAGCGCCGTCTTGTGGTACAAAGCTGTAAAATGGGTTTTCTGTTAAAGAGAAACGTCACTGACTCGTTTTCCGAGAGGTTTGATCACTTTAAGCCGCAAATGTAGCTGACTGCTGTGTATTAATACGATTCAAAACATCCCACTAGTTTAAAGCTTAAGAAACACTAAAATACCGATATTTGGTTGTTCCGTAGCCTCTTATGCTCCTTGGGACCACCGGTGGTTTCAAAACGCACTTCGTCATATTCTTCATAACTTACATATTTCATAAGCTACATTCTAAAGGTGGGGGTCGTATGAGAGCTGTAACTGTCTTCCTTCCAATCAAATAGATGGTGATGTCATTTTAAACCCTTATAATAAAAGAAGCTGAACTCACAACTTATTTTCTACTGAAAGTCGACCCATTTCAAATCTGACCTATACACTATAAACAGATGGCGTCTCTTCAGTGATCTGCTCTGTAAACATTATTTTTATAAAATAATACAAAGAGCATATTGTAAGCATATAGTAATACGTGTATCATAAAACACATGTTCTGTTAATTTGAGAGGAGCTTTTACGAAAAATAAATCATTAAAATAAAAATTTACATTCATTTAATGCAGTTACTAAATAATTTGCCTTATGATTTGGGCATGAAAATTCAGACGGACAAACCAAAATATACCCTGGAGAATAAGAACGACGACTACATGGGAACGGGTGCAGGCCGGCAGAGTACCACAGAAATCAAACATATAAATAGTTTATATTATAGAAGTGTAATGTTTACACGGGTTACTGTCTATTTTTTTGACAATAACACGAGTATTTTGTTTAAAACATGCAAATAAACACAAATCAAATGGCTCTCCGTTGAAAGAAGCGACGGAAGCTGATGCAGTCAGTCATATTGGCCAGCAGATGTCGCAGTACTGTCTAAATAAAATAAATGTCAAAAGCGGCTTCAAAACAAATTTCCCCATAATCCAGTGTGTGAGATGTAAACAGAGTGATTCAGAGTGGTTTGGTGTGAAATGGTTCAGATGTCTTTACAGTGGTGGTGATAGGAACCAGGGGTCGCCATGACTACAACACAAATATAGACATTTTATTTACTATCCAAAACCACCAGTGAACCTACATGAGTCTTCTGAGTCTATATGGAATGTTGATGATGAAAATAGTGGAAAATCTGAAATAATAAGTTTTCTTTGGGGACTATTTTGCCTCACAGCGCCCTGCATGTATCCCTCCACCATGAATGGAGTTTAAGTTCTCCAAACTATCATAAAACAGTGTCTCAGTCATCAGGCAGTGAATTCATAACCATTTACTGTAGGAACTTTCTGTGAGGGAGCTTTTAGAGGTGGACGTCTGGTTCCTATCACCACCACTGTGAACAGTTCTGACTCGGTACGTTTCTCTAGAACAGAGCGTTTCACACCAAACCACTCTGAACCACTCTGAACTGCTCGGTTTACATTTTAACCACTTAATTGTGCAGTATTGTTGAAAATTGGTGGAATTCCCCTTTAAAACTCTTGAAGCAAGACACTTAATTTCTTATTTAATGGTATTAGTATGGATATATGCACCCTGTCAGAATGCTTTTAAGAGGACATGCTAACATTCTACAGCATTTAGCAGCCAAAATCCACAGTGACTTAGTTGTGTATTTAGGAAATGGATCCTTAAATTACTGCAAAGAGGCTGAAGTCCAAAGATATCTTTGAGCTAACACTGCAGGAAAGTCCAGCACTGCTACTGAGATACAGAGACACACAATACAGTGATTACAAGACGTTTGACCTTTTTGAAGTGCAAAACTCTTCGTTAAAAGGAGAATTTGAGAAAAAGTGCGATGTCCAGTGTCTGTCTTGTCCTGTTGGGGTTACCATATACAGTATGTAACAGCAATAAAACTTGTACTACACTGGTGTAATCACAATAGAGTTCAATTAAATGGGAACTCAAAATCAAATTCCTGCATAATTAAGTGGTTAAGCTGTAATCAGAGCGGTTCAGACAGGGTTCAGAGTGGTTTGGTGTGAAACACTCTCTTCTAGATAAACTTACTGAGTCAGAACTGTTCACAGTGGTGGTGATAGGAACCAGACGTCCACCTCTAAAAGCTCCCTCACAGAAAGTTCCTACATGAAATGGTTATGAATTCACTGCCTGATGACTGAGACACTGTTTTATGATAGTTTGGAGAACTTAAACTCCATTCATGGTGGAGGGATACATGCAGGGCGCTGTGAGGCAAAATAGTCCCCAAAGAAAACTTCTTATTTCAGATTTTCCACTATTTTCCATCATCAACATTCCATATAAACTCAGAAGACTCGTGTAGGTTCACTGGTGGTTCTGGACAGTAAATAAAATGTCTATATTTGTGTTGTAGTCATGGCGACGCCTGGTTCCTATCACCACCACTGTAAAGACATCTGAACCATTTCACACCAAACCACTCTGAATCACTCTGATTACATCTCACACACTGAATTATGTAAAACTTTGGGAAAATTGGTGGGACTCCCCTTTAACTTAAATTGAACTGAATTATCCCGTCACTCTTCTCCACCAGATGGCGATGTTCTGCCTTTTCCCCCACTGTTATTCTCAGCTTGTCCGCCAGGGGGCAGTAGAAGCACCAGCATTTGAGGCAGGAGGCGCTGCTTGGTTTCACCTTCAGCCCGAAAATCAAATCTGATGAAACTTTAGCGACGCTTCGGAGAATAAAACACCATGAACGGCTCTGCGCCCGGGGCTCGGGCGGCGCTGGACATCCAGCTGAAGCGGGGACCAGCCGGTCAGTGTCTCTTAATATCAGTCAACTCACTTTCTCTCTTTAAACACGAGCAGCAGCAGCAACGCAGCGAGACCAGCGAGGCTGAAGTTCGAACTAGCCGTTCCACCTTAAAAGCTGCTGCAGTTGCGTTGTGGCGCCTGAGTGCGTCACAGTGTGTCAGAGCGGAGCGGCGGCGCCACTTAAGGTGGAACTGGAGATCCGAGCGCGAAGCTGGCGAGTAAAACTCCTGCTGAACTTCTCAGCGCGTTTCTGCCAAACCCTTCGCGAAACTTCTCCGTCTGTCAGCTTTGAAGAGCTGCAGAGACGCTTATTGATCCGCTTTATCGATACTGATTGTTTTATCAGGCTTTTTATCAGAGTTTTGTTCATGTTTTCCTGACTTAGCTGCTGTGCTAACAGGCTGCAGGAGCTAAACGAGCTACGAAGAGCGAACTGGAGTTAAATTAGGAGGAAAAAATGAAATATTTTGCATGATTTTAACTTTCAGACGTGAAATCGGAAGCAGTTAAGGACATTAAACGAGCGGACAGATGGTGAAAATCACTATTTGAGCTCTGTCAGTGTCTGTGTTTAATGTTTAATGGGTAAGTTTCGATTCGTTCTGTGCTGCAGAGGAGAACATAACTGTATAGCTGTACAGCTGAATATGTAAATCAGCACAGTTTATGACAAATAATCTCATCTGACTCGTTTATGGTACATTTGATCAACACAGGAAAGTGACAGTGTGTGTTTTGCATTAAAGGAGCCACATCAGGGAGCTGTATCTGTATAACTGAGTGTTTTATATGGAATGTTGATGAAAATCTGAAATAGTAAGTTTTCTTTGGGGACTATTTGCCTCACGGGGACTATTTGCCTCACAGCGCCCTGCATGTATCCCTCCACCATGAATGGATTAAAATAAATGGATTAAAATATCCACTGATAACCTTTAGAGGTGGATGAAGTTTGTTTTTACAGCACAGTTCATACACAAGGGCACTTCACTGTGTTTTACCGCAATAAAAGAGCAATAAAATGAGTAAAAAAGGCCTAGACGGATCCAGTAGTTCAAAAACAGAAAACTGATGATTAAAAGGAAGCACATCGAGGCAAAATACAAAAAAACATAAGAGGAAATTAAATAATTAAATTGAGCTTATTAAAGTTACGATGCTAAAATAAAGTGCAAATTTTATAGCTCGATTATGATAAAACATAAAGAGAAATGAGGTGGACATCTGGTTCCTATCACCACCACTGTGAACAATTCTGACTCAGTAAGTTTATCTAGAACAAAGTGTTTCACACCAAACCACTCTGAACCTCTTTGATTTCATCTCAACCACTTAATTATGACGAATTTTTAAAAAATTGGTGGAGTTGCCCTTTACCTTGTAGACCCAGTGTGAGATGAGCTACAGAAGAAATCAATACTGAAAGATTAAGAGAATAACAGACAGATTTTAGGACATTTTTACGCAGTTATTATTGTTTGTACTAATATACTAATATACTAATATTCCTGTTTATTGATTGCCACACATTATAGTGATGTTTAGTTAATTTTGCAATGTTGCCTTTATTTTTAGCAATTTAAAGCAATATTGTTGTTCAAAAGTGCATTATTTTTCCTCCAAATACTGGAATATCCAGAATTTTTACATTGTTTTCTTCTTAAAAGGCCTGAGAGTTTATTTAGGCCGTAAAAGGAGCGTAGCTGCATGACTTTATGGCTAAAACCCTTAAAGATCTGTTTATGTTAGATCGTTATAGCTTACAGAGACTCTTGTGAAAGATACAGATGCGGCTGATCTGGACTCGTTTATCATTTCTAATATAATACAGTTTGACTTTTCTGATTCTGATTAGTACAGTCTGATCAGAGAAATCAAACACAGCTTCACAAAGCTGAGTGTTTATATTGTTTCTGCTCTGATTGTCGTAGCTGCTCTGTATTCGCTCTGTTCACTGGTCGTGTTTATCTTTGGTGTTGCATAATTTTAATTTTATAGGACGCTGTAATATTCCCATGTGAACTTTGACCTGTGATAAGGAGAAAAAAGAACCCTGACTGGTTTGTCCAGATGATGATGATGATGATGATGATGTTAAATGCACTCCATCTGTTTCATGTCAGCCTCTGTTCAGGTGTGACAGGAAATGACTTGATTCAATTATGAGTCTTTAGGAAACGATTCAGTGCATAAAAAAGCTCCAGTTTTACCACGATTCCCTCAGAAACCCTTTTTAGGAAACGATTCCTTTCACTTACAGTTTTTCAGGAAACACTTTGATTGAGGGAAGCAAGTGATTCAGTTACAGTTCTATGGGAAATGATTCAATTCCAGTTATTTAGAAAATGATTTGATTCATTTGCAGTTCTGTAGGAACAGTTTGATTCAGTTAAAATTCTTTAGAAAACGATTCGATTTGTTCGGAGATCTTTAGGACACAGTTTGATGAGTTCTTTAGGAAACGATTCAGTTCATATTAAATCTCCAGCTTCACCAAGATTTGAATCAAACATGCAAATTTGATCGGAGGAGCTGCTGTTTACCCGCAGTAGAATATAATACAATGCTTATTTTTTGTAAATGCGTACTTTGTTATTGAATTATTAAATATTATTCTAATATTTATCCTGAATCAATGCAGCTGAATCAGCGCTGTGATATAGGTGTGTTTTTGCGGCTGTCGTGTTTTCTGTAAACGTCTGATGTTTCTGTCGGTCTGTTCCAGGTTTGGGGTTTAATATCGTGGGCGGTGTTGATCAGCAGTATCTGATAAATGACACCGGCATCTATGTGGCCAAGATCAAAGAGAACGGAGCGGCTGCTCTGGATGGACGACTCCAGGAGGGAGACAAGATCCTGGCGGTAAACCTGCTGCTATTAAAGCGATAGTTCAGAGAACCAAACCGCCAAATGAGTCATGTTTGAGATGTTTGTTTGTTTGTTTGTTTAGATAAATGGTCATAAGCTGGAGAACCTGCCTCACAGCGCTGCAGTGGAACTGTTCCGGAACGCAGGCGAGGACGTCCAGCTACGAGTTCAGCCGAAAGTGAGTCTCTCTGTCTCCTATATTTCAGTTCAGCTCCAGCAGCACTGCTGTGTCTGATCCACTCGGACCAGCACAACACACACTAACACACCACCATCACGTCAGTGTTACTGCAGTGCTGAGAATGATCCACCACCCAAATAGTACCTGCTCTGTGGGGGTCCATGGGGGTCCTGACCACTGAAGAACAGGGTAGCAAAGTATGCAGAGAAACAGATGGACTACAGTCTGTAACTGTAGAACTACAGAGTGAGACTATATGGTCAGTGGAGCTGATAGAGTGGACAGTGAGTGTAAACTGTACAGATTGAGTCTGATGTCAGGTTTATATAGTTAAACGATTTAAAGTGCAGGTGTGCAGTGATGGTAAAAGGGTCTGTGGTCAGTCTATGGTGGACGTTTGAGAGGGTCTAGATTAGTCCAGGTGCATCAGGTACATTAGTTTAATAATCTAATTATTTATGCAGTGTTGGAGTATTATAGTAATAAGTATGACATAGATAATAACTTTCTTTTAATAGTCTGACATTTTTGTTTTGGCCAGAAAATGAGTATCTACTGTACTGAACATCATCATAATTGATTATAATGTTCCAGAATTATTGTATTTGAATCACCACCTTCAGAGTGATGAGTCACAGTGCATTCATACACAAATATTTAGAGATTTAATTCAGTTTCAGATTACAGATTGGGTTTTTAAAGCCTTAGTAACTCTCAGCTCTCGTCTCTGTGCATTAGTAGAGTAGTTGTTCTCATTATAAAACGTTTTGTTAAAGATGATCAATTTAAACATTGTGAATTCTGTGTTTGTGTTCTCTCTGCAGTCCCAGCTCACAGCAAACGGTCCTGCAAACCCGCGCGGCGACGGAGACTCGCCTTCATCTGTCCTTCCTCTGATTGCCCTTGGGTTGGCCGCAGTGATTCTAGGGTTCATGTACAAACGTCTCGTCGGCTCCCGGAGGCCATTTTAACCTCTTTCCAGTCACACATTTTAAAGACGAACCTTATGAACTTTTTTTTTTTGCTGAGGGCCAAAAAAATAACAGTGACAACAAAATGGAAACGGAGCTATAAGAGCGAGAGAGAAAGTTTCCCTGATAGCAAAATTAATATAATTATCACAGCAAACAGTTAGATATACATTGAGTGATAATCATGCATAACCAAAAATTCTAAGCTGTTGTGTCGTAGCTCGGCTGAGATAGAGATTATTTTGATGTGAAAGAAAGAGGAGGATGGAGAAGCTGCTGAGACCGAAACCTGCCGAGGGACCAAACCGGCCGTTCCTCCAGTCCTGTAGGGGGCGCTGCGGGACATTCTAAGAGCCGGTCCTTCTCCTGAGCGTATACGTTCAGGAAACGTAAACGCGGCACGTCGTGCGCCACCAGGCGGACAATGAGGCCAAACCTTTAACTAGCCAGTTTTGCTAATGCACATAAACGTAGCGTGAGTTAATGGCCCGTTATAAACCACAGTAATGCTAATAATGCTGCGTGTCTGTCCTGCTTCTGTTCATGCGGCGTGTTCGTGTACGTTCCTCTCACTCACTGGTTGTAGTGGAGGTGCAGGTTAAGTGTGTGTGTGAGGTACAGTACTTCAGTACTTGAGTAAAAGTACAAATACTCTTCATAGATGATGACTTGAGTATTGAGTATTTACGTTAATGCATGAGAAGTGCAGGTGTTCTGTGTATTTTTTCCTACTTGAGTAAAAATAGATGTTCTGTTTCTACTTGAGTAGAAGTACAGAAGTACTCACTCGACTACTTAAGTACTTAAGTTCTACTAAGGATTCCTGTGTGAAACGTGGCTGGTTAGCTGTTAGCTGTATCTGCTCTCCTTTCATAGCAGTTGTTCAAGGAAACAGTTACTTACAGTACTTCTACTTTTGGTACTTGGGTACATTCACAAGTAAGTACCTCTGTACTTTTTGCTCAAGTACAAATATAGATAAAGTACATTAACTCACGTAGACAGAGGCAGAATCTTGTACTTTAACTCAAGATGAAATACTTTTACTTAAATAATTTTTACCAAGCTTATTTTTCCTTTTACTCGAGTACACCAAGTACTGCACTCCGTCCGCCGCTGCGTCTGCAGTGTAGCTGATTATCGGTGTTTGTCCTTGTTTAGCGGTCTCAGCAGAAATGAAGTCACGTTTGTGCACAGTTAAGATGTCACCCAGCTCCTCCTACAGTCAGGCGCGTAGTTTGGGGGTTCGTATGTTCGCATTTCTCAATCAGACGTGTTCGTTTATTAAAGGGGCGCCTTCAAAAGAAGGGAAATAACGAGACACAGCATAAAGAGGGAAGTGTTTGCACTGGTATCCACCCCTTTCTGTAAATGTCACTAATGGGAACTCGACTTGATTTTCTGACTCAAGCTGCTGTGCAGTGCTGCCCTCTGCTGTCCAGGCTGTGCAAGTGCAGCTAGTAGTGAAAGTGTTCTGAAGCGCAGTGCTCTGGTTCCTGTGTGTGAAACCCACTGTGTTCGAGTGTGTGCGTGTGCGCTTATGTTCTGGAGGTTCAGCCGTTTGGTCAAATGGGGGAACCTGCTTTGAAAAGCCTTATCAGCATGAATGAAACGCACTTCTTCACTGTCCTGTCACTTCCCATGTTGAATCCACGCTGCATCACGCTTCGAATAAATGATTTGTTACAAATGTGTGTGCTGTAAACTTCCCTCTGGTTCCTTCTGCACTAAATGGGCTCAGTTCAGTGTTAGACAGCACTGATTGCCATAAAGACTGTGCATGTTTGTGTAAAACCGTATTGTTGACATGCTCTCTCACTCCCACGCAAAGTAAACGCACCCTGCTCCCCCTCAAAGCTGGAAGAAAAACATTAAGTGCAGGTTTACATGTCTCTAATCTTCGCTGGTGCAGGACTGATGCACGGATTTGAAGCAGAATGTGTTGTGAATGTGTGAAAGTGCACTGTGACGATTGTAAATAAATGCTGATCATTGAGGCCTTACTGTGAGAGTGAAAGCTGTTATGTACCAGCAAACTGTACTTATAATGGGGTGGATTAGTGAGTATCGATGGGGTTCTTACACTCATCAGTATCACAGCTAGGTGAGAGTGGACCATATCCAGCTGAGAGCGGCTCTGAGGATGTATAGCACTGTGTATCAGAAGACGGGTCACAGTCACTAATTGTACCACTCTCGGGAATCCATGACAGCCTCTTAAAGTGGAGTTCCACCTATTTTCCAAAATTCCTGCATAGTTAAGTGGTTAAGATGTAAACAGAGTGGTTTGGTGTGAAACGCTCCGTTCTAGATAAACTTACAGAGTCAGAACTGTTCACAGTGGTGGTGATAGGAACCAGACGTCCACCCCTAAAAGCTCCCTCACAGAAAGTTCCTACATGAAATGGTTATGAATTCACTGCCTGATGACTGAGACACTGTTTTATGATAGTTTAGAGAACTTAAACTCCATTCATGGTGGAGGGATACATGCAGGGCGCTGTGAGGCAAAATAGTCCCCAAAGAAAACTTATTATTTCAGATTTTCCACTATTTTCCATCATCAATATTCCATATAAACTCAGAAGACTCGTGTAGGTTCACTGGTGGTTCTGGATAGTAAATAAAATGTCTATATCTGTGTTGTAGTCATGGCGACCCCTGGTTCCTATCACCACCACTGTAAAGACATCTGAGCCATTTCACACCAAACCACTCTGAATTTTGAAAAGTAAAGACACGGCCCTTTAAGGGTCACTCCGTTACTGTGTTAGTTTATTAGAGTTCATTAGACGAGCCCTCAGAGAGTTGAGGGAACAAGCGTAAATGTCGACTTCAGCAGAAGAAAGTGTGCATTTCCCTTTTCAAACTTGCAGACGAAGCTGTTCAGAAGCCATAGCGATGAAGTACTTAACTGAAAACTATTATTTTATTATATTCAGAACAGGTTTTGTGTAGCAGACTCCTCTGACTGCTAGTACAGCTTCATTACTCTGCTGGGTTTCTAGTGAGCTGCGACTGAGTAATCCGCTCCTCCACTTCTGCTGCAAGTGGACACTTGTATAATGTAGGTTTGATGCTCTTCTGAGTGCTGAGTCGAGGGCGTGTTCAATTTATTGAAACGGACCAGCAAAAGGTGGAGCTACAAGCAAGGGGTTTCCGATAAAGTGGCCAGGCAGCCACACCGCACTGGCCACCGTGTCAGAGCCACTGCTGCGCTGAGAATGGACCACCAGCCAAATAATATCTGGTGGCCCTTTGGTGGTCCCTTTCTGCTGATGTACGTTGTGGGGGGGCTGATAAACTACAGTAACAGATGAGCCCCAGTCTGTACATAAACACCTACACACTGGAGCTGTATGGAAGCAGTTTTTGATAAAATGGCCAAAGCGTACAGATACATTAGGTGGACCTAATGAGCTGGAATCTCAATGTATAGATGAGTGCCAGATGACCAGGGCCACTATTTTTGTTATTATTATGGATGTATGGCTCTCACTCTTGGTTTTCCAGCCCTTGCTGACATGATCACATGCTGTGAATATTTTCCAGTAGTGAAGCTGTAAAGCTGCACAGCTGTGAGAGTAACAGGCTGCAGTGCTGAATGTCGGCGTCATCTTTGTCTGAGAGCCACTGACTCATAACTCTGATCTAAATGAGCTCATCCACAGCTCTGATTTACCACCGGCTGAGTCCACAGCACCGTCCGGCTGGAGTCGAGCGAGAGATCTCAGCACATGAAATCACTGGGCCGCATTAGAGTGATCCAGGGCATAGCGTCAGTAATGCTGGACAGCAGTTTGGTCACTCACTGCATTCTTACACCACAAGTTGAGCGTAAATTAGACTCATATGGTTTACATTTAGCTGCCTCTACACACCAAACAGTACTGACTATATATTACAGTTTAATACTGACCATACAGTACTGACCTATTTTACTGTCTATACTGTATGAACCAAATGTTAAAAAAAGCCATTTTGTCCTTTCAACAAAAAATCAAACCACCTTGGCAGCCTCAAGATTTGATGTCCATTTTACCATCTTGGCTGTAAATGTGTGCTACTAGCATAGGCTAAAGAATATAAACAAAAACACAGACTCACTTTGCTCTGCTTTAAGCTTTAGCTCAGCTACAGCCGCTTTTCTCACATCTCTGGCAGGAAACTTTCCCACAAAAGTAGAATATTTTCTTGAAAGTACAGTATAGACCATACAGTACAGACTTATATTACTGACTGTACAGTATAGACCATACAGTACTGACCTATATTACTGACTGTACAGTATAGACCAAACAATACTGACCTATATTACTGACTGTACAGTATAGACCAAACAATACTGACCTATATTACTGACTGTACAGTATAGACCATACAGTACAGACCTATATTACTGACTGTACAGTATAGACCAAACAATACTGACCTATATTACTGACTGTACAGTATAGACCAAACAATACTGACCTATATTACTGACTGTACAGTATAGACCATACAGTACTGACCTATATTACTGACTGTACAGTATAGACCAAAAAATACTGACCTATATTACTGACTGTACAGTATAGACCATACAGTACTGACCTATATTACTGACTGTACAGTATAGACCAAACAATACTGGCCTATATTACTGACTGTACAGTATAGACTATACAGTACTGACCTATATTACTGACTGTACAGTATAGACCAAACAATACTGGCCTATATTACTGACTGTACAGTATAGACCAAACAATTCTGACCTATATTACTGACTGTACAGTATAGACCATACAGGACTGACCTATATTACTGACTGTACAGTATAGATCAAACAATACTGGCCTATATTACTGACTGTACAGTATAGACCATACAGTACTGACCTATATTACTGACTGTACAGTATAGACCAAACAATACTGACCTATATTACTGACTGTACAGTATAGACCAACCAATACTGACCTATATTACTGACTGTACAGTATAGACCATACAGTACAGAGCTATATTACTGACTGTACAGTATAGACCATACAGTACAGACCTATATTACTGACTGTACAGTATAGACCAAACAATACTGACCTATATTACTGACTGTACAGTATAGACCATACAGTACAGAGCTATATTACTGACTGTACAGTATAGACCAAACAATACTGGCCTATATTACTGACTGTACAGTATAGACCATACAGTACTGACCTATATTACTGACTGTACAGTATAGACCAAACAATACTGACCTATATTACTGACTGTACAGTATAGACCATACAGTACTGACCTATATTACTGACTGTACAGTATAGACCAAACAATACTGGCCTATATTACTGACTGTACAGTATAGACCATACAGTACTGACCTATATTACTGACTGTACAGTATAGACCAAACAATACTGGCCTATATTACTGACTGTACAGTATAGACCAAACAATTCTGACCTATATTACTGACTGTACAGTATTGACCAAACAATACTGACCTATATTACTGACTGTACAGTATAGACCAAACAATACTGGCCTATATTACTGACTGTACTGTATAGACCATACAGTACAGAGCTATATTACTGACTGTACAGTATAGACCAAACAATACTGGCCTATATTACTGACTGTACAGTATAGACCATACAGTACAGACCTATATTACTGACTGTACAGTATAGACCAAACAATACTGGCCTATATTACTGACTGTACAGTATAGACCATACAGTACTGACCTATATTACTGACTGTACAGTATAGACCAACCAATACTGACCTATATTACTGACTGTACAGTATAGACCATACAGTACAGACTTATATTACTGACTGTACAGTATTGACCAAACAATACTGGCCTATATTACTGACTGTACAGTATAGACCATACAGTACTGACCTATATTACTGACTGTACAGTATTGACCAAACAATACTGGCCTATATTACTGACTGTACAGTATAGACCATACAGTACTGACCTATATTACTGACTGTACAGTATTGACCAAACAATACTGGCCTATATTACTGACTGTACAGTATAGACCATACAGTACTGACCTATATTACTGACTGTACAGTATTGACCAAACAATACTGGCCTATATTACTGACTGTACAGTATAGACCATACAGTTTGATATATATATTTTTTTTTTTTGAAGGTGCACTTTTCTCTCATCATTTTTTTGCCCCTCCATATGTGTGGTTGGATTTTGCCATCGTTATGAGCCCTTTAATTCATCACTGCATCTCCGAGAGGGCAGAGCTCAACCTGTCCTTCAAAAAGATAAAGAAAGGGGGAGGAAGGGAAGAAAATGGATCTGACAAATGAGTGAGTGAGTGTCTGTGTGTTCCAGTGAGCGTCTGTGTAAAATCAATACTGACTCTACAGGAGATGCACTCTAAATACTGCAGAGTGGAAACGGATACGTTTGTACTAAAACTCTTTCAGTCTCAGCTGTGTCTGTGTGTCGGATTAATGTCATATTAAGGTAAAAGTGCTTACATTTCAAAATTGAAAATATTGATATTGTTGATATTGTCTGGATATTTAAAATAAAAAAAGAAAATCTCTACGTTCATACAAGAATGAAAAAATACTCAAAACCAGTAGTATTTACAGATAGCTTAGTACATAAAACTTCTAGGTTAGATATTTTGACAGCCTAGATCACCTTATCAAAAAAAAAAACACTACCAGCACTAAAACTATGAAGCTGAAGTCCACTTTTTATTTGCCAGCTTCTTGTTTGAATTTTCCCGTTCCACCTTAAATGGTGCAGCAGTTATTATAACACTTCAGATGCCAGAATGTAACTGCTGCACCATTTAAGGTGGAACGGGAAAATCTGAACAAGAAGCTGGCAAATGTCCATATCAGAAAATGTTCCCAGCATTGAAAAACATAATTCTGATATTTTGAGAGCCTAAATCAGCTTATCAGGGAAAGTACGTTCTCTCTCCGCCGAGCACTCGGTCTCTCAAATGCTGATAGTTTTTGAGGGAAAACTGTTCCACTGAAAGTGGCTGCAGCAGCAACTTAAAACGTGAACTGAATTCAGTGTAACGTTAGCCAGCAGCGGCGAAATGCTGACACACAGATTCTCCTCCATATGACAGAGTTTATTCCTTCATCAATCCTAATTGCACAAACTCATTTTTCCTCCGCTCATCGTCTGCTGAGGCTGAGCTTCACTGTGGCGTCTGGCTGTGTGTGAGCACTGACCTGTTAACATGAGCGCCGAAAGGAAAATCGAGGTAGTATCAGAGAGCTTGTAGAGAGGAGAATTCCCACTCTGTAATGTGCTCGGGTTTCTTAAACACTAGAGGGCGCTCCCGAGTGAGTCCAAAATAAATGAGTTAAGAGTTAAAATGCTTAAACATTTTTAATTTAAAAGAATAAATTAATTTCCTGAACAAAGAACAGCTTAAAACATTTTAACAGTGCTGTTATATTTTTAAGAGCTTACAGAAGTTTGAAACAGCGCTTTATGGACATTCATGACGTCCGTGATTGCGAACAGCCAATGAGCTGCTCTGCTCACCAACCAATCAGCACTCTGTAGCAGTAATGTTAGTGTTCTGCTGTCCTCATAACCCGGCTCTGGTAGTATTGTGAATCAGACCTGACCCTGCGTTCACACAGGCAGTGACACGACGAGACAAAGCGGCTGGAAGTCGTTCACTCAGCAGCGACACTCAGCGAGTGACACGATCGAGTTCAGTTCTGCTCAACTTAATGCAAATGAGCAGTGACAGGCGGCGGTGATAACCAATCAGAAAAGATGTTCTCAGGACCTGTGGAAAATGTTGCACCAACCTCGGCTCCTGCTGAAGATCTGTTCCACTGCGTTAATGTGAAAACATGGGGATCGCAGTGCTCTGTGACTTTAGCTGTGTTTATATACCAGCCGCTGTTGTGGCTCCACAGCTGAATCAGATTTGTAGGTAAAAATAAAATAATCCTCCTTTACAGTAAAATAAAGCTCTGCTGATCGTTCAACACAGTTTAAAAATAAATGGTCTTAAACTCTGGAGTTAATGTAGAACTGCTAATTCACCCTTTAACCCTGAAGATCAGTGCAGACTGCTGGTCACCATAGCAACACAGACAACAGTCTCGCCTAGCTAGTAGCTAACGAAACGGCAAATTTAAGATGAGCATTGATAATTTGGAGACGAATGGACTGATCTGCATTCATAATCACTCCAGATGGTTTCCTGATACGTTTAATCTGCAATGTGAAACTCAAACACTAAAAGTCGTGAAGCTGAGGTCAGATTCTCTTTCACCAGCTTCTTGTTCGAATTCTCCCGTTCCACCTTAAATGGTGCAGCAGTTACATTCTGGCGCCTCAGGCACCATTTAAGGTGGAACGGGACAATTCAAACAAGAATCTGACTTCAGCCTCGTAAAGTCAAAAGTTGAGAGACATTTTAAAACGTTCTACTTGTGGAAAAGTTTCCTGCTGGAGATGCGAGAAAAGCGGCTATAGCTGAGCTGAAAGCGCCCACCAGCGGCCGGCTGAGGACGGCCTGAGCGACGCTGAGCGATCTTACCGAGTTTTAGCCTTTGTGTGTGAGGTTGTGTGTTTTGTGTGAACCTGTTAGAACCTGTGAACATTAATTATGTTAATTATGTGTGTACATTGTTTTATTTATGTTTTCTTTTGTTCTTATTAAATGTTTTAATCTATTTCACTCCTGAAATTCAGTGTGCGGTCGCCTCTTTTTAGCTTTGGCGTATATCGCATCACAGAAATCATGCATTGGTCGTTTTTGATACATTTCTATATGTTAATCTTGGTTATGCTGTGGTAAATAACCCAACAGCAGGCTGTGCAGCTCTGCTCACTACAGCCGCACACTAATCAATTAGTGGCCGGATCAATACAGGCATTAGCAGATCAGAAAGAGGCTGGACACGCGCCGCTCTGCCAGCCCCGCTTCTCTCACACAGACAGAACGGCTGTGTTCGGTTCTCTGTGCTCTGATAAAGAGCTGCTGCTTTCCTTAATTAGGCTGCAGTTTATTCGTGTGTAAATATGTGAATATGTAAATATGTAAATATGTTAATATGTGCACTCTGTATACAAATATAGAGCAAGAATGCTCTATATAGCACCAAATGGTTCTTTGACTTGTAACAACAGTAGAACCCTTTTTGGTGCTTTATAGAACTACTTTGTTCATAGAGAAGAACGCTTTAACCATGCAAAGAACCATTTAAGCATTCAGATGGTTCTCTGAGTTGTCATACAGCTCTAGAAAACAATATACTAAGGTACTAAACAAGGTACTAGGTTCTTTTTTTTTGCAGAAGCAGAACGCTTTTGGGTGCACTGTAGAGCACTTTAAAGAAACAAATACATCAGGTTCTCAGTAATGGGGAAGAACCATTTAACCATGCAAAGAACAGTTTAGGCATTCAAGTGGTTCTTTGCGCGTTCACAGTTCTATGTAACCACAAACTCTAAGAAAAGAGTTTATTGTACCAAAAAGATTATTTGACTTATAACAATAGAGGAACCATTCTTCAAAAGGTGCTTTGAAGAACCTTGTACGACAGGTTTTTTCATAGAGAAGAACCATTTAACCACGTGAAGAACCTTTTAAGTGTTGAGTTGTCATAACCACTCACTCTTATATTCACGGTTCTATACAGAACCAATGCCTTTTCAAAAGAACCCTTGAAGAACCATTTTAAGGGTGTAAATGAGTAAATAAATCTGTAAATATGTAATTATATGTGAATATGCTAATGTATGAGAGTAAATATATGAATATGTAAATCTGTGCATGAATTACTGTGAATATAATACGATGATGATGATGATGATGCTGACTCTGCTCTGCGTAACGGCGCCGATGACGTAATGAGCTCTCGCGCCACTGCGCCCGCGACCGAGCGAATCTTTGGCGGCGGTGACGTCACCTCTCGCGCCCCGTTCACTTCGGTACCGGAGCTCCGATAGCGGCCTCCACCCCGCGCGCACTCTTACACTCACACGCACACACAGCGCAGTGCACGTGCAGCAACAACAACAGCGGCAGTAGCTGCATGCTAGCAGCTCGCGCGATGCTGCAGTAGCCGCCTCCCCCGCGCGCGCCGTTTCGGGCTGCCGGACTCACACGCGCGCCGCACCGGATCGGTCCGGCGGAGTTCCCGGATGAGCGGGACCGAAGAGCCGCACAGCCGGTTCGGTTCGGATTTACAGCGCGAGGAGGAAGCGGCGCGCGGAGCTCCGGCTGACTGAAGCTCGGTTCCACTTCCGGTTCTGGTTCTGCGCTCAGAGAGTTAAAGCTGCGGCCGCCTCGAGAGAGAAGAACCTGCACCTCTCTCTCTCTCTCTCTCTTTCTCTCTCTCTCTCTCTCTCCCTTTCTCCTGTATTTCTGCTCCTCTCTCTCTCTCTCTCTCTCTCTCTCTCTCTCCTCTCTCTCTCTCATTCTCCTGTATTTCTGCTCTCTCTCTCTCTCTCTCTCTCTCCCTTTCTCCTGTATTTCTGCTCCTCTCTCTCTCTCTCTCTCTCTCTCTCTCTCTCTCTCTCTCTCCCCCTTTCTCCTGTATTTCTGCTCCTCTCTCTCTCTCCCTCCTCTATCTGTTTCTCTTCTTCTCTCTCTCTCTTTTTCTCTTACAATCTCCCTCCTCTGTTTCTGTTCCTCTCTCTCTCTCTCTCTCTCTCTCTCTCTCTCTCTCTCTCTCTATCTCTATCTTTCTGTTCATTTCTCTCTCTCTCATTTTTCTCTTACACACTTTCTCTCTCTCTCTCTCTCTCTCTCTCTCTCTCTCTCTCTCTCTCTCTCTCTCTCTCTCTCTCTCTGGACCGGAGTATGGCCAGTGAACCTGTGATCCTGAATGTGTATGACATGGTAAGAGTGACTCTGCACGGATGCTCTGATGCTGTACTTGTTACTCCCATCCAGCAGGTGGCAGCATAGGCTGCGAGCCGTTCCCCATGTTTAGTGTTTGTGTTGTGTCTGTTGATCAGTGTTCTCCGTTTGGAGTTCTAGAGTTTTATGTAACTGCTGCAGGATTTAAGGTGGAGCGGAAAATTCGATCAAGAAGCCGATTTTAGCCTCGTAGTTCCTGAGCTGAGAGGGGCTGGATGTACAGAGATGTTTTGAGATGTTCTAAGGTGTTCTAAGTGTGTGTTCCACGGTCAGAGGCGTTTATCCGTTCTGCCTTTATGTGAGTTGTTTAAAACTCACTGTTAACCACAAAAACAACAGCAGAGCTGTAAACAGTCCAGAACAGCCTGGTGATGCTAATTGGTGGAGTATAGGCTTCCATTACTTGTTAGCAACAGTGCTAAAGCTGTGAAACAAAGTTCAAACGCCGAGCGCGTCTTGGCTCAGTCCGGTCCTGCCAGGGAGAGGAGGAATGAAATGCATCGCTTTTTTCCTTTTCGGTTTCAGATGGTTTTATTTTGAAATTATGATTTTCTTGAATATTGACTGATATATTGAAATGTGTAATTATGACTTATTTTTTAAGATTTTGAGATAGCATATCGAAATAATGAGAAAGAAATGATTAAAGCAATAAAGCCACTTCAGTCGAGTCAAGTCAGGCTTTCTTGTCATTCCAGCTACATACAAATACACAGTGACACAAAACAACATTAATCCAGGACCAACACAGGAACACAGTGCAGATGATACAGTACAATAAATAAATACGAAAGTCTTACAGTAAACACAACACAGGCGCAACGAGAAGTTGAATTGAGATAAACAAGTGTTCCACCAAGAAATGTGGTTCCTTTAGAGTATGGTATTGTTGCAGAGCAACCATTGACCGCTGAATAAGGAGAAGGACGTTCTGTTGCCCAGTCAAATTTTTTAACTTTTTGTCGTATAATAATGAACATATGATAACACAGCACTGGTTAATGCAGACACTTTAGCTTTATAAGTACTTTCTGGTCATCAAATTAGCACCATGAGTCGTTTTTAGCACCAATCCAGCGGCCCCTCTTCTCACACTGGGGCTGAATCTCAAACGGCTCCCTGCTCCCTACATAGTGCACTACATAGGAGTTTAAATAGTGGATCCTGCAGCCCAACAGAGCAAAATACAGCTAAGAAACAGTGATTTGGGACTCAGACTCATCCACACTCGATACATGATGCACTGTTTGGCTGTAGAGGCTAGAACTTCTAAACTTTCATAGCTAGAACACTATTTGGGGAGTACTGAGCCGTTTGGGATTCAGTCTGGGTTTGACGCGACTTCTGACTGAAACACGGACATTTAAAGTGTGTAAAACATTCAAGAGACATTTTTAGACCAAACATTTTTAAACAAAAAATGGGTTCTTACTTCATCAGTGTCCTGGTTGGTTCATGCGAGCAGCATGAGACTGCTTCAAACACGGTTCAGCCAATCAGAGTTTAGCACCAGAACTATCCGTTTATAATTAGGAATAATACGTTGTTACGACCATGTACTGAGTCACTGTTTAAACATAATTAGTGAATAAGAAACTTTTTCACTTGTAAGTTGATATTTTGAAAAAAGTCATTATTTCAATATAGTAAATAGTTTTAGAGAAAAGAAATAATTTTGTAGAGTCTTAAGGGAAAATTTTGAGAAAAGTCTTTATTTTGAGATATTAAGTCAATATTCAAGAAAATAATTCTAAATAATATACTAAGTGAATATTTTGTCGTACTGTAGCCAAAAACAGAGAAAGAGAAAAACAAAACAATAACAGAGGCGATATTTTCTCCTCTGCTCAGCGGGAATGAGCTTCCATATCGGAGTAATTCAGTTTAACGCTGGAGACGGTGGGAGTGAACACACACTCACTGACTGGAAGGGAATCACCATCGTCAGCACATCAGCACACACACACACACACACACACACACACACTGGCTGTGTTGAGAGTAGTTGTGTGTTTGTGTAGGTGTGTGCGTGTCTGTGTGTGTGTGTGTGTGTGTGTGCGTGTATGTGTGTGTGTGTGTGTGTGCGTGTATGTGTGTGTGTGTGTGTGTGTGTGTGTGTAGGTGTGTGTGTGTGTGTATGTGGTGTGTGCGGTGTCGGTATGTGTGGGTGTGTGGTGGTGTGTGTGGTGTGTGTGTAGGTGTGTGGTGGTGTGTGCGGTTGGTGCGTGTGTGTGGTGTAGGTGTGTGGTGTCGTGTGGTGTGCGTGTCTGTGTGTGTGTGTGCTCTAAGGGGCAGCTGCTCCTGATTCTGTTAAGTGAGGGGGGAGGGGGGGGTTAAAAGCACAGCTGCCCCCTCATCAATAATACAGCACATTCAGGTTTCTGATCAGAGAGTCATCTGCCCCAGAGAGAGAGAGAGAGAGAGAGGGAGAGAGGAAGAGAGAGAGAGAGGAAGAGAGAGAGAGAGAAAGAGAGAGAGTGCTGTAACGATTCATTTGTTTCCTCTGTGCATTGATTAGAGTTCCTCCTGAAGAAACTTCAACTTTTCTTCATAAAAAGAAAAAGAAAAAAAATTATATATACATATATATGTATATTTATTTATTTATTTATTTGTTTATATCTAGACTGATCAGCCATAACACTAAACCACCTCGTTGTTTCTAGACTCACTGTCCACTTTATCAGCTCCACTGACCGTATAGTTTTACTCTGTAGTTCTACAGTTACAGACAGGACCCCCATGGACCCTCACAGAGCAGGTACTATTTGGGTGGTGGATCATTCTCAGCACTGCAGTAACACTGACGTGGTGGTGGTGTGTTAGTGTGTGTTGCGCTGTTACGAGTGGATCAGACACAGCAGTGCTGCTGGAGTTTTTAAACACTGTGTCCACTCACTGTCCACTCTATTAGACACTCCTACCTTGTCAGTCCACCTTGTAGATGTAAAGTCAGAGACGATAGCTCATCTGCTGCTGCACAGTTTGTGTTGGTCATCCTCTAGTCCTTCATCAGTGGTCACAGGACGCTGCCCACAGGACGCTGTTGGCTGGATATTTTTGGTTGGTGGACTATTCTCAGTCCAGCAGCAACACTGAGGTGTTTAAAAACTCCAGCAGCACTGCTGTGTCTGATCCACTCAGACCAGCGCAACACACACTAACAAACCACCACGTCAGTGTTACTGCAGTGTCTGATCGCTGTGTCTAAGCTGGTTTATGCTGGTCTGCTGCTGGTTTAGTTGGTCACCCAGCTTCGTCACACTGCTGACCAGCATACCAGCATTAAAAACACAGCATGTTCTGGTTCTGGCTGTCTAGTTTAAATACTGTTTAACTCTCTCTCTCTCTCCCTCTCTTTCTCTCTCTCTCTCTCCCCCTCTCTCTCTCTCTCTCTCTCTCTATCTCTCTCTCCCTCTTTCTCTCTCCCTCTCTCCCTCCCTCCCTCTCCCTCTCTCTCTCAGTATTGGATTAATGAGTATACCTCCACTCTGGGGATCGGAGTTTTTCACTCAGGAATAGAGATCTATGGCAGAGGTAAATCCTTATAATCATAAAACACTGATGCATGGTGGGTGATTTTTACACTTATCGTTATGTGGTCATTATTTCCTGAGCTGGGCTGAAAATCATACCTTCATCCAGCAGGTCTAAATCATGTTAAATAAATAATAATTACCACACATGAAGTGTTTATTAAATGTTTTGCAATTTTAGCAAATTTTTACATTCACAAAATGAAATTTAACAGCCTCTTTTCTGTATTTCTGCACAGAAAATAATCAGTTTTTCTGCTTTAGGACTCTTAGGGTTGGTTTATCATCAGGCCTAGTCTAAACTGCAGTGCCAAAGGTGATTTACCACTGGGAACTTTTTTTAGTCTTAGGCTTAATCCTGATCTGGGAAACTGGCCCCAAAAGCCTTTTCCTTTTCAGAATCTTCAGTTCAGTCTTCTATTATTTCGATCCCTTTTTATGTTTCTCTTCACTGTACACTTTATGTGCACCTCAGTGTTTACGTGTGAGATATTGTGCACTAAAAATACTGAATTTAAAGCAAATGATCTCCAGTTATCGGTGATTTTTTCCATCAGAATTTGCCTATGGCGGTCACCCGTACCCCTTCAGCGGGATCTTCGAGATCAGCCCGGGAAACGCCGCCGAGCTCGGAGAAACCTTCAAATTCAAGTGAGGATTCAAATATACACAGACGCAAACATGCATATTTAACGATATTCATTTTTCAGCCTGAGATAAAAAGCAGAAAACACATATCATCACTGTCCAAATTCAAACAAGCATCTCCAAAACGGTAACTTTACAGGAAATGCCAAAACATTCTGTACCTCTAATGTCAGTCAGTGTGCAGGGATTTCATTTCAATCAGTTTTGGAGCATTTCTATTGGTCCACTCATCATTACATTTTGATGCAATCTGAAGGACAGCTGAGCCGAGCTTAAATGATATAGTAAAGTAAAAATTAGAAAAATGGAGTTGGGCTTTTAGACAGAGACGATATATAACATCATTACACAGAAGACTCAACAACTGAATATAATATCAATGTATCCAGTATTTAATTTGTCCACTCTTTATTTTGCCGCATCTACTGTCACTGTAATCTTAAATTCAGCTGCGTCCTCCCAACCACAAAGGAGTCACTGACATTAAGACCCTGTTTACACCTCGCGTTAACGCGTGTTTGGTGTCGTTATGTAAAGCTTTTTTTGAAACCAGAAAAACACCAGAAAAGGTTTTTCTGTTGTATACAAGCTTGACACTGTAACAACAGCAGAACCCCTTCTGGCTCTGTATAGAACCGTATACAGCACATTCTCCATCAATCTGCAGAACCATTTCACTAAGTAAGGTTGATGGAGAATGAGTTGTAAAATAGTTCTATAAAGCACCAAAAAGGGTTCTGCTATAGTTATGATGTCAAGCTTGTAACAACAGAAGAACCGGTTTGGGTGCTATTTAGAACTCTTTTCAAAACGGTCCTATATTGAATCATATACAACACATTCTCCATCAATCTGAAGAACCATTTCACCATGCAAAGAACCCTTTAATCATGCAAATGGTTCTTGAAGTGTTCCTGGTTCTGTATAGAACAATTGAGTTTTCTGAAGAACACTTGAAGAACCCTCTTTTTTAATAATGTACACTTACTGTAAATATCACAATTCACACTAACACTGTTCACAGTAACATCGAGCTATTTACACGTACACCATTCCGTGCTATTTTATGCTATTTCTTGATACTGATTCAGCAGCAGTTGCCTATATTTATACTAAACGTTGGTGTGTTATAGTCATGTGGTTTACCAGGTGGAGTTAGTGTTAATAGCCAGTCTGAGTGGTTACTAACTGTGTAACATACACTGCCCTTAATTTTATGCCTACCTCAGAGAGGCCATCGCTCTGGGCACGACGGACTTCACAGAGGAAGACATCGATAAGATCATGGAGGAGCTGGGGAAGGAGTTTAAAGGGAACGCGTATCACCTAATGCACAAAAACTGCAACCACTTCTCCTCCGCGCTCTCTGAGGTTAGATCTCTCTCTTTAAATATGTTTCGCCTCCTGTTTTGCTGTAGTGTCAGTGTAATCCACCCACAGTACAGTATGCTACCACAGATAACAGTGACGGCTAGGACGATAGCTTATGCTGCTTATTCCACTGATTTTTCAAAATCTCTTAATTATATAATAATAAATAAACAGTTAAGATGTAAACAGACTGGTTCAGAGTGGTTCAGAGTGGTTCAGAGTGGTTTGGTGTGAAACGCTCTGTTCTAGATAAACTTACCGAGTCAGAACTGTTCACAGTAGTGGTGATAGGAACCAGATGTCCACCTCTAAAAGCTCCCTCACAGAAAGTTCCTACGTGAAATGGTTATGAATTCACTGCCTGATGACTGAGACACTGTTTTATGATATGATGGAGAGAGATATGCAGTGTGTTGTGAGGCAAAATAGACCCCAATACAATTATTTTTGTTTCCAGTTTTTTCCATTATTTTACCATCATCATCATAACATATAAAACTCAGACACTGAGTTTTATGAGACCGTGTTTTACGATAGTTTTGAGAAGGTTTAGCTTCTAAAATGCATTTTTTAAAATCCATGCAGGGCACTGTGAGGCAAAATAGAAAACTTATTATTTCAGATTTTCCACTATTTTCCATCATCAACATTCCATATAAGCTCAGAAGACTCGTGTAGGTTCACTGGTGGTTTTGGATAGTAAATAAAATGTCTATATTTGTGTTGTAGTCATGGCGACCCCTGATTCCTATCACCACCACTGTAAAGACATCTGAACCATTTCACACCAAACCACTCTGAATGTTTTTCTTAGCATCCCAACGATTGAGCTATGCAGAGGTTTTGAAAAATTGGTGAAATTCCCCTTTCAGTGCAAGTGGGGCAGTAAACTTTGCTTGTCATCTCTCTCTCTCTCTCTCTCTCTCTCTTTCTCTCTCTCTCTCTCTGTAGTTGCTGTGTGGGCGTGAAATCCCTCGCTGGGTGAACCGTTTGGCGTATTTTAGCTCCTGTATTCCGTTCCTGCAGAGCTGTCTGCCTAGAGAGTGGCTCACTCCGGCCGCGCTGCAGAGCCACATCAGCTCGCACCCGCACACGCACCCGCACAGCGAGTCCAGCGACGAGGAGCCCTCGGGGGCCGTAGGGGGGGCGGCACACACCTGCAGACACACACGCGTCTGATCTTATTCACTACGACACACACACACACACACACACACAGGCTGCGTCTCAAACGGCCCCCTCCTCCCTCTGTAGTGCACTATATGAAATCATAGCTTCAGTGCTTATGTAGTGCACTATATGTCCACTAGGGGGCCAACTGGGATTCAGCCACACACACAGACCTCTGAGGACGTGTTGTTGCAGGCTGATCTGCGTCCACTGCCTGGTTTGCACCACTGACGATACATTTACCGGCACCAACTGGCACGACCCAGTCTGTACTGCACTGTACAAGCCATAACGAAACGGCCTTATTCTTCAGCAGTAATTACTTTAATTACTAATTACCTGCTCAGCTGGTGAGCTGTACTTAACTCAATTCGACTTTATTGTCATTATACAGTACAACAAAACACTTTAGGGACATTTCTCTGGTGCATAAACATTAATACAATGACATGCATGCAAATGCAAATGCACTAGTTGGGTGACAGTTTGCCTACACAAAATAAGTTAAAAAACAACACATAGACAATACAGTAAACAGACAACAGACAATAAATACAGAATAAACTAGAGACACAGAGGTGCTGTGGTGCATAGACGGTGTGTATATGTATGTGCAAAATGTGCAAAATAGGCAGCAATTATAGAGACAGTGTTCAGAAAACAATACATATATTACAAGTATGTTACAGATATACTGCAAGTATAGATGTTTACCTGTAAAACACAGTGATTTGCAGTATTGCATTGTGTATTAGTATGCACCACAATAACAATAGTATTAGCAAAGCTGGCCAAATGTAGGCTCAGGCCCAATCCCATTTCTTATTTTACCCCTACCCCTTGTTTTTGAGTGTTGCTCTTTGGAACTGAGTTCCAGGGTAGTGGCTGAAATCTTCCTCTGAAATGGGACCCTCAAATAAAAAGAGCATCACTTCATTAACAGCTACCAGCGCTGCTCTGTAGGCGACCCTGCCAGTCTGCAGTGACAGCAGAGGAGGGTAAAGTTCAGCTCCTCACTGCTGGGCTTTAGTTACATTTAGGGCATCATATGATCTTCAAAGAGGGGGGCAATTATTTATTATCACCCACCCCTAATTCTTCAGTGATATGAAGCTGAAGGGGTGAAATGGGATTGGGCCTTAACCTCAAATGGCTTCCTACTCTCTATGTAGTGCGCACTACCTAGGTTATTATATAACAGCTTCTACACAAACAGTGCATTGTATGTCTGAATAAAAGCCATTTATATTAAGTCAAAGCTGCACAACATCCTATCTAAGATTTAATGCACTGTTTGAGTGCAGAAGCCATGATTTCATGACCTGTGCAGTGCACTGTATAGGGAGTAAGGAGAGGAGATTCAGCCACAGATGCTAAAGCAGAATGATAGTAACGTTGAGCAGGTTTTGTCCGTACTCCTCTCGTCTCCCTGCGTTCTGAGTGATTTCACCCACAGAGAGAAACTAAGTGGTGTTAAGCTAGGAAAGAGACTGAGAACGCTTATATAGGGGTTTCAGCATTAAACACCCTGAGCCCCTCTGCTAATACAACAGATCAGGCAGCGATCTGTAACTCTGTAGTGCAGTGTGGGTGCATGACAGTGGTGCACATGCATGTGGATGCAGATCAGGTAGTGACACTCGTCAATTTGTCGTTTTACGTTAGCATCCAGGCGCTCCCTGGGTCCACGTTTCTGTCTAGAAGAAAAATAAATGGCAATTTTCTAAAATCTTTCTCACCCAGCCAGCAAATTCTGAAGCTGACACGTTTTGTTGTACACATATTGTTGTTAAATAGTGAAAATACGCGAAATACTACAGAAAGCTAGCAGTCCTTCATGTTTGGAGCACTGCTGAACACCACAGGGTGTTTTAGCAACTTTCATTCATTGTTCCCCGTAGAGAAAACCATAGAGTTCCTTATTTGGACGCCGACTATGGATTGACCACACGACTTTAGAGGTCTGCACATAAACAGACTGCAAGCTCTCATCCTCCTGCTGCTCACAGCGCCCCCTACCAGCCTGGATGACCAACAGACCTCAGAACTGTTTCCTGGAGAAGGACAAAGGTCGCGCTCCACCAGCCGGAGCCCCCAGGGATTATTTAAAAGCCTCCTACTGCTCCTCTTAAAGTGACAGTTCGGTAGAAAAATCAAATGCACTCAGTTTCTTCCATTGTCCCAAACGTATTTGATCTGTTAAGACGTGTTTGGTGTGTTAAGTTCGCTTTTTCAGTTTTGTACGTGAGCTAGGCTAATGTAGCTAACAAGTAATGGAAGCGTATGCCCTGTTGATTAGCATCAGGCAAATAACATCCTCACACACATCCCAGACTTCCCACACGGCCCAGACTTCGTGGAGTTGTTCGGTTTAGTTTTAGTTCATTGTGATTATTGTGATGTACAAAAACATCAACCACACATGAGAAAAGCTCAATAACCAGCTATTTTCTACCCTCAAATAGACTCTGGACTTCAGGATTGCAGGATTGCTCAGTCCTGGTCCTGAAGATCAGATCTACCACCCTGTAGAGTTCAGATCCAAAACACCTGATGCTAATGGTCAGATGCTCTTGAAGGCCTAGATTACCTGGATCAGGTGTGTTAAACCAGGGCTCTGCAGGGTGGTGGATCAGGAGCAGGTTTGGCCACCCCAGACTAAAGTATATTAGATTAGTGAAGAACAGAAGCTCGCTAGGCTAACTAATCACCAGTTGCTAGTTAGCTACAGCAGGCACATTTTAAGCTATCAAGCTAGCGCCATTACAGAAAATATGATGAATCTGGACATCATGAGGGCTCTTTTAAAACCATCTGGAGTTCAGTCATTTTTAATAGACCTGATAATGTGTGTTTCATTTAGTAATGCAGTTAGCACCATGCTAATATTGGGATTTAAGCCTCCTTTACTTGTTAGCTACTTAGCGCCAGTGCTAAAGCTATAGAGGGAAACTTCAGACAGCAAACATGTCTAACTGACTAAATCTGAGGGGAAATTTTGTGTAAATTTGATATTTTACCAAACTGTCGTTTTAAATGCCCTCAAGTCTTATTCCTCCTTTTTTTATTCCCTTGAATAGAAAACAGTATTTACCATTGTGCATTCTCCTTTTTTTACAACCTTCCTCCATTTACTGGGGGGTAGAAACGATGGACAGCTCAGACTGACCACCCTTAGGCCTCGTTCCTCTTTTTTGCAGTATTTGTCCCTGAATTCTCCTCTTCCGTAGTACTGTAAACACGCTGACTGACTGGAGTTTGTGCTTTTTCAGTGAAACCCCCTCTAGACTTTTAGACTGAACTCTTCTAGTCGTTTTTAGGAAGAATTTTTTTCAAGGAAAAGTTATACCTCCAGATTAGCCGGTTAGTTGTACTTGGACTCTTTTCTACTTTGTAAATATTTTAGACTCTAAATAACGCTCTGTTTGCTGTTTTTAGCCGGTTCACTTGAGGACAGTGTGCCAGCGACGGAGGGAGCAAAATTACAGCGTCCCCTTCAGGAAGATATTAAAAGAATAGCCTCGACCAAACATGCTAACCTTGCTAACTGTGAGTACAAGATAGCAGCGCCAGTTAGCACGATGTCCTTTCCGCAGTGCTAATTTGTGGCTGTATCACAGTGATTTCATTCACTGTTAGCGACGTTAGCATTTTTTCCTCACTGAACTCCTTTAAACATTCTTTATTTTAAGTTTTATTTATTTAAATGCTGCTTTAATTTGAAAACATGATGTCAATTTGCATTCTTTTATATTCAGATTGATTTGACTTTGATTTGTATTTGCCTGCGAGGTTTAAGAGAGTTTGATTATATGTGATGCTGCCAGGTGTTTTTGGCTTTATTTGCAGCGTTTTTAAGCTAAACAGAGCTCTTTAGCAGTATGGAGACAGACTCTGACCAAGCGTGTTGCAAACACAACACAAACACACAGCAGTGTGGAAACGCAGCCATATAACTATAAGCTGTTGATTCATAGTGTTCACCAACGATGGCCTCCCGTTTTTGCTGACCACTCAAAAATGACTGATTACTCAGCTGATGCTTGGAAGCAGAACAGAGGGGAATGGATGTGGAAACCTTAATGTGTGTAAAGCCCATTAACTCCTTCCAGTAGTGTTTTACCTCAGATAGCTTTGGAAGCCCAAAGCATATAAGCCCATTACCCTTAGCATTTAACTCTGTTTTTACACACTATGCAGTATTAAGCCCTGCTGGAGCTGCATTGACTGAGGGAGGCAGGACTCTGACTGGGCCTCTGTCAGTAAAAAGGTCCTCTTATTTGGGTAACCATGAGGAAAATAACTGCGGTAAACCATTAATTAATGATAATAGCAGCATTTTTTCGCCCAGTAATCGTGAGAGATAGAAGCAGGAGCTAACACAGTGACAGCATGCGAAGCTTAATCTTTGTGAAATAAAAGTGCAGATCACTGAAAGCTAGTTTAGTAAGAAAGAACAGAATTGGGCTCCTGAATGACGCAGCAGTCTAAGCGTGGGCTCTCATTGGGAGATCACAGTTCCAGGGATGCGGGAAGCGCTCAGCATCCCCAGATTTCAGGGTTAGTTAATTATAACTGTTAAAAATAATTTTAAAACATAGTAAAGGCCTATATCTGCTTGTTTTAGGTTGGGGTTTGTATTTTTGTGTTTTATTCATATATTTTAAAAACCTGGAGTAGCTGCACAGTTTACATTAATGTTGTGTTTTCATTAAAGCAAGCTGAATCGCTTTTATCGCCCCCTGCTGGCTGCTTTGTAGGCCCGTCACTAAAACACATGGAGGTTGAGGTCCCGGTCAGTGCGCATGCAAGTGTGTGACTGTGGGCTCGACACACTTGGTTACCGCGCTGCACATCAACCATATAATTAAATGTCACTCAGCTCATTTGCATAAAGTTCATCCAGAAGGAGAGACAGCAGATAAATCAGGGTGTGCATCAGTTATTTTAACGCGTGAGCTATGTGCGTGTATTATCGTCTCTCGCCATGTTGTGTCACTCTCTGTTTGATGCAAATCATGAAACAAATTCAAACGAAAAACAAGGCAGCTTATTTTGCATAACATCACCGTTCACGTCATTCATATACTACTTAAAATGTCAGCATCCCCAACTTAAACAACTTCCCGCATCCCTGGCGAGTTCGATCCCTGGTGATGCCACAGCCATCCGTAACCGGTAGTCCAAGAGAGCCTGTCGCCTTCTTCCCTGAAGCCATTAAGCCTGAGGCTGTTGTTTCACCCAGCGTGTATAACAGTTTGGTTAAAAAGTGTGGGGACACTAGTGGCTTGCCCTGGTCCTGTTACCGCAGTCCCTCGGATAACCGTGCTCAATCTCATGATAGTGATATGATGTAGTGATTTAAATGAATAGCGATTTAATCCAGTATGAATTAGTGTGTAACTGTGTATTGCGCAATTGGCTGATTTGATTCATAAACTTTGAACCGTCTAACAGCACTGCATTATTTAAGCCCCTCACCCTTCCAGCTTTCTCGAAAACAGCTATCATACAGTTTATGGGTCGACTCAGTACAAATAATTCGTTCTTAAGAATTAATAGACTGATTTATTTGCCTAATACTATCCCTAAAAATGTCATGTAATTAGTATAAATAGTGTAGTATTTACTTTTTGTTATCGGGTTATGTCATTCGTAGCCCACAGGTCCCCGGATGGGAAAAAACAGTAGCTAGCTAGATACTAGCTAGAGAGCTACCTAAGTTAGCTAGCTAGCTAAAATGTTGGTGAGGTAGCTCTTATTAGCGTTAGGGTAAAAGTCTGTTAGGTAAGGAAATTGTTTGAGAGAAGGAATGATTTACATAATTACATAAAGTAGGATATAATAACGTGTGTGTTTATATGCTAGCTAGCTAACTAATATGGTTGAGCTAGTGTCTAATCTTATCTTTACTCCTAATTTTAACTTTTATTTTAAATAAACGTTTTACAGCAGCCGACGTGAGGGGGGGGGGTCACTGTCCTTAACCACAAGCTTAGTGGTTTTATTCACTTAACGTCACAGTGAGCTTCACCAACATGAGCTAGCTAGCTAGTTTAGGTAGCTCGCTAGCAAGGACGCTAATTAGCACCAAAGCTGGGGCATCTTCCACCCAAAGTAGCGCCTCGTCCAGCCTTGGGCTCGGTCAGCAGGGCTGCGGATACTACTGGAACAGCCAGGCCACGGCCCCTCAGCTCGGAATATCCGTGGGCATTAGGGAAAATCACATGGATACTTCATTCCCAAACGGCTAATCGAATCCCACACGTTACGTTACGCAGCTTAAGGACTAATGCAGCTCTAACAGGGCTTTAAAAGATGGCTATGATTCCTGTCTCATGCTGCTGACGGTGTGTCTTCAACAGTAGAGAGAGGGCCGTGGTTCCATCCTGGCACTTTCTGAACTCTTCTGAGCTCTGGTGTGAAGACCACTTGTCAATCAAGCCCTTTATTCTCCTCCCCCCATCCCTCCTCTGTCTCATTCTCCAGTTTGCTGTGGAGTCACAGGCGTGAAACTGCTGTGGGAAACTTCATAAACCACAGTCACTGATTTATACATTTATATTTCACGTTCTCGGTTTGCTCTCTTTTTTACTGCTCAGACATTCTGTCGTTTTATTTTCCGTCTCTCTCTGGATGCTTTTGGACTGAAGAGGCCGCCGCTTCTGGACCTTTCTACTAACGAGCTCAGTCGAGACGTCCTTTTTCTACTGTTGTCAGTTTTAACCTGGATTAGTATTTACTTTTATGAACTGAAAGACAGTTTTACAAACGCTGAAACGAATAAAGGACTGAAACGTAACGTTTTACTGTCTCAGATTTGTCATTTATGTTTGAGTGATGTTTTTTACTCTGGTCAACATCCAGTCATATGCAGAAATGTACACATCGCTGCTGTCGGAAAAAACCTTGTATCGCCAAAATGGTAATTTTACAGGAGAAGAAAAAAACAGCCTTTACTTTTAATGTAAGTCAATGGAACCTGAATTTTTTACATGCCATTTTGGTTCATTTCTTTTGGTCCATTCATCATGAAATTCACACAGTGTGAAGGACAACGATCATTTTCAAATTATGTCAAAAACTGAAAAATGACAAAAATGGAGATATGATGTTTTGTCCTGACAACAGCGATATTGTTGATTTTCTAAGTGTAAATAAGTTACACGTCCTCTACAGAGACACACAAATGCACAATTTAATACACAATTACTATGTATTTACTGAACTTACTTGTTTCCCGTGTTGATTTTCTGTGTTAATATTAGTTAGCTAGTTAGCACACACACAGGAAACAAATTTTACATTTTAAATTTAAATTTTACATTTTCTGCAAATTTTTGTGCACAGTTTATACTTATTTGCTGAGTTTAGCATATTGGAAAAAATACTAAATAAATTAGTATTTATTTACTAAAAAATTAGTAAATAAATACTAATTGTGTATTTAATTGATTGTCACTCGAGTGTTTAATTGAGTGTATTTATATCCAAAACCATTTAATAACTACACAAAATTAGATTTAGGCTTTGGCTTGTATTTGTATGTAACCTAAACGACTCTTGCTTCAGTGTTGTGTTAAACAGGGAGTCGTTTACCGCCGAATGCTTATTTAAGAGGTTTTACAGTTCAAATTTGCACAAAATGCTCTCACCATTCGCTGTTTTAAGTATTAAGACTAGAGTTTACTGGTTTGAGGACTCTAAAGTTTCTGCACATGCTCAGATGTAGAACAGCGAAAGATATCAGATTAACAGCCTGACCCACCACTCAGACCCACTATCACAAAAACCAGGCCCTTACAACAGCCACCCCACTGGGTGGGGCTCCCACTGTCGCACGGAGCAGCTGTGTTTCCCACACCTGGACTACCAGCTGCAGACGGTTGTGGTGTTGATGGGATTTGAATTCATCACCTCCTGACGATGGAGCCAATGTTTAGTGCACTGCACCACTCAGCTGGCTCATTAGCATGCTAACGGCTGCATTGCTAACAGGAACACAAAGGAAGGCGCCACGCCAAAGTGTAGGTGTTCAGGTGTGATCTGGGTGGTGAGCCACAGTGGGGGGAGGGGCAGGTTAAAAAAGAACTGAAAAGTGGTCTGGAGTGGATTTTTGGGGACAGATTTGAGTTTATTTCTCTGCCTGTCTAAGCCTTGACCACAGCTTAAGAAGGCAGGTTCTCATCCCTACGCCTTACTAAGTTGTGGCCACTACTTAATTATCTCGTTCCCACGCCTTACTAAGTCAGCCACACGTTATTTTTATTTTTACAGGATGTCACCAGCAGGGCTCCGTAGATTTGAGTTCTCCTGTGGGCAGCTATGCTTCGTAGTTATGGGAAATCTGAATCCAGGGCTATTTTAAATGTCCAGGCGAGTATATCAGTTGTTATGTCGTGTTCACAATCGGCTGGTCAGTAATTATTTATACCTGTTCATGTTTAATGGCAACCCAGCACCGAAATACAATTTAGTACTGAAAAAAGCAAAAATGTTACTATAAAAACAAACAGTTTCTCTGTTTAAAATGCTTTATCTCATCTCATGTTTTTTTCCAACATTTTGTGGTGTTTTTAAACCTACCTGTAAGTTTTGCAAACCTACTGACATCTGGAATGGACTGTCAGGTTTTTGTTTTTTTTATCAGGTTTCAGTGCGGCTGCAGGTCCTAACCCGAGGCGCAGGACGCTGAGAGTGCGGGTCTGACAGTGTGGGGGCTAAAGCTGCGGTGCTGCAGCTCTACAGATAGAAACTACTGCCGTAAACCGGTTCTGGTATCTTATCGGAAAAGTAATCGGTGGTATCGCCCAGCCCTAAAGCCATAAACCCCGCCCCTTGCCCCCTCCCCTCCCCTCCCCTCCCCCACAGAAACCATAAATAGTCCCTCCCGCCGTTTCCGCGTCATCCTTCTGCACATACGCCATTTTATCGCAGCGCGGTCTAACAGGTGAGCCACGGTTTAAGCCAATTTTCTGACTGTTTATTGATTTAAGATGCAGGTTTAATCTACTGTAAAGCTTAATCAATCGGTTTATGAACGGGTTGTGTTCGATATGTGATCAGAACAGCCGCGCGGCTCGTAAATAAACCGGCGCTGACGGCGTTAGCTTTAGCATTAGCTTTAGCCACGCAGCTAATGGCCGCTTCTGTTTGCTTATCGGGTGTTGTTCTGGAATTTTCCACCGAGAAAGAGAGCTTTAAAGTTCAGGTTTCCTGGATGAGGTGCGGGTTAGAACATATGGGTATCGTTTTCATGCACAGTTTGAAAGGGGAGTCATTTTTACTGCGCAGTGCGAGTTAAAATACAGCAGCCTGACTCAGCTGACTGAGAACTCCGAAACCAATATAATCGATAATAGCGGTGTAAATGAGCTCAGGCAGTCTGGAATGAAACCCAAACACATTTTACTGGGGAATCCGGGCGTAGATCAACATTACACACGAATCAGACCGAAGCATGTGCGATTTGCGTTTGCAGACGAGGCCTGACCTATTTTCCTGGGCCGAGAGTTCCACCTTAAATGATTCAGCTAACGTTACACCATTTAAGGTGGAACGGAAAATTCAAACAAGAAGCCAACGTAAGCTCTTTTCCCGGGGCTGTGTGGGCTGATGCCTCTCTATTTTTTAATCCGAGCTCGTTTTCGGTATTATCGGGTGTTAGAGGACACGTGACTCCGGGAGGTGGTAAATTTTCAATGCAAAGTTGTTCAATCTACATATTCTGGGAGGCTGATGAGCAGCTGGGTTTGGTTCAGTTGTTTAAGTAGGTCATTTACAGTCAAAGTACCGTTTGTTCCTAATTCACCCTGTAGAGAATTTCCTTGCAAGCAAACTTTACATTTAAACATTAAACAAGTTATTAGGCCTCGTCTCCGGTTGTACTTCGACCCTCTGTCTGTTTTTGGAGGGGGGGGGAACAAAAAACATGCAGCTGACCTGCCAGATTGGAGATTAACTCAAGGTCTTTTCCAGCTTGCCTTGAGGTCACAACCATGAGTGGATGCCGTGTGTTCATTGGCCGCCTGAGCCCACACGCCCGGGAGAGAGACGTGGAGAAGTTCTTCAAGGGCTACGGACGCATCCGAGAGATCAACCTGAAAAACGGCTTCGGCTTTGTGGTGAGCGCTGCAGAAACGCCTCGTGTGGTTCAGTCACTGTAGAGAGAATAAGTGCTGGATTTGACTGTCTGTGTCCCCACAGGAGTTTGACGACTACAGGGATGCAGATGATGCCGTGTACGAGCTCAACGGAAAGGAGCTCTGCAGCGAGAGGTGCGGTGGTGCTTACACTCCAGTCTTGCTTTGATCTTCCCAAAATAACATCACAGTACAGTATGCAAATTCCAGGAAAAAAATGTAGACAAGTTGGGATGCGTAGTATGTACCAGCAGAACAGTAGTGTCACATGTTAAAGGGCCCATAGCCTACGTTTTTCTGTTTTGTTGTCTCACAGTTCTGCTCATCACATTTACGTAGTTTTCTGTGCCATAAAGAAACATTTATTTGTTTTAAATGACCATTTTCTGGCTTCTGTCCCTTAGAATAGGCCGTGCCTGGGTGTCCTGTATTGCACGTCATTCAAAAAGCAGTCTTGCTTGATAGTTTTACCTATAAACTCAGTGGGAGCGGATGGGGCTAAACTGCTTTAGGCTGAATGGATTTTGTGACATCACACACATTCAAAATAGGGTTGATTTTTCACCTTCACATTTGTTCACATGTGTGGAATTTTTCAAACTTCAGCCAGTTATTTAATAAAAAGGAAGAAATTTGGCTTTAAACTATAAACTAGTTTTTTGTTGAGAAACGTATGAGGAAACATCATACACCATATATAATCCATGTTGGTTTTCACATGTGTAGGGTGACCATTGAGCATGCTCGGTCCCGACGTGGCAGAGGTGGTGGACCTGGAATGGGGGGAGGACGCTTCTCTCCACGCTTCCGAGGCTACCGTCAGTCCCGCAGCGGAGGATCCAGGTGAGGAATGATGATGATGTTGATGATAATTATTATTATTATTATTATTATTAGAACATATTTTTGCTGTAATAAAGACCCGTACATGTACTAACTCTCTCTCCCACTCAGGTATGGTCCTCCTGTCCGCACGGAGCACAGAATCATCGTGGAGAACCTGTCCTCCCGCATCAGCTGGCAGGTGAGAGATGAGCGCGTGCTGCAGAAACCACCTTTACAGCTTTTTTTCCCTTTACTTTTTCTTTTTATTTTGCAAAAGCAGTTAAAACCCCCAAAACTTAACATTCCCTTTTTCATCCCACTACAGTAAGAGGGTAAAATTTGAATGTTTCATCACAAAACAAACACACTTTTGTAGTCGTAAGGTAGCTTCAAATCTTTACCTTTATTTTCATAAATGGTTATATTTCTGCTAATTGCTGAAAGGTTATCTAACTGAGACCCGTCTTTTTCCAAACCTTTTCTTTAACAGCTGTGCTCTGGTATTCTTTAATTGGACTTGCATGCACAGCCCCTGAGGTGCATAACGCCCTCTGCTGGTTGTGTTCTGAATAGTGTCCATGTGGTGCCTCTCCCTACACGCAGTTGCGGCTGGTCTAATTCTTGGCTGGGCCCCCTAGCGGGTGAAAGCGGTAGCGCAGGATAGCCTTAGAGGACATGGGTAGCCACTCTGGAGGGTCTGTGGTCACAAATCGGCTCCACGTGCCCCCCTGCGCCCCGTTTGGGTCTTTTTCTGTTGGTGCAGACGCGGGGGGGTGCACACTCCTCTCGCTGTCTCTGGTGGGTCCGTGCTTGTGGAGGCCGGAAGGGGTCGAGGCCAAGGTCGTTTAAACTGCATTGGTTCCGTTTGCTATTTGGACAAGTGGCTCTTTGCTAATGTCTTCCGTGTTGTGGAACGGTAAGTAGCTCAACACACTGATAGATCACATGGAGGAAGGGTTGGGAGATTACTGTAGGTGCCATTTTGCGGGGTGGGTTAAAGGGCCCATATCATGGAGGGAAGTGAACGGGGTGGGTTAAAGGGCCCATATCGTGTAGGGAACTGAACTTTTCTTGCCTTTTTCTTTTTGCTTTTTTTTTTTAAATACATTTTGCCATCATTATGTAAATATTTTAGTTTCAAAACTGTACCAGTGAATATACAGACACTAAGCTGCCAGAACGGCCTGTTTTGAGGCGTTTTTGTTTGGTCTATGTCCGTTTAGCCCCGCCCATTCATGCTGAAGTTATCGGGAACATCTCAGAACGGCGCTCGTTTGCATCTGTCTTAAAGGCCAGTGAAAATGGCCGTTTACCGCAGTGTTCACACATGCAAATAAAGTGAACCTCATCAGGAAGTAAGTAAATAAAAAAAAAATTAGCATATGGGCTCTTTAACGTGTCAGTGTGGAGAAAAACAAACCAAAGCTGGAAACCATTTATATAATCATCTACATGGAGAGAATGTAGTGTGCGAGTTCTGTTCTTAGCAAAAATAAACCAGTAACGTGAGTGTAGTTCTGACTCACTGCAGGCGTTTTGTTCCTCCACGCTCTTCTTGCGCTTTTAAACCAAGCCCAAACGTCAGTTACACTAATCCCAACAGTACTTGGAGCAAATTAGCATCTGTTTTGTGGGTGACGTACTTTTACATGGGCACACGGTCCAGGAGAGTGTAGGGAGCTTGCTACAAGTGCACACCACACCACAAGTGCACACTTCAGGGCTCGTAGTGATCAGACAGGTGTGGCTGCGGGAAGCAGTGTGTGTTTGAGTGGTCTGTCTCGGTGGATTGTGTTTGTGTGTGTTTGGGTTTGTGGATCACTGAAGGCTCTCCTGCTTTGCTGCAGGACCTGAAGGACCTGATGCGGAAAGTTGGAGACGTGACGTTTGTGGACGCCCACAGAACCAAAAAGAACGAAGGGTAAGGTTATGTACGAGAATATTGTACTCATTAAACAGCCAGGATCCACTGGCAGGTCCAGAGTTTCACTACTCAGTTATATAATACCTAAGAATAACTCCTGTTATTAGAGTTAATAAGTCCAGAATAATGCCAGCTTAGTGGATCCTGTAGTTACTGATTAATGTCTGGGTATTATGTTCATAACATCAATTACATTGTTAGCGTCAGTGTAATTAAAGGCACAGATGTATTCAAGTCGGCATTCTCATAGTTAGTGAGAGCATTGATATAGTTGTATACGTTAACTAAACATGCTAATGTTTTCACCACAAGCTAATGTTAGCCATGAGCTAATATGTTAGTCCTGATCTAACACACTAAAAACAATAGCTTGGTCCTGAGCTGAACCAGGCTAATGTGTTAATCTCGATCTAAAGTAATAGCCTCAAGCTAATATTTTGGTCTTGATGAAACAATAGAAATTAGCTGTATATGTAAACGTTGCTCTCATGTGTTAGCCACAATATATCAGCCGTGATCTAACATACTAGCTGTAAGCTAAATTGTTAGCTCTGATCTCTGCATTAGCCACAAGCTAATGTTTTGGTCCTGATGTAAAGTGCTGTAAATGAGCTGATGTGTTAGTTTGTGGAGAGCACAGTAGATCAGTAACTATATTAGCCAAGAGCTAACACAGTAGTCATTAGCTAACATGCCTCATGAAACAATACACTACAGAATAATGTTATCACACCCTGGATACATTCCTGCTGCAGTTAACCTTGAAGGATGTAGTTGGCATAAATATGGTTAATGCATTGATGAAGAGCTTCAGTATAATTGATGAGCATTTATGATCGTATGACATAGGACAGCATTGGTGTCATTAAAGATACTATTGAGTTAGTATTAAAGTTTATCATTACTAATGAGCTTCCTGAGTGTTAAAGAATCTTATAAACCTGACGATTTGTTCCGGTTGGACTGTTCCTAAAATTAGAGCAGAGAATCTTAGATGGTGATGTAAATGTTAACCAAACAGACACATTTACTTGAAAGTTGTGTTTTTCAGCCAATAACACTGAAGCTAAAAGTCACTAGCTGCGACACTAATGCCCGTGATATGATGTGAAGCGCCGCCTCAGACTGACTGTAGGTCAGAGTGTCGTCTGTGTGTTTGTGGTCTGACTGAAAGCTCTCTGTGTTCCAGGGTTGTCGAGTTTGCCAGTCACAGCGATATGAAGAACGCCATTGAGAAGCTGGATGGCACCGACTTGAACGGCCGCAAGCTGAAACTGTACGAGGACCGCGAGAGGAAGTACGTAGAAATATGTTCATGCAAATGTCCAGAAAAGGCCAGAAGTGATGACTGTTGTGAGGGAAGCTTCTGTGTCGTTGGTCACATCTGTAAATGTAACTTAACCCCTGTTTAAAAGGTTTAATGTTCTGGTTGTGTCTGCAGATGTCTTGAGGGCTTATCTAGAGCTTGTTTGCAGTGCCTTCTCTCCCACTATTTAATGTTCACGTTAATTCACCTTAATTTCTTCTTTCTTCTGTAGCCGCAGCCGAAGCCGATCCCGCAGCTCCTCTCGATCCCGATCCCGCTCTCGCTCCAAATCAGCCAGCCGGAGCCGCAGCCGCGAGAGCAAGCGAGAGAGTAAACGCTCCCGCAGCCGCTCGCGCTCCGCCAGCAGAACTCCGGAGAAGAAACCGTCGCCAGCGTCTCGCTCCAGATCAGCGTCGCCATCTCCCTCCGCTCAGAGGAAACCGTCCCGCTCTCGATCCCGATCCCGATCTCGATCCCGCTCTCGCTCCCGATCCGCTGAGAGTCAGCACTGAGAGAGAGGACGTGTGTATGAGCGCGCGAGTGGCTGAATGTGTGTTGAAAGTTAAAAATTACAAAAACATGTATAAGTTGAACATGTTTATGTATCATAAAAGGAATAGTTTGGTCAAAGGAGCTGACATTAAAGGAATACGTTAACATTTTCCAACCTAATCTCTATCGGCTGAATTAACTGTTTCCTTAAACAGGGAGAGCTCTGACCCAGTTCTGACTTCTGATAGAAGTCTGTGAGCAGATACTGAAGCATTTATAGGAAAACATGCTGAAATTGTCTGATCTGCAGATTAGGTTGGAAAACACTGCAGTATTCCTCTTAGTGAATTGGCCTGGTTAGCATTGTGCAAATGCTGCGTTGCGCTAATTGACACCTACTGCCTCCCGTTTGCAGCCGCGTCGGCATGTTTGATCGAGCTATTCCTTCATGTATCAAGTAAACTTCCTTTCTTCCTCCTTTAACATGCTTTAGTTTGACCTGTGCCTCATTTGATTGAATGACTGCAGTAATTCATTGCAGTTTGTTTTATTTCCGTCTTTGTGAATCCCTCCCAGTGATGTCCACTTTTTTTTGTTGTTTTTTTTGCTTCAGGTGTTTGTAGTAGTGAAGCACTTCAGTAATAAACACAGGACTCTTGATCGTCTGTGCAGAATTGTGCACCGGACCACAGTCACATTTTTCTAAATTCTTTTTAACAATAAAACACTGGGGCAGGTGCGATTTCTGAGAAGTTTGTGTATTTTGATTTATTACTTTGTAGAAGTCTTTAGTTTGAAGTTGACTTTTTGTGCCGTTTTGGAGTTCTCTTTTTTTTCTTTTGAGCTGTCCTGCAGGTTCTATAAATTAACTGTGAATACTGATTTATAACAAATAAACTATAAATCGACTTCCCTTGTGTTCATTTTTCAGTCTTTTGTCATGATAGTGATGCTGCACTACAACTCATCACCACTAGATGGTGCAGCACCACCACTGCTGACTCAGAAGGCCTAAAAATGTTCAGTATTTTTATAGATATTTACATGCCTGCACACGCACAGTGGGTCTAAAAGTCTGAGACCACATTGAAAATACAGGATTTCCATTTATTTCTGCAAATGAAGTTTTAGGATGTTAAACTTTTAAACAAAGTTCTGACCACTAAAAGAAGAAGTATTCAAAATCCTGCACTGTATCTAGTTCACTATTCAAATTGAAGCATATGTGTGAACTTGAGCGTTTGCAGAAGGTCAGATTGGTTTTGGTCTTATCTCTTCCAGTGAGGCTCATGTTCAGGCGGCCGTCAGTGTTTCGGTGGATTTAGTGATCAGCTGGAACGCACACAGTCATTAAAGCGAAAGGACAACAAATAACAAAATTCTACGGAGCCCTGCTGGTGACATCCTGTATAAATAAAAATAATGCGTGGACACGACTTAGTAAGCCGTGATCTCATTCCCACGCCTTACTAAGTCGTGGCCATGCATTAGGATCTCGTTCCCACGCATTGAGTCTGCAGTTCATTCAGGTTGTGTTAAATCTGAATATTAAATTAGAAAATAATGCAAATTAAAGCTTTTTCACCAGTCCTCTCAGACCGTTTGGCCCCACTGTGTTTGTAGTAGGGGTGAGTAACATGACTTTTATTGTGATGAATTATCAACATACGCTTTTCTGAGCATGCTGTGAATATCATGGTGTTTATTGCGTATCGTAAAAATGTCTTGAAGTATCATGATTTCTTCCATATCGCCCATCCCTAATAAATCTCTCTGCTGCAGTGTAGAGAGATCAGAGCAGGCAGCTGCAGCTGTCGTACAGTGAGACGGAGACGGCCGAGTTATTGATTTTAGTCTGTATTTCCCATAAAAGAACAGGAGCAGCTGCTGCGTAAAAGCCTCGTCCTCTGTTGCTATGAAGAACACGGCAACCGCTGAGTCCTCAGATTAATGACTGTGGGTTCAGTGCACCATCAGTAATGTCCAAGGCCTCTCTGCCTCTCTGCCTCTCGCTCTGTCATTTGAGAATCAATACATTTTCAATACAGTAAATAAGGGAAATGGCTGGAAATGGTGCTCAAGTTAATATGTTAGGGTTCGGTTTCCAGTTTATTAGGAAACTATGAAAGTATTAACATTAAAGACTTCAGAACAGCAGAGTTCAGCCATCCATTCAGCCTCGGCTCATAATGTAAACACTAAACCAACCACGCTGATGTACACACGAGCTGTGTTAGCCCTGAGCTAACACACTACAAACAGGCTAATATGTCAGCTCTGGTGTCTCTGTGATGTGTTAACCTTGATCTAATGGTGTAAAGTCCTAGAAATTAGCGATATATGTCAACCCTGATATCACACACTATAGCCACGAGCTGGTATGTTAGCCCTGATCTCTGCATTAGCCACAAGCTAATGTTTTGGTCCTGATGTAAGTTACAGTGCTAGAAATGAGAGATGTGTTAACGTTGATCTACTGTGCTCTCCACAAGCTATTATATTAGCCACGAGCTAACATGCATCATTAAATGAAACACTAGAATTCAGTCTGCTGTGTTATTATATCCCATCACACCTTAGAGTTCCGTTCACGCTGAACTTAAGCCTCGAATAAACTCTTCAGTGTTTTACATTTATGTTAAGTATTTTGCTCAAATTATTACTCATTATGGGGCAACATTTATTACGACCTCATTCTTTTCTACGTTTATTTTACTATACGATTGTTATTGCCTTATTATACGGTTTTTACTGTATTATTGTAGCCGAACTACAAAGCCAGACACCAACCTTGATCCCAGCAACCAAAAGCAAATCTGTTATGTTTATTAATTTATCTGAGTGAAAACAAAACAAAAAAAAGACATTTTCTCTGAAGGTCATCAGCAAAATATCCTTTAATGTTATCAGTTCATAATGAGGATGTTTGGTCTCCCTTAAAACGGCAAAACAAAGTACACACACACACACACACACACACACACACACACACAGAAACTCACGCACACACACACACACACACACAAACACAGATATACACACACACACATACACACACACAAACTCACGCGCACACACACACACACACAGATATACACACACACACACACAGAATGTAAAGTGTGTAAAGATCAGTAAACATAGTATATCACACACACACAATAAACTGTCCAGCTGGAACAGTGTGTCCAGCTGTACAGCTGTGTCCTACTGCAGCCCTTCACACTGCATCAGTCCTCACTGCCTGAGGACGCTCAGCCTCCTCCTGCACAGATTCTAGTGAACACAGTTAGTGAACACACAGTAAGTGAATACACAGTTAGTGAATATACTGTTAGTGAAAACACAATTAGTAAACACAGAATACACAATTAGTGAATACTGTTAGTGAAAACAGTAAGCACAGCTAGTGAACACACAACTGGTGAAAACACTGAACACAATGAGCACACTTAGTGAACACTGTTAGTGAACACTTACTGAAAACTGATGGTGAGCACTTTCTGTGTACACTGTTAAGAGACCTTTGCTAGTGTACACTGATGGTGAGCACTGTCAGTGACCACGGTCACTGCTGTTACTGAACACTGTCAGTAAACACACTCTTAGTGAGCTCTCTGATAGTGAACACTGCAAATAAGCATGGTTAGGGAACACTGTTAGTGAAGACCTCATACGTGGTCACTGTTAGTAAACTGTGTGTTAATAAACACTGTCAGTGAACAGTATTGGTGAACACTGTTGGTGAGTTCTGTTAGTGAATGGCATTCAACACAGTTGGACACCACTGTTAGATAACACTACACACGTGAAAAGTGATAGCGCACACTGTTAGTCATTGCATCGTTAATGAGCTCAATTAGTGAGCGTTGTCACTGAACACTATTACCAAACGCTGTATATAAACTCACTGTGAATCCACTGTTAGTCACCATAATTACTGAGCTCTGGATTAAAGAGCACTGTTAGTGACCACAACCAGTGAACACTGACACTGATAGCCAACACTCTGATAGTGAACATCAGCAAATAGTGGTAGTGAACCCAGTGCTAGTGAGCCCTGCGCTGTCAGTGAGCACTGCATGAGTGAACACTCAGTTAACGTTTTGTAAGGACTTTCACATCTACATAAACCTGGTTTATTACATAGTAATAACTTTGAACAGCGTGTTTAGCATCACTGCTCTGTTATCACTTCTGACAAATGAATGAATGACTTTGGGGTGGAGTTTTAATGCAGGTCACATGATAATGAAGGCGACACACCAGGGTGTGAGCGCCAGGTGATTTGTCTCTGAGAAGTCCAGCCAGCCTAGAATTCATTTACATATAGATGATGTTTGTATTTTTGTGGATGAGAGAGAAACGAATGTTTGGACAGATGTGCAAAACTTCACTGGGAAGAAGTTCAGGAGTTTCATAAGGATGATTATTTTATTTTAGATGTGGTGAATTTGAAGTAAGAAATGATAAATCATAGAATTGTTTCTTATATTAGAAAAGTTTCACATTCATAAAGTAAAATGGTCTCATTTCAAAATTAATTTGGTGCACTTTTCAGAAAATCTCAAACAACGTAATGAATAAAATAAGAAAGCACTAAAGAAAGTCAAAGATTTAATATTTAACATGCACACTTAAAAATGATGGTTCTTCAAGGGTTCTTTAGTAAAGAAAATGGTTCTATATAGAACCATGAACACTCAAAGAACCATTTGCATCATGAAATGGTTCTTCGGATTGATGCAGAGTGTGCTGTAGATGCTTCTATTACACATATACCATCAATCTGAATAACCAGTTCACCATGTAAAGAACCATTTACGCATGCAGTTGGGTCTATACAGAACTCTACTTGCCTTTACTAATGAATCCTTGAAGAACCATCTTTTTTAAAAGTGTGTAGAACCTTAAATGGTTCTCTGCATGGTGAAGTCGTTCTTCAGATTGATGGAGAAAGTGTTCTATGTAGAATGTTCCTAAAAAGGGGTCTATATAGCATCAAAAAGGGTTCTAATATTGTTATGATGTCAGGCTTGTTATGACAGTGGAACCCTTTTTGGTGCTATATAGAACGTTTTTCAAAAATGTTCTACTACAGCATATTCTACATCAATCTGAAGAACCATTTCGATATGCAAAGAACCATTAAATCATGTGACTAAAGGATTCTTTGAATGTTAATGGTTCTATATAGAACCGTTTTCTTAAGAACCGTAATTTTTAAGTGTGTAATATGATGTTTTTACCGTTTCTCTCTGAACCCCTGGCAATGAATATTAATCATAATAATAATAATAATAATAATAATAATAATAACAATCAAATAGGCCAGCCAGCCAATCACAGCGCAGAAAGGGCGGGGCTTTTGACTATCCAACCCAAGCGCAGGAGGGGCGGGGCTACCGGATAACAAGCCCCAGCGCAGGAGGGGCGGGGCCTGTCGGCCTACGGGCGTGAGAAAGAAAACAGACCGAACGCGCGAGCGGCTGGTGCGCTGCAGCTCTCGGATCTCGCGGTCAGCCGGTGACGGGCGCGAGGATATAAAATAACAGTTCCGGTATTCGAAAAAAATAAACAAGACAACAACAAAGGCGACATGAGGAGAGGAGCCGCGGCGACGTGAACGGAGCACGAGCGCACGGAGGACTCAGGTTCTTTCAGAAGTCCAGCGTGCCCGCGCGTGCGCGTGTGTCTGTGTGTGTGCCCCGCGCGCTCAGCATGGCGGAGAGAGGAGGGTCCCGGCTCAGCTTCCCCGGGAGCGCGCTCAACACGCCGGTTCCCATGAACCTGTTCGCCACGTGGGAAATAGATGGCTCCTCTCCACACTGCATCCCCAGGTCAGTGCGCGCTCCCGTGCGTCAGCGCGTGCGTGCGTGCGATGCATACGTCTATGCATAAATGTAGGTTTTTGCGCTGAAAACTCTGCATTGCTCGTGCGTGCTCGCGAGCTCCCCCTGGGTTTGGGTGTGTGTGTGTGTGCGTGTGTGTGTGTGTGAGAGAGAGAGCGTGTGTGTGTGTGAGAGAGTGTATGTGTGTGTGTGAGAGAGAGAGAGAGAGAGTGTGTGTGTGTGTGTGTGTGTGCGTGTGTGTGTGTGTGTGAGACAGTGTGTGTGTGTGTGTGTGTGTGTTGTGAGAGAGAGAGTGTGTGTGTGTGTGTGTGTGTGTGTGTGTGTGAGAGAGAGAGAGTGTGTGTGTGTGTGTGTGTGTTGTCATGCACCGGCCTTTTTGTACTTTGCACTTTAAAGCTCCGCTCAGACTGGCTCTTTTGCACGAGGGTGAATTTTCCCGTTCCACCTTAAATGGTGCAGCAGTTACATTATGGCGCCTGAGGCGTCAGATTGTAACTGCCGCACCATTTAAGGTGGAACGGGAAAATTCGAAGAAGCTGGCGAATAGGAAGCCACCTCCAGCCTCGCCTCTTTTGTTGTTATTGTGTTGTTGTTGTTTCGTCAGCAAACAAAAACAGTAAACAAACACAGTAAGGCATTGTGCTGCTGTGCTGTTGTCGTTTGTGCGCTCTTGAAAGTTCTATATAGAACCATTGGCATCCTTAAACGGTTCTCTGCGTGGTGAAATGGTTCTTTTTAGCACCAAAAAGTGTTCTGCTATGGTTAAGAAGTCAAGCTTGTAACCCTTTTCTAAAAAGAGTTCTATACAGAACCACACACAACACATCCTCCATCAATCTGAAGAACCATTTCACCATTTAAGCATGCAAATGGTTCCCTGTCTTTACTAAAGAACCCTTGAAGAACCGTCCTTTTTAAGAGCTCGTGAGCCAGTTTGAAAGCTGACTCTGCTTATCGTGCCGGTTTGTTGTTGTTGTTTTTTCTGAGTGAAATGTCCCACCTTGCACAGAACCCCCTTCACTGTGGGCCACAGGAACTCAGCAGCTGCACACCCACACACACATACACGCACACACACACATACACACACACACACACACACCCACCCCCCCACATACACACCTACACAAACACACACATTTCAGAAGCTTAATTAAAGTAATTTTAAGTCTGTTCTGCTCTCTCATCACCCAGATCAGGCCTGAGAGCAGCAGACTGTACAGGAATAGAAAGAATGAGTGTAATCCCGCCGGTCTGGCTCACGTATCAGACTCGGCTCAGGGAGGAGCTCTAATCCAGGGTCAGATTCACCTCTCATATCATATAATAAACATGTATAGATGGCGGGGAGCTGGTCTGAGGTCAGCGATCCTGCTGAGACACCTGATATAGTCGAGCCATGAGCCCTCGCTGATCCCTCCGGCTGCTTGTAAACAGCCACTGGAGTCGACGAAAGTATGAGCAGAATTCAGGCCTGCTACTGTTTTTAGCTTTAGCTAACACTTTAGATTAGAGTTAACAGCCCGTTGTGCAGTGCCAGCCCACCAGTTTTTCAAAAATTCCCTCGTAATTTCAGTGTTTGAGACTCAGAGAGACAGAGTCAGAGATTTGTTTACAGTGGTGGTGATAGGAACCATGACTACAACACAAATATAGACATTTTATTTACTATCCAGAACCACCAGTGAACCTACACGAGTCTTCTGAGTTTATATGGAATGTTGATGATGAAAATAGTGGAAAATCTGAAATAATAAGTTTTCTTTGGGGACTATTTTGCCTCACAGCGCCCTGCATGTATCCCTCCACCATGAATGGAGTTTAAAGATACCATTGTAAGTCATCAGGTAGTGTGTGTAGTGTATTAATAAACATCATAACATGACACAGGATGTTTGTACAATCAGGTGAGAAAACATGGCTCAATCAGCAAACCCAGAAATACAGATAACCAGCTGGCGCAAAATAGAGTTTCGTAATAATGTCCGTGACTTTAGTCCAGCAGATTTCTAGACTGGGCCGTCGCTTCAAGTCTAAACCTTCTGAAAAAGTCTGTGCAGCTCAGAATGCTATTTTTTTCCTAATAACGGCCATAAATTATATAGTTCATTAAAAGAAGGGTGTAGTGTCTCCACACATTCAAGACATAAAATACACATCATAAGAATGAATCATATGGAGCAGGAGTCTCTGATGTGAGCTTTGAGTGAGGAGCGGAAACGTCTGTCGCTCCACTCACACACTCTGCTCATCTCTGGTAGCTTCCTCTCCTCCAGGGTGGGCAGAGTAGAGTTTGTTGGTCTGGTAAATCTCAGACATTGGATACATTTTGGACAAGTTCCAAATTCCTGAGTAACCCTGGGAAGCGTTTCTCAAACACAGGCCAAAATCCATAACCATTTCATGTAAGTATGGGCAGAATTTAGTTCTGTTACTGTTTTTAGCTTTGGCTGACACTTTAAATTAGAGATAACAGCTCGTTGTGCAGTGCCAGCCCACCAGTTTTTCTAAAATTCCACCTGTAATTTCAGTGTTTGAGAGCCAGAGACTCAGAGTAAGAGATGTCTTTACAGTGGTGGTGATAGGAACCAGGGGTCACCATGACTACAACACAAATATAGACATTTTATTTACTATCCAGAACCACAATGTGAATAAATAAGCCTTCTTTGGGGACTGCTTTCAGAAGGCCCTCTGCCATCAATGCGCTTTAAAAAACACTGTGGTAAGTCTTCAGGCAGTTCAAATTCAGTTCAAGTGTATTAATAAACATCAGAGCATGACACAGAAGTGCATGACATAAGATGTTTGTACAGTCGGGTTAAAACCACAGAAATACAGATAATCAACCTGTGCAAAGCAGGGCTAATAATATCCGTGACATTGGTCCACACTCAGTCCCAAGCAGGCAGAAATTTCATCGTAGTCGTTTAGAAGCTCTTGGGAAAAGATGAAGCTGCTGGATCAGCAACTCCACAGATTTCCTGCTTTTTCATAGGGAGTAAAAGCCGACTTTACAGGCGAGTGTATGTTAATGGTATGTCTCAAATCCTGTAGGATCCTCCAGATCTCTTTTCCAGAGCGTGTGAGCGGAGCGGCGGTGTCCTCTCTCACTCCAGTCACTCCAGTGTCGCTCCGTCCTGCAGGCCAGTCCTTTATTTCACACTGAGAGATGCAGCAGCGACTCTACAGCTCACACACGACGGCTGCTCTTCAGATTGATGGAGCATGTACTGTAGATGGTTCTATATAGAACCTTTTTGAAAAGGGTTCTATATAGCACCAAAAAGGGTTCCACTACTGTTACAAGCCAAAGAACCCTTTTTTGGTACTATATAGAACCCTTTTTGCTAAGACTGTATCTGACTGACTACACACTTAAAAAAGATGGTTCTTCAGGGGTTCTTTAGTAAAGAAAATCGTTCTATATAGAATCATGAAGACTCAAATGGTTAAATGGTTCTTCAGATTGATGGAGAATGTGTTGTTTATGGTTCTATATAGAACCTTTTTGAAAATGGTCCTGTATGGCACCAAAAAGGGGTCTTCTATTGTTACAGCCCTGACGTCATAACAGTAGCAGAACCCTTTTGGAGCTATATAAAAGCATTTTCTTTACTAAAGAACCCGTGAAGAGCCACCTTGTTAAGAGTGTACATTTAGAAGCCGGCGGGGGTGTGGATGGTAATTTTAATATTTGGTTGGACTGTCACTTTAATATCAGTCCTGTTGTATTATTTCTGTCAGAGGAAGCGAGTCGGCTGGGCGTGAAACATTCAGAGTCAGAGGGCGGCAGAGGAGATATGGCTAATTAATACTTGATTAGGATGAAATATTCAGAAACGTGCCGCAGAGACGCGCTCGTTCCCTCGGGCGCCGGCCCTTTGTCTCGCTGTGTGTGTGTGCGTGTGCGTGTGTCTGTGTGTGTGTGTGTGAGAGATGTGGGCTGATGTCTGTTTGGGCTCCTCGTCTCTGACCCTCTAACACGTCTGACCGCCTGAACATCTCCAGCCTGAGTGATGTTGAAGCTCTACAGGATGAAACAGCAGCTCGGAGACAAACATTAAAGCGATAGTTTGGTGAAAAACACACAGACCCCCCCTCCCTCCCCCCTCAATACCCTAAATGTAGTCAGTCAGCCAAGACTTGCCTGGTGCCTGAAAAAAAATAAAAGACAATAGAAATAAATTGATTATTACATTGTTATTATACACTGTGATGACATCATTTTTTACACTAGACCTTGTAATTGTGGCACCTTTCATTTAGGTTGCAAAATCTCAAATCTTTATAAGCAGCAAAACATTACAGTGTAAATGAGTGAAATAACAGCACGAAAACAAATCAGAGAAAACATTCATTGAGAATCTGTCTCTGTGAGGAAGCGCAGTTTGGGCCTGCAGGAGGACGGAAGAATATTGTTTGTGAAAAAGTGATTTTAAGGGTCAGTGCACGTCAAACTCTCTCTTGGATGAGATTTTCATTTCCAGTTTCACTGTAGAAGATCCATTTATAGCCTTGAGACTGACTCGAAGGGGAATTCCACAGATTTCTCAAAATTCCCCTGATTTTCAGACGTAAACAGAGTCATCAGGAGTTTTCATTGGGGACTGTTTTGCCTTAGAACAACCTTCACCATGAATAGATGAAAATAAATTGATTAAAATACATTTTACGCCTAAACTTAATCTCAAAACTATCACAAAACAATGTCTCAGACATCAGCAAGCAAATTCATAATCAGTTCATAATGATAGTAATAATGATTATCTTTATTTATAGAGCACTTTTCATAGCGGTGGCAGCTCAAAGTGCTTTACAGTCAGCTGATAAAGTTTAACAGTGATAGATGAAACTCTGAGTATTAATATAAACTCATATAAATCAATAACAGATCAGATTAAAGAGATAAAGTAGAGTTTTACTGAAGCTCTGCGTTAAAGAGCTGCGTTTTCAGATGTTTATTAAAAGTGAGCTCTGAGCTCGAC